CAAAAATTCTCTGCATAGTACTATAGCATCTCTAGCCAAATTCGCCAAAACCCTCAATAATGAATGAACACCTTCCTTAGAATAATAGGTTCAAGGAAGGTGGCCGAGACCTACGGTATCTTTTGCCGCGAAACGAGAACAATCGATGAGGCGATGGGTGTCAGCATCGCTCAATTTCACGTCTCTGGACCAGCAAGTACTAACGAGCCAGGCGAGATATCAGATTACTGTTCAGCTATAGTGAGTCAGAAGTCTGCTATCTGTACTTAGTCGGCACCTTAGTTTTTTCTCCAAAGAAAATGCTAACAAACATAACAATCGATTTCCTCACATCAGCTAGTCTGTACACCAGTTGGTCCCCTTGATGAAGCAGTGTTCGAAGAAATATACGAAAGATGATCTGTGGGAACGGAACTTAGATCCGAGCCTAATTAGCTCGATTCGTAGAGTGCCTGCAGGATACAGTCAAGCTCGCGATCTCCGTTTGCTCCCTAGGACCTGGCGACCATCTAAGCCCTGCCTCCCTGAGAGCCTTTTTGGAACCAGGACAAGGAATGCTGAAAATCCCAACTGAACTTCAGTTCACTGAAACTGGCTCTTAGCGAAAAACCTTCAAAATGATCGTACGAAGGTGAAATTAGGTTCGAACAAAAGAGAAAAACTGTGCCGTCATTATAACGTACCCACTAATTGAAACTGATGGAACACAACATTTTTTGTCCGAAAGTTTATTTAAGTGCCAAATGCAGACAAAACACTGGAAAATATCTGAGAAATTGTCATTTGAGTACTAAATTCAAATTTAAAGGGCAAAAGGCTAGGAAATCATTTAGTTTACCTGTGTGCTGAGATTTGGGTAAAACTGGAAAAACGTTCAAGGAATGACAGTTCGAAAACTTCACTATCGATACTGCGATCAAAGACGGTCTGTCAATGACAGACGATTCTGATGTGCGAGAACAGCCGGCAAATATGCTGTAAGCGATGACCTCAACCTACGGAAAAAAAGGTTGGAAACTTTGAGGCGAAATTTTTCTTAGAAATGGTATTGTAAGGTATGAAAATTACTTATCGTTACTGTCGATAATCTCAATTTTTATTTACGTTTTTCTTTTCAGGCAACTCTGATAGTGATGATTACTGAATGTCATTTCTTGAATGTCTTTTACTCGGGCTTCACCATATAAATGAACATTATTTTGAGAAATTTTCAAACTGTCATTTCTTGATTGATTTTCTAGTCTTTTGCCTTATGAATTTGAAATTAGCACTCGAATAAGTTATTTTGAAAAGCTTGACAATTTCTCAAATACTTTCTAGTGTTTTGTCTGCATTTGGCAATTAAGTAAACTTTCGAACAAAAAAATGTTGTGCTCCATTAGTTTCAATCAGTAGATACGCTATGATGACGGCACGGTTTTTCTCTTTCGAGCCTAATTTCACGTTCATGCGTTAATCTGAAGGTTTCTGGCTAAGAGCCAGTTTCAGTAACCTGAAGTCAAAGTGGGATTTTCAGCATTCCTTGGCCGGGTTCTAAAACAAGCTCTCAGGGGAAGGGGGGACTTAGATTGTCGCCATGTCCTTAGGAGCAAACGGAGATAGCGAGAGTATATCCTACAGGCACTCCCCGAATCGAGCTAATAAGGCGCGGGTTCCTAAGTTCCTCACCCATGATCTGTGGCACGGGTTTACGCAAAACCGAGCCGCCGCAGACGTGTCAAATTCCTGGCCAACGCGTGAGTGCGGTGAAGATTGAAGGCAACGTTTAGGCAAATCTGGACCTTCGGGGATTTTACCTGGAAAAAAATTTTGGGGCCCTAATAAAACACGGCCCAAGCGGCAGCGCAAACGACAGCGCGCTGTCCGCGTGAGATTGCCTGGACGCTGCCTTTAAGCCATTGCAGATTGCACAACCGTCAGGCTCGTTGAGTAGTATCCGAAGTAGCTCAGTAGAAAATAAATGCGTTGATACAAAAAAAATCTTCGGTACTGTTCCAGTATACCGACCTCAAAAATCAAAAATCTCGGATTCCGCTCAAACTCGGTATAGGGGGGTTATTCGATCCGCTGATGCCGAATATCATATCGATTCCATGCGATAGCGCCATTTTCCGGGGGTTACGGTGGGTATACGGTAGGAGGTCAAAATCACAAAATTCTCTGAGACTTGTTGCAGGGGGGTTATTTGACATGCTGAACACGAATATGATATCCATTCGTTACGGTAGCACCTCATTCCGGGGTTACGGTGGGTATACTGTAGGAAGGTCTAATTCACTGCTTTCCACACCCACCGCCGCGCGCGATACACCCTGCGCGGCTTTTGCCTAGGCAAAGCAGGGGGAGGAAATTCCTGACGTGTGACTGAGATTTTAGGCCCACAATCTTGATCTAGCGGTGGTATTGGTAATGTATACAACGTAACGTCGGAATGAGGCACTATCATAACTAATAAACATCATAATCGTGATCAGCACGTCAAATAACCCCCCTACACGAAGTTTCAGCGGATTTCGTGATTTTGACCTCTTACCGTATACCCACCATAACCCCGGAATGAGGAGCTACCGTAACGAATGAATATCGTATTCGTGTTCAGCATGTCGGATAACCCCCTCTTACCGAGTTTCAGAGAATTTTGTGACTTTGACCCCCTACCGTACACCCACCGTAACCCCCGGAAAATGGCGCTATCGCACGGAATCGATATGATATTTGGCATCAGCGGATCGAATAACCCCCTATACCGAGTTTGAGCGAAATCCGGGATCGGTATACTGGAATAGCGCCATTTTTTGCTTATCTGGGCATAATCGCTATGCTGAATCCGGAAATCTACTCTGGAGAGCGCGAAAACGGCGAAGAAGGGCTGTAACGCAGTAGCGAAATCAGCAGGTGGACGGGGGCCTTTCCCGTGGTGAACTCACACTCCCAGCTTCCGGAGTGATCCTCTTGGTTCCGATTTCAAGTAGTATTCGCACTTGGGCGGTGGTTATGTCAGGGCTGCTAGCGGAATCGAGAAGATCGCTCTGAAAGCTGAGAGCGTGAGTTCACTGTGGGGGAGACCCCGCGCACGTGCTGATTTCGCTACTGCGTTACAGCCCTTGTCCGACGTTTTCGCGCTCTCCAGTGTGAGTTTTAGGATTCAACATAGCGAATAGGCTCGGGAAAGCACAAAATCAAATCGACTCTTTGCTCGGACCCTGCCTTCAAAGGCAGTGTTCGGACGAGGGTGGGGGTTTTGCGATTTCAGGCCATGTGAGAGTAGGCCCCCTTCGGACATGCCATCGCGCAATTGCGAGCCCATGACGTTTGACCATAAGCAAGAAATAAGGTCGGAAAGCTGAGAAACTACTGCCCTGGGGCAGGGCACTCGCACTTGTTTGATTTGCTGCACCGAGGCAGAGTACATGCAGAGTACACAGTTGAAGTCGTAGGCACACGCCATACTTGATCCTCTTGATCCGCTTCATCCACCTCGCTATTGGTCATCAACTTACTGACCACTGGCGAATTGGATGAAGTGGATCAAGCGGACAAGTATGGCGCGTGCCGTAGAGTCGCAGCGACTCTGTGTATCAGCCCTGGTGGGACCCGTCCTGTTTCAAACTGTAAGGTTCTGTAAAACGCATGTTTTCGCCGTTTTCGATCTTTCTGCTGGGATCTTCGGATTCTGCGTTGCGGAGAACACCAGGTAAGTATTTTCGTAGAAGTCGAGTTTTTGCTCGGACACTGCCTTCGGTCAGTTGAGGAAGCAGAAAATTCAAAATCGCAAGAGACTAGCTCAACAACTGAGAAGGTACTATCAGTGGGATACTGCCACCCTTCACTGGTAGGTTTCTATGACTGCAGATTATATACGCGGAGCGTGGCACCTCGCACAGCTGCGACGATATCTGCACAAAACGAGAGAGGAAATTCGGTGTCATCTATCCAATTGTTCTGAATCTAGATACTGTTTGGACTTCATCTTAGACAGTGCAAAAGTGCCCCAGTTTCGGCTTGTATAGTACATACGCTTCGATGCCCGTGTTCTGCTCCTGCGCGACGAGAAGGCCGAGGAAAGGCAAAAACCGGAAAGGCCGACGATTCGTTAGGACAGCCCTCGTGTAACAACCGTCATTATGTTGATGTCCCGGTACTGAGCTATAAGCAAGCTTCACTGATCCGAAGTTCCGGAACAGTTCTCGAACTGTCCTGGAACTGTGCCGTCACTGTGTGCTGCATGCGTTGCAGAAGCCCGAAGGTACTGAGCGGCGGGAGTTGGAGACTTTGAACGTTTTTAACGGTTTTTCTTTCGAAATCTCATTTCGGACTCATTCTTCTACTCCCCTTCCCCTCTTAAAGAGAAGAGCCTCGATCTTGAAGTGGGGTTTGAGAATGAGCGTCATCTTGCTTCCATGTATCCGGGTATATGAGTCTCCCGCTCATCCATTTTCTCTTTGTTATTCCTGTTCAGACCTATTTCATGTGCCCCAGGAAGCGCCCGCGTAGTTTAGTTAGTAACTCCGCACCCATCTGTCTTGAGCTAGGGATGCGAACAATACAAAATGCAGAAAATCGGGACTTTTCTCTGGTATTCTGATGAGTTTCACTCTTGGCATTTTCCTCCCCTTTTTTCATATCATTGCCCTTCCGTTCTTATTTCTACCCCGTTCTCCTCGTAATCAGAAAAGCTGAGAACTTGAAGGAATGAACGCTGTTCTGCTCCATGTATCTGGAAAAATGGGTCTTCGTGCACGTCCATTCCCTCTCTGTTATTTTTGTTCAGCTCACCCCTTGAGTTCTAGGAAGCTGTCTTTGCCCCTTTCAATACAGATGCGGAACTAAAAGGGAAAGCGGAGCAGAAGAATGTGATCGAAACGAGTGAAGTTTGAAAGAAAACCCGTCATGAATGGTTAACAATTTCTACTCGCTGCTCAGAACCGCGTGCGGGCGGCTGCAGCGCATGCAACACAGTTCCGGCATAGTTCGGAACTGTTCCAGATCCGGATTAGTATGAACCCAGCCTTAGTTGAATAGTCGATGGCTGCGTGTACTAAAGCTGGATATCGATTTGTCATTTGCATGATCGGCTTTGTTTTCACGGGTTGTGAAAGAAACTCGAGTCCGAAAACAGCATCGCAGAGTCGAGTGCAGTAGTGGGATATAGTACTATCTCGATCGATGGAGATCTTTGTCAGCTGTGCAGCGCAAAAACAATTCTATCAGCTCTTGAAACTGCATCTTGCAGTTTGAAGGTTTCTACTCTCGTGACTCATGCTACAGCAACTTTGCAATAATATGTCAACATAGGTTGTGACTGCTCACGTAAACACCTTCATTAACGATGATAACTTAGCTTAATGTGTAAAGCACAATGTTTTAGAACGACTATAATCTTTTTGCAGCTCCTTTATTTGTTCTTATTGTGCAAACAGGCAAAAGCTTAGAGAGCACCCGAGAAGCAGCTGTGCGATATCGATCCGATCCATCATATCCATTCTCTTTTCGTTTGCTCTTAGGCGTTAAGTTTACCAATTTCAATTCGTCTGATCTAGTCTGTGAATTTTCATCCTAACATAGTGAATATGCCACCGGATTTATCTTGGGATAATATACCTTACGAGTTGCTTCTCAATATTTATCGAGAATTATCTTATCGCGTAAGTCATCATTTACATTTACATTTATGTAGGTTGCTCGAACGCAATCTGCTATCAGAGCTTTCAGGACCTTGTATCCTGTGGTGCTGTATCAATCCACTGGAGACATGTAATGCGCGACAAAACATTATGGAAACAACATTTAAAAGGAGTTTATGCTTGGTGGAACTGGGAGCCACTGGTTCTTTTTTGTTTTGTTTTGTGCATTTCTTAGTCATGCTTGACTTTTTCAGAGTAGCTTTCTAAACTGTCTTGGTTTGCAGGTCACCACTACTTATTATGACGAATTTATGTTTTTCAAGCGCAATATTCCAAAATTCTTGAAAGAGGTTGTAAATGATTACGATTACGATCTCCGGCATTGCATATTCTCTCCTTGTGGTGCATTTTTCCTAGTTTGCGGCAAAGGAGCTTATTTCTGTGTCAGTGAGCATTATCGGCCATTCTCAATGTTTGACTTATTAACATAGCAATTCAAGTTTCTGCTCTAGGTTTATCGTTCTGATCCCATTGAATTTCTACATGAGCGTTGCTTGAAGGACTCTCTGAGCTGGCAAGAAATAACGACAGCTGAATTTTCACCTGATGAGTCGAAGGTAAGGTCTAAAACATTCCTACGATAGATAAGTTTTCTCTTTCTGTTTTTCTTACACTCTGCGATGTATTTTTTGCATTTTTTTTTTGCTTTTTTTTGAATCTTGCACCCTATTGCTGCAAGCTGTGGATAGTTGTGTGCAGTACTTGAGCTAGTATGTGGAGAGCAGCGTCTAAAATAGTTGGATGTATGCTCCAGGGTTCCTTTTAAAAGCTTTCTCATCCCTTTGTGGTGACTCTGTTTTCCCGCTGCTCCATGGTAAGGCAATTCCCCGGGTGGCGAACAAGAGGAACGATATTGTGTCTAACAACTCGCGCATTTTACCGCCATTTCTGTCCATCAGCACGCAGAAAATTAGAGCATACTAGATGGCAAACCCGGCTCCGCCCGGGACCAAACTTTGCACACATACACTTCGGGGCAGGGAGCGTGTCATAGGCTACTTTTCGTTATCGATCGATATCGATTTTATCGATTTTTTGCAAAATTTGAGCTACGGGGCTGGGGGTTGGCACAGGGGGGTAATCGAGCATGCTGATCACCCCCGTGGGGGTGATCAGCATGCTCGATTACCCCCCTGTGCAAAATCCCAGCCCCCTAGCTCAAATTTTGCAAAAAATCGATAAAATCGATATCGATCGATAACGAAAAGTAGCCTATGACACGCTCCCTGCCCCGAAGTATATGTGTGCCAAGTTTGGTCCAAATCGGTTCAGAAATAAAAATTTCTATTCCGCACATACGTACAGACAGACATACAGACATACATACAGACAGACATTCAGCTTTATATATAAGATGCATCCACACTAGAGAATTACCCTTTGATTCAAAAGATGGCGGCTGGAAGGCGACTGCTGGGTCCGCGACCCGGTCTGCGTATTAGGTCATGAAGCCCTTCCAGCCGCCAATCCAGCTGAATCAAGGGGTAGATATATTTTCTTGAAGATGAGGTGTGAGAGTAAATTAAAAGTATTGGAGGGTTTGAAGGTAACACTTCAGTTAGGTATTTCAAGTTTTTTTTTTCTTGTGATAACATTACCAAATTGCATTTATCACCGGGCTCTGAGCAGGAGTTATTGAGTAAGACATTTATTTCAAGTGTACTCATTTTCATAAGTATGAAATGCGCATTGTGAGGTAGTGCACTGGCAGCAGCGGTTGGCAATTCGTTTTTTTTTCGCACCACACCCTAATCTTCACCTTCTTAAAAAGTTCGGGTGGCTTCTAACAACGCTGAACCGTTGAAGATTAGCTATTGTGTTTGCAGACGGAAGTGAAACTATCAGGGAGTGGGTGCAACCACATGAACATTAGAAAATCTTGGGATTCTGTTCAGCATTCTAAGAAGTAACTTAAAACATCTTTCAAATTTGCAAACCCAAAAAGCGTCAGAACGCCATCTGTAGTGCGCGCAACTTTTGGCGCAGGATCATAGGTCTTAAAAACTTCAACTCTAAATCAACTGCGGATTATCAAATCGCTGTCCCTTCAAACTCCAAATCAAGGCCATCGTAGTGTCTGACACATTCAACTACATCAAAGTACTTTTGTAAATATAAGATATGCTCCTAGCGTTGAATGAGATAGTTTAGGACTACTCCAGTTTGGAAACAAAAATAGCGAATCATACGATTTGGCTTACTAGTTTGGAATTTTCGTTTGCTAGTCGAAAGGCTTTGCTAGAAAACTGACAAAAGAATTACGAGATTAATAAAACTTCACAGCATATATGACTATATTCGCTATCTCCTTAAAGGCAGCGTCCGGCTAGATATGAAAACTTAGGGCCGCATGCACTAACATCCCCGCGGGGAGGGGATCGCAGCTTAAAAGAAAGCTTTATATTTCGGAACTACAGAAACCTGGATTTCACGTTTTGTACCTATCCGTAAGTATTCCTACTACCCTTCACTATGAACATGTTGAAGAGGAGGGAGAAGCTGTACGAACCGCATTTTCCAGCTTTAGTATGATCCCTGATGATCCCCGGCGCTTTTCTTTAAAGTCATTTTTCTTTCTCCAAAGTTAACGAAAAGTTTCCAAAGTTGTGCAGATTATCTAACCCAACACTGCTTAGCATGTTGCTGATAAGAATAAATGAAGTATCGGAGTCATGAAATTTTCGATGATCCACAGGTCGAAATTTGAGGTTTACCGAAAAATTCTACTTTTCAAAAACTCATTTGTTCTCATCAGCAACATGCTTAGCACTGTTGTGTTAGATGTTCAGTACAACTTTGGAAGGTTTTCGTTGACTTTGGAGAAGAAAAATGACTTCAAAGAAAAGTCATACAAAAGGTGGAAAATGCGGTTCGTACAGCTTCTCGCTCCTGTTCAACATGTTCATAGTGAAGGGTAGTAGGAATACTTACGGATAGTTACACAATGTGAAATCAGGTATCTGGAGTTTCGAAATATAAAGCTTTCTTTTAAGCTGCGATCCCTCCCCAGCGGGGAGGTTAGTGCATGCTGCCCTTAGAGTACTGTTTCTCCCGCCCTGAAACTGCGTGTGGCACTGCACCAACTTGCTTCTAAAGCAAGAAAATCAGAAGGCGACCGGAACTGACCCGGCGACAGACGAATTACGATAAGCCAGAGTGCGCATATCGCACGTAGTCAGGACGTATGTTCGAACGATTCTGCGTCTTGACCTTGGCGGCAGACGTCCAATCATAAAATCAAAACTTCTGGAATAGCTCGTTTTCGATATTTTCGTGCTCTACAAAGTGCATTTTTGGAATCAGCGGGAAGGATAAGCCCAGGTAAGCAATGAAAGCTTCATCCGAAATTTTGCCTGGACGCTGCCTTCAAGAACTGCGATGCCTTAAAAAAGCACAGAGCTTCAAGTATCGTCCCTTCCGCAGTTGTTGCTAACTTGGTCTGCGTCTGATCATGTGTGGTCAATATGTTGGCAACATGCAGCAGCATGTTGGCGCTGAGGATGATAGCCAAAATGTTCTGCCAACATGTTGCTGCATGTTGCAAACATGTTAGCCACAAGTGCCACAAGCACGTCAAAGATGCAGACCGAGAGTAGCGACAACTGTGGGAGGGACGTTGTAGGTAATCAGTTTTGTTATGAAAGCCAAAACTCATGCTTCTTGACATATCCGTACTTACCAAAGCTAAAAACAATATAGAGGGCCGTGATCACAACTGAATCAGAGGTTGATGTTAACACGTTTCGGACCGGTGCTGCACATGGAGCCGCACGCGGCTTTGAAGGATCTTTTTAAACTCTACAGGAGGTTTTCTTTTTGTCCAAAGTGATCAAGTCAAAGGCCTAAGCTCCTACTTCTCAAAGAACTCCGTAGAGCTTGCCGCCGATATTTGTTTAGGAGATATGAGGACAAATCGAATAACAGTTGCAACGAAGTGCGGCAAGGCGAACGACGCGTGCGACGTCGCAACTTTTCCTTGCTTCAAATTCAATGAGAAAAACCGTGATTTCAATAATGATGTGTATCGTGTACAGCATAGACACTTTTGGATACAGTTAGAAACTGAGTTCTTGTTTCTATCTTTCAAGAAAGCGCGGAAGTCCTTCTCAAGCGACAAGATTCAAACACTTCGAAACATTCAGAACTTTGGGTATCGATCTTATCTGACATGCTGATTACAGATGTAGCACACAGTCTGGGAAATAAGGTCCCTTTGTTGGCTAATGGCTGGAAGTACCCTCTTTTTCGCCGCGCGCGATTTCGCGGTCCGAAACGTGTTAACTGGCGTAAATTTGTTTGTGAAATGTTGCGAAGCGCAAAGCACACATTTACGTTGTCCGAGCAGTAGTGTTTTGTTTAGGTGATGCTGACCGGTGTTCGACAGGATGGATCTGGAGAGCTGGCTGTATTTTCTATAGGCAAGTTTCATATCTCGTTGTCAGTGATATAATCATCTTGGGTCAAATCAATTAACACTTTTGTCCGGTTGCGTGGGTACTAGGCTGAACACTATTGTGCTCATTTCACAGAAGGCTGTTTTGTTATCAGTCCACTACAACTCACGTAAGTCCAATGCAATATCCCGGCAAAACGCCTTGGATTTTCGAGCAGCACGATGGACCTCCCGAACCACGCAGAGTCGGAAGCGAGAGCCTGTTATGGCGGATCCCGTCTGAGCTTATCGAGAATCGACGAGCCGCTGCGAGACGTTGCACTCTGTTGTCACTTTGCAGTACAAGAGTGATGGTCTCCGAGCATCATCTCTGTTACTCTCCGAGCACAGCGCGGACGGCCATACCCTTGTCTGCGTCTTTTATCTGCGACACGCATATCTGACATGTTGGCAACATGAAACAACATGTTTGCAACATGATGTTAACAAAATTTGGCTTCTGGCCTTGATGTGAATAGTTGCTGCTTGTTGCCATCACGTTAGCTATGCGTGTTGCAGGTTAGAGAAGCAGGAGGGTAGAGTTGTTTTATACTGCCGCACTGACCGCAGCAGACTGCAGCTGTCCGCACTGACCGCAGCGGACTGCAGCTGACTGCGGCTGACTGCAGCTGACTGCGGCTGACTGCAGCTGGCTGCAGCTGCAGCGACCGCGGCGTGTTTACGTAAGACCAACCGTGACAACTTGATTCAGCCTAGGAAAACCAAAAGTACCGATTTCTCCCATTTCAGTCAAATTTTTCTTCTTTTAAGCAAACTACGGTCGCCGCGGCCGCAGCGGTCAATGCGGTCAGCTGCAGTCAACTGCAGTCCGCTGCGATCAGTGCGGTCAGTTGCAGTCTGCCGCGGTCAGTGCGGCAGTATGAAACAACCCGTAGCAGCAATCGTGGAGGGGACGATACAGATGCTGCGTGTGAAGACAACGATGCGCATAAAAGAGGCTTCCGCCATGGTCACTCTTCTTTTCTTGCGTCGTTCTCTGCTGTTTCACATTTTTTAAATACTTCCTTTGCCTTGAACACTTCTTAAAGGCAGGGGCTTGGCAGATTCTCGGCTTGATATTTTTCTGCTTACCTGAGGTAATTCGAGGCGCTGATTTCGAAGATCACCTTGAAGAGCGCGAAAATGGCAAAAACCACCATTTCTTAAGGCCTCCCATTTTGAATTTGGACGAGTGGAGCATGTCCCGCCAAGGTTAGAGAGGCAGAATCGTTGCGGGACCCTCGCAGCTATAACATTGCGGCATGCCTTCTCTGACGGTCAGGGATAATCGCAATCTCGTCCGCGCGTATTAGAATGGCTTGCGCGTAACAACGTTTTCTAGGCAAGGGCAGCATGCTGTGCGCTCGGACTTACTCTGTTCTCATGTTTGTGGTGCAAGCAACTTTCCATGTCAAAATTTCGGGATGTTCGGTTTTGGCGAGCCTCTGCCTTTTGCCGTCTCAACAACTCTCCAATGTTCATTATCACCTTCATGCGAGTACGCGATTGTGGTCTCTGTGTTTCACTTATATCATGGTACATTTCAGTACATGAAAATTAGAAGTCTCTTGCGGTACTATTGAAACAGCTAGATTTACTCGTTGGAAAAAGAGATCCGTATGACGGGATATAGACATGGGAACAGCCGGCCTCGGATGCGTAGTAGAACTCATACAAAAGAATAACAAAGTGGACATTGACAAAAAAGCGAAACATTTAAAATAGGAACAAGGCTGCGCAGCGTGGTTCCCACACGCCTCGACTTATCGTCCCTTCCGCAATTGCTGCTACCTTTGGTCTGCTCCGTCTCTGACCTGCTGCACGAGCGGCAAATATTTTGGCAACATGCAGCAAAATGTTGGCGCTGAGGCTGGTTATGGCTAACATGTTGGCAGTCTGCAACAACATGTTTGCAACAACATGCAACATGTTGCAAGTTGTTGCACACTGCCAACATGCTACACTTAAAAGGCAACATCTTGCATTCATTGCGTAGGGGCCTATATTTCGGCGAAAGGGGAGGTTGTGCGCGGACAATTGCAACAAAAGCGCATCTTTTATAAATGCAAGAGGTGCGCAGTGATCGCGGAGGTCGCGAAACCTTTCGGCTACTTATAATCTTCTACCCTCCTCCAATCAATAGCGAAGTACTGAAGTGGATAAAGCGTGTCTGGCGTCTGCGTATGGGAACTGTGCTGGAGCAATGTGAGTGCGTCCAATGCCAAAACGAGTTAAACTCTGAGGCATACCCTGTGACTTGCATCCGAAGGTCATCGATAGTCTCGCTTTCATATTCTTCTCCTCCACAAGACACAGCAGTTTAAGATAGAACTCTTCCAGAAACGTCTGGCGAAGTGCATTTCATTTGTCGCTCGCCGTGCTCGCCTCCAGGTGTGGCTTGTTGGTTTGACAACGATTACCTTATTTGCGGAGAAATCTACAACTTTAGATTCAAGTAGGTTTTGACTAACCGACGAAAATAAACTTCATATGTATGTATACGATATCCAAGCTCCGCGATCGCCTCCTCAATATCGCAGTTATGGTTGATGTCCGTTCCGAAGGACCGTAAAGGAGCTCTGACAGGAGTTCTGTGTCCACTTCTGAGGCAAGTCTACCGAGCTATTGTATATCAAGCCCGTATGCATAAACACCCCAGCGGCGAGGGAGCGGCGTCCTCATGAGAGAAAGTTGCAGCGGCGTTCGCCCACGACTCCTTCATAACGCGGGACGCCGCTCCCTTTCGGCAGCATTTTCATGCATACGGACCTTGGAGCTGCGAAGGGTCATAAATGTGCGTCAACCTCCATTGTCTGCGTAACATATATTTCAAAGTCTCTTTACGACAGGTTTCTCAATCGAGAAGGTAAACTCCGATTTCCTCTCATCTCTAACTACGTGTCATCACGTTTTCGCCGTGTGTTACAATTGACACAAGAGGCAGATATGGAGAATAAGGTGCTACTTTTCTTAGGCCTCGAGCATAGTTCGCGCTATTTTGTCGCCTCGTGATTTTCCCAACAAACAACTGCTATGAGCCCATTGCATGTCGATCATCTTGCATTTTGGTGTGATAGCTAGTGATTGGTCTTATTAGAATTATTGCAATTTGAATGCAAGATGATCGACTAGTAATAGTTGTCTTGTTGGGGAAATTTCAAAGCGATGAAATCGCGTGAACTATGCCCGAGGCCTTCAGCTGCCCTAGTCTATACGTTACGTGGTGAACTTCAGACACTCGAACAGAAGTTAGCAGAACTTGAACTTTGTGTTAGTACTGCAGACGATTTGTCAGAATTACGGCGAGTTCTTGATGCGCAGCAGCAGTGCTTTGACTGCTATCTGAAGCACAATATCGGCGTAGAACGGTCAGAAAGTGCTGCTAGTGAGTACTGTTTATTCACTTTTCACATTCTATGAGCTATGGTACTTAAGTTTATCGCATTAATGAAAACATTGCGGCTTATGTGTCGGTTTAGTCTCTGAATTGGCAAACTGTCTTGTTTTTTGCAACAGAATTTCAGGACATGGAGAACAAGTTGTCTGCTCAGCATATAGGTTCCATTCCAGACTGTATATGTTTTTGCCACGAAATGCTCTCGAAAATGTTGATATTTGTCGATGGCGACAACTCGAATCGGGTCTGTTTCAAAATCATTGACCACAATTTGTTCTCTGAGGCACTGGCAATGCAGCGATTTGCGAAGATAGAACAGGAAGGGTAAGTCAAACCTGTGAAGCCAGTGTGTGTTATAGTCTGAACGCAGGGAAGAGGACGATGGATGGAACTTTGTTTTACATCGAGTTGACACTCCCGACCATTATATCGAGGTGGATGGAGTTATCACCAACATCGCTTTATCGGTAGATAAAAAGTAAGTAGTGACCATTTTTGCAGTTTTGCAATGACGCTTGAAAGCGGAGTATCAGGAGCTCCCCTTGTTCGCGGTTTGTGGGTTTTGGAGTTTGCACCGAGACGCTTCCGATCATGAAAGGCATATTACTCAAACAGCGTTCTTTGTTGGATCTGTGAGCATACAATACACAAGTGGCGTACCGAGGCCCCCCCCCCCCCGAGAAGGGTCGCGAATTTTTTGAAAGTTACTCAAATGTGTTATAAAAATGTGCAGAGGACTTGTTTTACTTAAAAGTAATTAGAATAACTCTTAAAATTTGTAAAAATTCAAATAAGCCTTACAAAAAAATTTTTTTGGGGGCGTGGCTGATGCCCGCCTCCTTTTTCTGAAATTTGGGGGTTCTGAGCCCGCGAAAATTCTAGAGAGCATACCAAAAAAATGTTCGGAGTGCGTGGCTGACGCCACGCAACTTCATCGGAAAAATTTTTTTGTCGCCCCCCCCCCCCCGAGCCGAAATCCTGGGTACGTCACTGATATATTAGGTTGAACCGAAAGTTGTTTCGCACCAAATTCAAAAATTCATAACTTCTGAATTTTCCAATCGATTTGACTGCTTCTTATTTTTCTATGAAAGGATAGGTCGTGCTATTTATGATGACATTTTAGATGCTTGCTAATGATCACCCATTGCATAGATGGGAGCTGTAGAAGAAAATTAGTCAAAATTCGAATTTTCTGTGTAGGGTCATAAAAAATCGGAGACTTGCAACAAAAATCGGAGCAGTCGGTATTATAGGTTCTTTCACCAGTTCTTTCTAACAGTGCAAAGTTTGCGCCGATTGAGCGTCTCTATGAAAAGTTACGATTTTCCTGAAAAATGCCAAAATAAATCAAATTTGCCCTGTTGTATTGCTTGCTCGAAAATCGTAACTTTTTATGAAGGCGCTCAATCGGCGCAAACTTTGCACAGTTAGAAAGAGCTAGTGAAAGAACCTACAAAACCGACTGCTCCGATTTTCGCTGCAAGGTTCCGATTTTTTATGACCCTACAGGAAAAATTCAAATTTTGAGTGATTTTAGTTTTGAGCTTCTACCTCCTTCATTTGTACACTTTAACGAACAGTTCAGGTACACTTGCAAAAAGCATGAGTTCCTCTCTTATACAAAATTTACGTCTTGTAAATTCGTTTAGAATTCAACCAGTTATGAATTTTTGAACCTGGGGCGAAAGAACTTTTGCATCAACCTAATATATATATATCTCAGTGGCGGTCCCAGGATTTTGGACCGGGGGGAGGGGGGCGCGGCAGAAATTTTTTTCAAATGAAGGTGTGTGGCGTTAGCCACGCACACCGAAAAAATTTTAGGAGTGATTCTCGAAATTTTTGCGGGTCCCCAACCCCTAAAATCTGGAAAGGGGCGTGGCGTTAGCCACGTTCCCGAGAAAATTTTTTTTTATGAGGCTAATTTGAATTTTTAAAAAATTTCAAAAAATAAACAAGTCACTTGCACATTTTTATAACTCACGTAAGTAAATTTCAAATTTCGCGACCCATTCTCGAGGGGGGGGGGGCGCCCCCCGCCCCCCCCCCCCTCGGTCCGCCACTGATATATATATTATATAGTAATATATAACATATATAATATACTATATAATATATATATTAGGTTGAACCGAAAGTTCTGTCGCACCATTTTCAAAAAATCATAACTTCTTTCGGTCACGACGATTTTGCGCAATCCAAATTTTGTCTGAAAGCGTAAAGCATGTAGTTTCTAAAAGCTCCCTAGGGAGTTTCCGATTTGCTCAGGTGGCAGAGATAAAAATGAAAGAACGAGATCATCCGAAATTCGGAATTTAAGCAAGAATTCTAGAAATTCAGAAACAGTGCGATAAAATCCAGAAAAGCCATTATCCTAATTTTTCTTACATTTGATTACTATCTGAGTCAAGTTTGTGCTGATCGAGCCCTTCTTTCAAAAGTTATGATTTTTTGAAAAATAATGCCGAAAAATCAGTTTCCTAAGAATTCTTAAGAAATGGATTTTTTGCCATTTTTTTTCAAAAATTCATAACTTCTGAAAGAAGACCTCGATCAGCACAAACTTGACTCAGATAGTAATCAAATGTAAGAAAAATTAGGATAATGGCTTTTCTGGATTTTATCGCACTGTTTCTAAATTTCTATTCTTGCTTAAAAATTCCGAATTTCGGATGATCTCGTTCTTTCATTTTTATCTCTGCCACCTGAGCATATCGGAAACTCCCTAGGGAGCTTTTAGAAACTACATGCTTTACGCTTTCAGGAATTTGGGTTGCGCAAAATCGTCGTGACCGAAAGAAGTTATGATTTTTTGAAAATGGTGCGACAGAACTTTCGGTTCAACCTAATATAATATATTAGGTCATTCCGAAAGTAATTTCGCTTTTTTCAAACGGGCGCCACATTTGATAGAACAAAGGTTTTGAAGAGATCTTGGATGCATTCGATGCAGAATTTCATTCTCTTTCTAAAGGTTATGAAATTATTGCAAAATAGTCAATGAGCTTTCAGAAAATAACCAAAATTTGCGACCCATGCTTTTTAAGATGGTCAAGTTTCACGATTTTTCAAAACTTTCATATCAATCTTCAGAAGGAGTTCAAGTAACGGTTCGATAGAGTAAACCTTATAGAATACAGAACTGCTTTTTTCCCCTTTTCATATCTTGTCATACATTTTTAACAGAATTTTAACTGATGCTACCGATTTCCATACTTGGGCAACTAAATCCTCGTAGAACATCAAAAGAACAGCTCGCGCATTATTCGATGCAGCATTTTCTCCTCTTTCTAACAGGTGTTTTTCGTTTTCGATTCGTTTAGTTTCCGGGGATAAATCATCATAACTCATTTTTTTAGCGAGCCCCAGGCTGTACCCGAAAACAGGAAATTTGATATTTCGAATCCGTAAACCCTCACTTGCTTTGTAAATTAATGCTAACTCATAGTACCATCTTGGTAGTCTCAAATTCCGAATAATTATGATGTTTGATGTGAGTGTGGCCGATGTGAGCCTGCCAAAATCCGATGGTTTTGTTAAAAAATCTTTTAAAAAATTACGGCGAGTTATGAGAAAGAGACAAAAGAAGTGCTGTATTCTATAAGGTCTACTCTATCGAAATGTTACTTGAGCTCCTTCTGGGGATTGATATGAAAGTTTTAAAAAAACGTGAAACTTGACCATCTTAAAAAGAATGGGTTGCAAATTTTGGTTATTTTCTGAAAGCTCATTGACTGTTTTGCAACAATTTCATAACCGTTAGAAAGAGAATGAAATTCTGCGTCGAATGCTACCAAGATCTCTTAAAAAGCTTTGCACTATCAAATGTGGCCCCGTTTGAAAAAAGCGAAATTACTTTCGGAATGACCTAATATATTAGGTCGTCCTGTTTTCGCTTTTTCAAACGATCGCCACGGTCCGCAGAACAAACATCCTTAGAAGATCTTGGAAACATTTGATGCAATTTTTTATGCTCTTACAATTGGTTATCTGAGCTCTCAGAAAATTACCAAAAACTGCGACCCACGCTTTTTACTAAGGTCAATTTTCGCTGTTTCTCTAAATTCTTGTACTGACTTTCCGAAGAAGACCAAGTAACCTGCGGAAGCAAACGAAGTAGGATACAAAACAATTTCTTTCTCCTTCCCAGAGCTCTCCATAATTTTTTGACTGAATTTTAAACAACACTATCGAATTTTAGCAGACCCATACCAGATTTTAGCAGACTCGTCAAACTCTAAGAAATTCTCAGTTTTTAATATTCTCAAAGATAGATTAAGATTCATTACTAATTTTAATAGGTTGGCACATAAGTTTTGCAACTTATTTCGTAACTTTTCTCTTCTTGACTGTAACGCATTCATTTTTGGGCATATTGTAAACAAGGTGATAAGCTACAAACCTGCTCAATCAGTTTAATTTTTATATGGAAATGGAGAAAATTTACTCATTTTTCGGAAGCCGGTCAAACCCGAAATTTCAAGGGTCAGAAAATTAAAAATAAAGCCGTTCTCAGTCTAAATCAAACAAATCAACCCGAAACTGTGTAGATGATTAGAGTTTCCTCTATCAACAATCTGGGTACAGTTTTAAGTTAAAGTATTTGATTCAAGCTGAAAACGGCTTTATTTTTGGTTTTCTGATCCTTGAAATTTCGGGTTTAACAGGCTTCCGAAAAATGAGCAAATTTTTTCCAGCTCGAAACCAAAGATCAAGATGTTTGCATAGTTTTGTAGCCTACTATCTAATCTACATTATGCCCGAAAATGAATGTGTCACAGTCAAAAAGAGAAAAGTTACAAAATAAGTTGCAAAACTTATGTGCCAACCTAATACAAGACAAATGAGCGTTTCCAGGTTTATGGTATCAGATTTTGAATTTTTCGTGTACATCTTGGGGTGCCATCAAAAACATGATTTTGTCGATTTTGTCCTCTAAAAGTTTACAAATCAGAAACAAAAAATATGTCTCTGAAAGAGGAGAAGGTGCTGCATCGCATAACACCCGAGTTGCTTCCCGAGTGATGCTCTGTGAGGTTTAAGTTGACGAAGTATAGAATTTGATAGCATCAAAAAAATATTTCTAAAAATTTTGTAAAGTAAGATTTGGAAGGGGCGGAAATTGTTTTGTATCCTACTTTGTTTGCTCTATTTATAGGTCACCTGAACTCCTTCGGGAAATTACTACAGGAATTTAGAAAAATACCGGAAATTGACTATGGCAAAAACTATGGGTTGCAGTTTTTGGTTATTTTCTGAGAACTTATTCGTTAAACTGCAATGCGAAGATGACCTTCTGAAAGAGCATAAAAAACTGCATCGAATGATTTCAAGATCTTCTAAGGATGTTTGTTCTGCGGACCGTGGCGATTGTTTGAAAAAAGCGAAAATACATTTTTCCAAAACCTGCACAAGCAAAGCCGCTGCATTGCAGGCAGCTCTTCGTCAGCTACGAAACGAGAGCTTTTGCATCCTCTACAAAGGTAAGTTATCTTGGATTTGCGTTTTATAAATTCATCGATTCAGCAGATTTAGAGACTCAGTAAATATAGTGTCGAAATCGTGTACTTATCAGTGTTAATCTCTATAGCTGGGCTACTTGCTCAGTTCTTTTTCTTTTCCAAGCAAAAAAAAACTGTCCATATCAGGAGCAGCTTTTTTTAGTATAGTGTGTACTGCGTTGATCTGGAGAAAATGATTTTGGACAGATTCCCATTCTCCGGCGCATTATTATCGAATGAACAAGGATTTCTGTGCAGCAATGAATTCCTGTTGGCAAGGTCCTTTGATCCCTTTCAGTAATGAATCTTCTCATCATACCTTACATTATTTAGTGCTGTCGGGGAAGAAGTTCACATATGGGCGCGGTTACACGGCGGAAGTGAAGTCCAGAGACTGGCTGTTGATACCAGGATTGTTGATCTGTCGCTTCATCCAACAAACAATACTCTTATTACTGCTTCACAGAACTACTTGGCAGTATGGTCGACGACCCAACCTGCTAGTTGATCATGCAACTGTTTTCCTTCCGCAAATGTGGCAAGTAATAAACGTGTTGTGTGGGAAGATTCTCTGCCGTAAAGGACTCCGAAGTTTGTTAAGTTGCTGTTCTCCTTTAAAATGGATCACTAGGCTGCTTAGATTCTCACTGACTCGTGAATTGCCTTTTATATCTGTTAATATTCCACAACGACAGGGAATTTTCATTCGTTTCTGTTAATGTAGATACGTGTATTCCTATCTAGTCAGTGATGATATGAGATTACGGAGTTTATCTGTGACGTACACCTATTTGTTCTTTGATTATCTCATTTATTTTCATTGAAGTGCCATTAAATTGCTTCTTGAGACATTCCACAGATGTGAAAAATTAGGGTGTCAATCCACTATGTACATGTTTACGCGCGTTCCTCCTGCTTGTGGGACAGTCAAGCGGCACGGTCGATGCGCCCGTGCCGCTTGACTGTCCCAATGATGCCCCCAGCGACGTCAGTCATATCTACCCTCTGTACCACTGGTATTGGCGGCTGGTGGGTGGGGCTTTGGACTCTGCTTCTCTTTAGCGAGCGTGGTCTCTAACCATTTACAGGCTTAGTTAGCAAAAGTTCCTTCCTACACTCTCCTGCCCAATAAAAACGAGGGTACAAGAGTCAGCACTCTCGGCACTGTCACTAAGGCGTACGCCGTAGTTGATCCACTTTATCCGCGTGGTTCACTTCGGATAGAACGCGCCGTGAGCACAGTCGAGTAGATTGTCCGCTTAATATAGTGTGCTTGCACTGTAGGTGAAATGCGGTAAAATTTGTGCGTAAACAATTAGGCATGCCAGTAATCCCGGCATTCCGCGCGCAACTGGAAGGCGTCACAGGTGTATAGTCCCCTCCACAGATCGTGCGTCTGCGTCTCAGACCTGCCGCGTGTGGCTAACATGTTGGCAACGTGGCAACAACATGTTTGCCATGCCCCAACATGTTGGCAGAACATTTTGGCCACGCCAACATGTTGCTGCATGTTGCCAACGTGTTGCTGCCAACGTTGTCAATGTGTTAGTCACACGTGGCACGTCGGCTGCGAAGGGGACGATAGCTATGTATTTCCTCACGCGCAAATTTTACCGCATCTCACCTACAGTGCAAGCACACTATATTAAGCGGAACATCTACTCGACTGTAATTCGTTATTTGGTGTCACGCTCAGCGAATGTGCGCAACAGTACCCTAATTCCAGGGATTTTTAGGACGCAGGGGATTTTTTTTTTCTTAAATCAAACAGCACACACACCGAAGGACTTCGCGACCAAAACTATATACAGTGCGACATATTGCTTAAAAGTACCGTGCGGCATAAGTCTTTTTCCGAAATACAACGAGGCGGCTGAGCGGCACGCTTGAAAAACCGAAAAGGTGCGTATTATAGCGTGAAATTAGGGTACTTTGTTACCTATGCGACGCCAAATGATAAAGTAGTGACGGCGGGTACACGAAGAGGATCACGTGGAACACGGAATAATTGAATCAACCGTAGACCTGGCAAGCACATTTGAGAAGCAAGCTGTGTGGATGTGGCTTTTGCGTCAGAACTGATCCGCAGTCGTCCCTGAGGTTCCAGTGATTTCGAACTTCATTTCTGAAATCAATGCCTTGGGTAGGCTAGAGAACGAAAAACAAAGTCGATAATCAACACGATCAATGCCTTTATGCGGTGGTTGTTTGGTTCATATTGTGCATAATCTTCTGCTGCAGATATCGTCAGCGCATGCATTGAATCCGGTTGAACAGCAGTCACTGTGTGGCTGCAAATACTCAATGCAATCCGTTAGCCGAAGCTTGCTGCAGATGGTGTTGTGCAGCACTTTTTCGTTTTGCAAAGTGTATCAGCACTTATGTAAGTCTTTTCATTGAGCACCCACTCTTTCACTTTAAATTGCAAAACTTGTCCGGTGTGGGATCAGCACCAATTTGTTGTTGTAGTTGTTGTGGGATGCCTCATTACCCAAATGGTAATGAGGCATACCACTCTGTGTTGTACAAATATCGTTAGTATTAAAGCAGAGTTCGTTATCTGTTAAGATGGCGTGGAGAAGCCATTTCAATGTTGCAGAGTTATCGGCAGTTGCCTAAATAATATTGAGGCATAACATCCTGTGTTGTGCATAGTCCTCAGTATCAAAGCAGATTTCGTTATCTGTTGCAGCTGGCATGGGGCAGTACAATGGTGTTGAGGCAACTCTGTGTTGTTGCAGATGTCGTCCACCCTCGTATATTAACCTATGCTTCAGATGATATGGACATGGACGTGGACGCACCGCTCCAAGAAATGCTTTGGCCTACATCTGGTTAAAACAGACTGTAGTTGGCGCATTGGGCACAGTTTGGCCCCACAAATAGGTGTGTTCTCGCAAACTTCTGTCGAAATTTTTCGAAATCGGTCACTTGTTTTTTGAAAAACTTTCCTTGAAGGGGGTTCTCTCGTTTTTATCTATGGCACGTATGAACAGGGCCATGAAACTGGGAATGAAACGTGAAAGTCAGGGTTTAAGGATGTCTGGATGAAAACTCGATTTCTGACAGGCTTACCTGGAGTTATCCATAACGCTGAATCCGAAAATCCTCGTTGGAAAGCGCGACAACGGCGAAGAAGGCGTTTTTCAAAGCCCTACAATTTGTTGTTAGACGAGTGGAACAGTATTCGCCAAGGCTGAGACGCAAGTCGCTGCCGCACCCTAGAAGGCAGTGTCCGTGCAGATTTGGAGCACCTACATTCGACGCATTACCAAAGCGGGCTTTCCATGCATGTCATAGCCCAATTACGAGTGCAAAGTACCACTCTGGAGCTCGAAAACTCAGAATTGTAGACAGACCCTCCCCTCAATCCAGTAGCGTCCTTACCGGGGCAGGAAATCGCGCAGGGCGGCGCTGCAGCCAATGAGAACGTTGCTACGACCGTGTTCTGGCAGAGTTCCTGCGTTGGTGAAGACGACTGTGAGAGGAGCGGATCTGTTCCCAATTTAAAGCTGTTTTTTCGCTCCAAAATTGGTATTTTGCACTCGCAATCGGGCTATGGTTTGCATGGAGACCCTGCTTTGGTGATGCATCGAAATTGGGGGCTCCCAAATTTGCCCTAGCGCTGCCTTTAAAGGCAGTGGCTCGGCAAACCTCAGTCTGGTCAAATTTGCGCTTACCTGGGGTTTTTCAATACGCTGATCCCGAAAATCCACTTTTGAAAGCTTGTAAACGGCGAAAATGAACGTTTTTTAATGCCCTTCTCTTTGGAATTGGACGAGTGGAGCAAGGCCGATGACGCTAAATCGTGGCGGGACCCAATGGTTATAGCGTTGCGGCGGGCAGCCTCCAATGGTGAGAAGGAAATTGCCAACTCGTCCAGATGCGTGTAAGATTGGCCTGCGCGTGTAAGTTTGAGAGCGATTTTCTCGGCAGCGAAAGTATGCTGTGCAACCGGGATTGCACTGTTTTCATACTTGGGCGATAAGGAACCTACCGCGTTAAAACCCCGAGTTGTTGGATTTTGCCGATCAACTGCCTTTAAGGGCAGCAGCTGCAGAATGACAACTTTGGGATTAGAATCTGCTTTTCCAGAAGTGAAAAGTGTTGTTTGGGCGGGTCGCGAAAGTGGCCGCTGGAGCCAATAATCCAGTTGCCGCCGGGATGGGTACGGTGTCTCCACTCACGAGCCAACGCGCTCTACAGAGCAACCATACGCCGTCCGCCCAAACAGCGCTTTTCACGTCTGGAAAAGCGAGTTGTTTGATATCTTTCAAAGCTGCAAAGCACAGTTTTGGGCTCAGCTAATCCAGGGGAACCGGCAACGATAAACATCCCAAAGTTGTCATTCTGCTGAGCCGCTGCCTTCAACTGTAGCGGCATGCGTGTTCTGCGCCCACAACGTCGGACTAGAAGCTGCTCTTTGACAGTGCACGATGCCGCCACGTCAAAGTCCTAGGGTCACAACGACTTTGCATCTCAGTCTTGGGAAACTGCTTCACTCTCTAAACTTAAACGAAAGGGCTTGGATCTTTCTCGTCGTCCTCGCGCTTTTTGAGATGGATATTGGATTCAGCGTAGCGGATAAGCCAGCTGACCAAAAAAAGTTAGGTACTGTTTTCTCCCCAGACACTGCCGTTTTGAGTTGGAAAATACCTTTAGAAGAGTGTTCCGGCAAAAAGTCGATTTTGAGATTTTGTGCTTGCCTGGGTCACTCGCCATGCTGATTCCGAGACCACATTTTAAAGCGCGAAAACGACGAAGAAAGGCTCCAACGTGGGAGGGAATCAACAGGTGGGCGGAGTTCCCCACTGTGAATTCACGCTCCCAGCTCCCGGAGCGATCTTCTCGATTCCGCTAACCGCCCTGGAGCAGGGCGACAAAAGCCGCCGGTTTGAGCCGTCTCCGCGGACTACTGATGCAACGACATGCAACAACACTGCAAAAGGACTAGTTAGCCGCAAAAGGCGGCTCAAACTGGCTGCATTCGTTCCCTACCCGCCACCCTGACATTGCCACCGGCCAAGTGCGAACGCGTGGCTTGAAAGCGGAACTGAGAAGAAGAAGAAACTGGGAGCATGAAATCTCAGTGGGGAAGACCCCGCCCACCTGCTCATTACAGTCTCCGTCTTGCGTTAGTATCCGTTTTCGCCGTTTCTGCGCTCTTCAGTGTGGATTTTCTGAAGCATAGCGGTTCTCAGATAAGCATAAAATCTCAAAATCAACTTTTTGCCCAGACACTGCCTTCAACTACCGAAACTGGAACGCTGACTTATAGCTGCTTTTTTCCCTACTGTAGAGATTGCAGTCTTGGCCTTTTCGTGAATTCTGCAAGAGAAATGAATTTTTGAGTTTTGCTCTGCTTCATACCATGACTTCGAATGAATGTTTCAGTGTAGAAGATGACGGTGGTAGCTTCTTACGATAGGAGCAACAAATTTTGGTATCCATAGCAGTCATGGTTCAAGGTCATTTTCCAAAATATTCTCTTTTTTCTGCAATATGAAACCGATACAATGAAACCTCAGCGTATATTTCCACATATTTGCGCATACTGCATGTTCTACCTGCATCGCAAAAGGAAACATGATCCATCATTTTCTTAGCGTATTTCGCTTCATGCCTTCGTACAACGTTCCAGCGTTTTGTAAGGCAATCTCTTTAACGAGTTGTTCGATAATCGGCTGTCTCCATTCTTGTTACCGCCTAGTAATTACTTGGACCACCAAGCCTAAGGCGACTTACCGCACCTAGAAAGACAATTCGGAAGTAATGGCGCTGCACCTGCTGAGTCTTTGTGAGAGTGCAGCGTTTGCAGACCTTTACTCTATTGTTGTTGCATCTCGTGCACAACGGAGTAATCTCATTTCGTTTAGTTTCCTTTACGACCCACGTTTCAGGGCTTAGTGAGTTTGTGACTTCATTACGCTTCATTTCCTTAGCGTGCCAGTGCCTTCATGTGTAAAAGAATTGTGTGAAACATTTACATCCAGACTTTTTATTTTACATGTCCTCTGCATATAGAATATTGCATTACACATGCGCCAAACCAATAAAGTCAATTTGAACGTGCTTTTTAGCAAGAAATAACCACCACATACATTTCAGAGTTGAGTAGCCACATACAGGAGTATGGTGTCAAGAAATGATGGTGCACGACCAAAAACGGTGCGAAACATCGCTTGAGTATGTCTGGCAAATTAGTGCAGTGTTTTAGCCATGGGCGGCTGTAAGAAGATTCCTGAATAATACCACAGCTCATGGGCTCCCACGCATACCACATGCGAGGAATAAAAGAGGAAAACTGTTTTGGATGACTGTATGGTTTTCCTTCTTCACGGTTTTCTTTGTACAGGTAAGTGCGTTTCTCGTTATGACGACTTAAAGTCGCTACACATCTGTTGATGAGGAAGGTCTCCATAATTCTCTTCACTTGGTAGAAAATTTTAGGGAAGGTTCTTGACGTTTATGTGTGCGTATCTGGTTCCCACCACGTACTAGTCTCCCACATCTCACTTAGACGGTTTTCTAAACACCATATTCAGTTTCTATCGCTCTGCTCTTCATTTGTAGCGAAGCTTTTCGAAGACGCATTTTGATGAGTTATCATCGATCTTTTTCTATTTCAGGCCCTGATTCTTCTCTCGAAGTACCACAGCCGGCATCCAATCATAGTGATTACGGCGAGTTGTTCCTTCTGTACATTCGATACATCGTTTATTGAGGCTTAATCCTAAAATCTTGGAGAATTTGGGTGCGGGAATTTTGGCAACGTGATCCAGACTCATTAATGATTATAACGAGTGCGATCGAGCGTTCAGTACCCACAAATCCTTCATAGCGCCGGAAAGTAGCTATGAGTGCTGGTGTTCGCTTAAATGAATTTCAATCTTGGCCAACATATGCGCCTGGAAAATGGGCGCTATCGAATAACCGCATATCTGAGTAATATGAATAGAGTCAAATAAATGTGCATACAAAAAAAAGTAAACAGAAATAAACATATTTATTCTAGATTATTATAAGGATAGGAAAGTACCCAGGTTCCTTTCTACATGAAGATGTGTATGGTGCTTTGTAAGGTTCCTGGTTCATATAGTATAATGAAGTACCTTTTAGTATACGGTATTAAGGTTCACTGCACTGTTCAGTGCATCTACATTTTATGTGTTTTTGTATGCGAACCGAACGGCTGCCAACTGAGCTTCAATATTGGACTCTATTCGTTCAAGCCATCCTTGCTTTGTGTGGGACACGGCTTCGACCTCCAGCGAAACTAATTAGAGTTCTAAGATCCTACACTTCCATGATCGCGCTGCACTAGGCTGGTTTTAGTGGTCCACGAAATTGACCAATTAGCTTTCTTTTGTCTCCGAAGAAGTATTTGGAAAGAAAAAGTTTTCGCAGATTATTTCTCACCTGTTTTTTCGTACAAATCTCATTGTCGCGTGCCGCTTTGCAACACGATACCGAGCAGCTGGTTTTGAGCCTTCTCAATCTCCAACTCAAATATTTTACAGTGTACTCGGATGCTGTGTATAACCTCTCAAGGATTTACAATTATTGCTTTCATTCGTCTCAAGTTCAAAATTTCAGGGGTTTATGCCAACTTGTCCAATTCTTGGAGGATGTAGTTTATTTTGGGGATATTGGGAACAGCTGCGTAGATGAAAGTGCCGATTGCGAACTCTTACTATTGAAGTACTTCTTTCGTACTATATGTACCTCTTTTGATTGGTGACTGAGTCAGCAATTCGCAACAAGCTTTTTTCCGTTATCAGCTTTCTTCGCACATTCGACCTTTCGGATGTCCTCACCTACCAGTCTACCAACTGTTACCTCAAGAGGTGTGTAAAATTCATAACATCTACCCTCCCCCCATGACAGTCAGTATCCGACTAATTGCTTCATGACAAAGTGCCTCTGGATCAGACTCGCAATTGTTGCCACCATTTAGCACTCTTGCTTCTGGATTATTCTTACACAATCGGTCCACATCTTAGCTGGAAATGCTCGTTGCAATACGAAAACCTCTCATTTCACGCATCAACGACTGAGACAAATGCTTCTACTTACATAGTGCAATGTTTTACCATGATTGAAGCCAAACTCATCTCTTTGATGGATTGCGGGTTTATTGCATGATTTCTAAAATCTTGCTCGTCAGCGTTCGTGCTTTCGTACCCACTTAACACGAAGTTTAGCATGTAGTCAATAGACGGCATAATTATTGTTTTATATTTATAGGCTAAATGCAATATCTGAAGATTTTTGTTTAAAATTGAGAGCAATGATTTCGCCCGCCTGTGTTTCGCACCAATATCGCTTGGATTTTTCAGAAAAGCCGGCAAATTGGTAGCAAATTCAGGTCTACTAGGGCTATGAGGATAGTAACCGTTATTATCACTTTTTTCCATAGTTTTTTGGAGCAGTTTGAACTTGCAGTATATGTAGGAAGCAGTGGCGTACCGAGGGGGGGGGGGGTCGGGGGGGGGGGGGGGGCGCCCCCCCCCCCCGAGAACGGGTCGCGAAATTTTTGAAAATTACTTACATGCGTTATAAAAATGTGCAAATGACTTGTTTATTTTTGTAAGCAATTAAAATAATTTTTAAAATTTTTTAAAAATTCAAATTAGCCTTATAAAAAAAATTTTTTCTGGGGCGTGGCTGACGCCACGCCCCCTTTTTCCAAATTTTATGGGTTTGGGGCCCGCAAAATTGTTGAGAAGCCCCCCTAAAAAATTTTCGGAGTGCGTGGCTGACGCCACGCACCTTCATTTGAAAATTTTTTTTGCCCCCCCCCCCCCCCCCGAGCCGAAATCCTGGGTACGGCACTGGTAGGAAGTTATTCACCTGATTAACAAAGAAATTGGCTTTGCGTGCTTTCTCATAGTCGGGTGTGGGGAAAGCCTTTTTTTTTAGGTGAGCAAATTGTTTCCGCGCAGGTTTGTTTGTGATGTTTTCGTTCCATTTTTTTTTATTCGTGCGATGTAATTGCTCGCTCTTCGTTGATACCAAATCCCTATGGCACAGCTCTTCATGATGATTGCAAAAGATGTATAAACAACTTGAATCGCTGAAACGCTCGGACCATAGTGCGTATTCTCTTACACAGATGTCCTGCCCACTATAGTATAGGTTTCATTCGCTTAGAAACGCTTACATTTTTTGTGGTTTTGATACAGTAGTTACTGAGTAGTGCCCTCTCTTTTCAAACAAACAGCAGGTGTATAAAATTAAGTTTCCTGCTGAAGTCTTGTCGTAGATGCGCGGTAATATAGTTACGCTAAATTGGAACGGAATACATAGTTACTATTTGGGAAACTCGTATGCTGTCTCAAATTGCTATCACGTTGATATCAAAAGCTGGACATCAACTAGCTACGGCCCATTTTGTAAGGAAAACACGAGCCGTAGGTTGAGGTGTGATTTTTTATTTTTTTGTTCTTTTTGCCTAGTTTCAGTTTCGGAAACACGTGAAATATCATGTGACGTTTAATTTTGCGAGGCTGTTGTTTAGGCTGTTCAAACGCAAAGGTGACGATTTTTCGGTCGCATTAATTCTAGAAAACTGACAGGTGGCAGATGCTTTTTATAGCTATGACTCAGTGTTCATTAATTTTACCTCTTTAACTGATACATGACTACCAAACAGCGAGTGAATTTCTCCCCAGTGGTTCGAAATGGCACGTAACAACAAAAATTTCTTTGCATTGAGCTAGTGTTGGATTTGGAGCCCGCCCCTTTTTCCTCTCGTAAAAGCCGAGTGCTATGCTGTCCTGCTACTTTATGGTCTTCGAATCTTCGAAATCTATAGTTTGTTCTTTTTCCAGGCACTACCTCGGTGGTTCTTAGAAAAAGTGAGCTCGTAGATCTGTGGACATGATAATTTTAGCGTAGACAACGATGTTCTCACAGCAAACAGTTGTCAATGTCCCAATTTTCTTTTTCTTTGGATAAAGCAAAGGTATCAGCGTAAGAGGCTTCACAACAAAGTTGTAGTTTTTTGCAGAGTTGCAACAAAGTGCTGCTGATAGAACGCCGCACCTGTTCATAAGCATGTTCTGACTCTTCTTATGCTTCGATTCTGTTCATGCGAATACCATAATCTGTTGAAAAGGCTCAGGCTCATCCGAGTATATAGTAGAAATATAAATTTTTCATACAAACGAGCATTTTGTCGAAACGTTATAAACGCTGAACAATTGCCAGCCATAGCCACATTGGTGTGTTTTGAAAACTGCAAGTTTAGAGCTCAGCGCTTTCATGCTTTGTCTACTTTAATCATATTTACCACCAATTTCATTACGATAATAGATGTTCACAGCTTTGCCCTGCACCCAACCAGCACTTTTTCCCTAACCAATTGCTTGGACCTGCGCTAAATGTGTCATTTGCGACAGTTGTCAAGCTAGCACTGTCAGCTGTTCGAATTAAAAGTTTGTGCTGATAATATCGACGTCACACTATGATAGGATACACGAACAGCCTACGAAACATTCATTTTCCATTGACGTCCGATATGAGTAAGGCGGCTGACCTGCACATGCGATTATGGAAAAAGCCCGCGTATATAGCATTACCTTCTCGTCGCAGCCAGCTTATGCAACCTCCAAATTTCCATCTCGTCAGAAAAGTAAGAAAGCGTCAAATTACATCACGTGGAAAGGCTTTTTACTGGGATGCCTCTCGTCTTTTTCTCTTTTTTGCGTAAGTCATACACGGAAAAAATGCCACCAAAAAGGATGTTTTCATTGTTTAATTGATGGGAAAAATGCATAGTGTTGCAAAGTGACCACAAACATTTTGGCGGCAAAATAGCCCGAGCATATAGCAATACCATTCCGAAGAATTTAGCCGATTTCCAACAATTACTCCCAATTTTTTTTGCGTCGGCATTTTACTTGACAATGCCCTATTTGTGACACCTTTACTGATACAAAGTTGTCCCATATAATTCACGAATGTCATAGAGCCTCAGTTCATGCAGTCAGCACTCTTGCCATATGCTGAAAGTGTGGTGGCATGCAATTCAATTCTCAGTCCCATATTCTTTAAATCACTGAGTCAACTACGTATTAAGAAAGAGGCCGTTTAGTGAATGCTTATTCTGAGTGGTGCTCTATCGTTTGCTGACCATAAACTAGCATTAAAAACTCTAAGTATCCATTTCTGTCTACCTTTCACAAAAAAAAACGTTTTTGGAGGGTGCTTGGTCCAACAATGTGCAGCCACATACCCGCAGTCTCCTTCAATTCACTTTATGAACATAGAAGTCCGTACCCTACATCTGATGTGAATTTTGGCACTTACCACTTGCTAAATATGCGTTTCCCACTGTAACATGCTTCCTATATTCTTATCACGTTCAAGCGGTGATTCTTTTAGGTGAGTGCAAAAGTTCGCTCGCCAGATTTTTAAAGAATCACATCCTTCCCTCTTGATGGATTTTCCTGAATTTTTCTTTGAAAGGCGATACCATGTACTTTACAGCAGTACCTCATTTTTGTACGCACAGCATTATCTGAAAATCCATAACCTTTTATAGAAACATTCGTTCAGCAAGATTTTTGCCTAGCTATAAAGACGAGATTATAGAACATATGTTCATGTTTGTTCATTATTTTTTTCAACGTTTTTGGATTTTTGATGAGCTTTTCTAAAATTACCAAGACACTGCCCAACAGGCAGCTTAGCAGATGCTCTAACGGCTGGGTTATCCGCCTCCAAACTGAATCCCAGGATCGTATCTCGCATGGATTCACGGCGCGACACATCAGTTTCGCGTGGGTCTTCGAGCGAAAGCACGCACACACGACGAAGTCGTCCGATAGGACGGTCCCGGGGTCCAGTTTGGAGGCGTATATCTCAGCCGTTAGTGAGCCATTTGCGCAGCCACTTGGACTTTGCCTTAGTTAGAGCCTCAAAATTACTTTCCATGTAAAATCCCCATAGGTCCAGATGTGCCTGGACGCTGCTTTCAAGCGACAGTTAGAAACTACATGATCTCTTCATTTTAAAAAATTCATCCCAGGCAAATCCAGGCAGTAGCAGAGAGCTACGTTATTTCGAAAAATAGTGCCAACGAACTTTTGCACAGACCTAATAAGTGCTTGTAGTATACTTGCCTAACGCAGAAATCAGAATTGCCCTTATCTGATGTTAAATCTCTTCGCTCTCCACTCACGAATTGGAGCAAAAATCTTCACAATTTCTATCTCCTTTACAACTTTCTTATGCCTGTGAGGAAACAAATCACTAATAGGTCGTTGAAAATCTTTGAATTCGTGTTGTATCTGTGGGATAGAAAATAATGTCGTTTTTTTTTCGGGCTTCAAACTACAATTGATTGTTCTAACGAAATTGGGCACGTCTAAGATCAACGATGGTCAAAGTTGCAAATATTTGTAGTATACAACGGCTTATATGGGAGGAGCCCATGCTGGGGCGGAGTTTGCCAATTTCCGATTTTGACTTTTTTCTTGATTTCTAAGCATGAAAAAAAAATATCGCAACCGTACCCATGGATAACTCCACATGTTTTTTACATGCGGGAGCGAGGGAGTGTTCCGTAGTACTTTTGTTACGAAAATCCATTTTTGCATCATGAGTTGCGCTTATATTCTGGTTCCAGTCTTTGCGTAAATCACGATTTCTGCCGTCATCTGTGCCGAACGAAAGGCAAGACTAAATTTAGATCCACTGCTAAGCTCGTGACTAATGGAATCGCAACATTCTTAGACTAGCGTCGTTATAGCTGAGGTTTAGCAAGGCTTTATTCACTCACATAACCTCCATCCTCAATGCATTTTTTACGATGTATGTCTGTGACTTGATAGCGCTATTAAATCTTACGATATGCTCTCGCATACGACTAGCGCAACACCGAACATAAGAATAGGTAGGACCCACCAAGATGAAAGGTCTCTTTACACTAGCGCACGCTGTCTCATTTTATATGCATTCACAGCGTTCAACTCGATCGCGCTTGCCGAAAGTGGACAACTGTTTATCCCACAGGTCCACTGCCCTTTCTTCCATTAGAAAGGACCTTTTGACAGAAAGGATCATTATTAAAAAATGTGATGCGTCTTGTCATGCTAGTTCTTCTCGAGAGTCAGTTGTTGCAATCTCACCATCGGAGCTCTGACTCATTAGTGCTTCCAAACTCATCATCTGCCTGCTACTCTCAACCCCAAGCATAGCACCTGCTCGCGGGCTCCTTGCAGTGTCAGGGATTTCAAAGCGCCTCTTTTCACTTGACACAAAGTCGCACTCCATTACACAGTTCTTTCATGCTGCGTACGACATTTCCAGGGCCATTTCGCTTGGTTGTCTACGTAGAAACATTCGAACGACTTGCTTCACACGAACTTCCCCATCTGAACGGATGGTGTGACGATGAGCAACGAACTGCATCAGCGTCAGCCGAACTACGACCCGTTTATATACTCAAAATCACAAGTGCCCCCGCCAGACTTCAATGACGAACTGGATGATGGTCTAGTGAAAGACAAATTCAAGGATTTTGCCGACAAAACTACAGCGCATGGTGCTAAGCGGATTCTGATAGCTCACAATGGCATCAGCAGAATGTTTTGGATGGGCTTGATTGTGGTCTTTCTAACGTTATTTCTCTATCAAGCCACTACGCTTGTTTTAAAATACAAAAAACACGATAAAATTACGAGTATTTCGGTACTGTTTAACGCTGAAGCAAGTCGAATAGGATTTGAAGATGAATTTTTCAGCTCAAGTTCGACCAAGTCGAATTTCCTGCTATCACATTCTGCAATCTGAATCCGTATAAGAAAAGTTTGGTAATGATGGTGCCATCTATACGAGATACGGTAAGAATACCAGTTTTCTATTGATCGTTTGATAGTGCCATAGTTGTAGAAAAGTCCACTGTTGATTTCTTCGATTATCTGTTTGTTATCTTGGTCTAGCTTCTAAGATTATAGTCTGGTTCGCTTATGGGCTTGCCTACAAGTATATTGTAAGATGTACTTATCGAGAATATTTCCTCTTTGCAAATATTCATTTCTGTATCATTCTTATATACTCGGATTTACGTTCCAAATTATATGGTAGCATATCACATGTAGTAAGCTTTTCAACTCATTATTCACTCCAGCGCGAATGTTCTATCCGGTAGTTTGGTGGTTCTTCATGAGCACAACTCTAGAACAACTGTTTGGTAGACTCTGCACTTTATCATTGAAGCAAATGTTCGAAAGTATTTGTTTATTCTGAAAACGAATTGCTGTAGATTTCAACGCTTTATCGCAAGATAATTTATCACACTTAAGTGCTGAAGCACTTGATCCAGATACTAATTGAAGGATTACCAGCTGTGTTGCGCCTCGTGGTAATTTCATTGAGTAGAAAGCTTGACAAAGGACAGTTCAAAAACTCATCTAACTTAGTCTATCCTGAGAATAGTATCTCGCACGTGAGCGGTTGAAAAAAAAAGAGTTCAATGTACTGCACTAACTTGCATCCTAGAACTGATCTTAAGACACTACATGATCAATTGAATTCATTGATCTGAGCTGTAGTTCAGTTTTTCCACAAATTCTTCTTCATGTACGAACGCACTGAATAATACGCAGCAATCTGTTGTGCTTATGTGAAATCTTAGATGGACGTATATGACAACGCTAAATCACATAGCAAGACGGACGTGCCCAAGAAACCAAAGTTCAGACGGAAGCAATTTCAAGTCGAGGCGGCAAAAAGGGTTAGTTGCAGTCGTTTGTCATAGTTAACAAGTTATTCCACGATTGTCCATTATAGGTGCAACAGTTATTCGAGAAAGAAATTGCTCAGGGACAAGAGGAGTTGCGCAAGCAACAACTAGCTCGAGGAGAAATTAGACGCATTGCGAAAAGAGATGTGAGTGTACAGATCGGAGCAGGGCTCAGCAGAGGTGGCTCTTTCACACGCTGGATGTCGTTTTAAAGGGGAAAGCAAAGGGGAACCCGTAAAGTTTCCACCCAGAAATCTGACGAAATTTTAGAAAGCTCAACTCTAACTCTTAGCAAGCTCGAATTTGAAGGTTTAACGTAACTTCGTTATCTGCAGGTAAATTAACTCGAACAAACATGACTAATGCATGACCTTGTATGCACACGATTTCAGTTTGTCAAAACACAATCTTTACGCACAAAAATGTAAAAAATCGGTTTGTTTACAACGAATAAGCAAAGTTGAGCCACAAATTTTTTGTGTACTCCGCAGCAATGGTCAAAAGAAAATTACGAAGATTTATGAAAAATTATGTGATCTAAAGGAGTTGTAAGTGTTTTTCGATCTTAGTTGCTTCCGCGCGACCTGGGAGCGCCCTGAGGTTGCGCGGGACCAGAAAAAGGCACGAAGCCTCACAATTCTCCCTTTCCTTACATAAATTCTTTTTTTAAATATAAATCTATATCAGATCGATCTCTACCCGTAAGTACTCACCTTAACCCAAGTTTCGTCCCCTAAGCTTTGTTATGGCTTTTGATGATATAAAACAGCCTTTTTTTGCATTTTGTTTCTTAATATTTAATTTATCTTTGTCTTTTCCTCAGTTCAATCCACTTTTTATCGATTTTTTGCTTAAAGGCAGCGTCCAGGCAAGTCTGGACCTATGGGGATTTTTCATGGAAAGTACTTTTGAAGCCCTAACTAAGCCACTGTCCAACCGGCAGCTCAGGTAATGCCCTAACGGCTGAGATATTCCCCTCGAAACTGGACCCCGCGACCGTGTTTCGCATGGATTCATGGCGCAAAGCGTGGATCCTGGTGCGAAACTGCCATGAATCCATGCGAATACGTTCGCGGGGGCGAGTTTCGAGGGGAATATCTCAGCCATTAGAGCACTACATGAGCTGCCGCTTGGGCAGTGCCTTAGTTAGGGCCCCAAAAGTACTTTCCACGTAAAAGCCCCATAGGTCCAGATCTGCCTGGACGCTGCCTTTAAGCGTGACCAAGATGGTAGATCTTTATTAATGATTTCAATCCACTTTTTTCGCAGATTCAGGAGGGCTTTTACAGACACTGCAAAGGTATCTCGTAACTTTCTGCAATAAAAGGGCTTCCTTTGATTTCTCATATACCACCTCATGCTGAGCCCTGGATCGGAGATAGAAGCGGATATATTCTGTTTGCAGTTCTGGTCTTCAAAGAGCATTATGGAACTAACTGAACATTTAGGCTAAATTCGATCCAAGATTTGAGGCGATTGAAGCTCATTGCAAATGTGTAGGCAGTCTCGATATGGAATGCATACGATTTGAAACGCCACCGAAGGATGAAGTGCGTACATTCAGAACATGCTTACAAAGTTTGGAGACTTTCTTCCAGATTTTCTGCAAAACTTTCTCGTACTTGTCTTTGAAAAATTCCAACAAAAGAGCTGCAAAATTCTATGTGCAAAGTTGCGCTGCATTGGGAATATTTTATAGATATCATTAGAATTCGATTTAGCACCCTGAACAAATTTGATGTAATACCATTTCCGTTTCTATCTAGCAAATGCAAATTTTAGAATGCAAAGTGCGTTTGTACCTACGATCGCGAAATGATGGTGGCTTGGCCATGCTTTAACATAAGGTAAATAATTTTACTCCTTGTCACAAAGAAAGACACTGTTACCTTGCAGCGTATGGTATGACCACACATGCCCTTCGTGTAAAGAAGATGGATATTGTGAGTATAGTTCACATGAAGGCGGAGAACCTGATAAAGATGCATTAGAATGGCCGTGCAAATGTCGCAATCGCACAGAAAGTATAGAGATAGTGGATGTGAGTCATAAATCTTACGCATTATTGAATGCAAATGTTCTCGAGGACAGTAGTAACGGAAGGACAAAAAGAAATATTGTGTAGAACATATTCTACACTTTAATTCGTTTCAGCCATTGGAAAAGCTGTACGGGTTTACGCAGGTATGTTTAATTGAAAATTGGTGACAATCCTACACTGAGCACTAGTGATGTGGAAATTACTTTCACTGGTCGTCCTTATACCCCTAAGTATGATTGCAGCGGATTATTTCATTCAAATCTGTCCCCCCTCCCCCACTTGAGTTCAATTTGTTGCAGTCATACTCCGAAAAAGCATATTCTGACAGCCACATATGAGCGAGAGACACTATAAATACTATCAGCATCTTGATCCATCACTGTTACTACACTTCCTTGTCACAAACCACTGACTGTCGTTGGGCTGCATGAAAAAATGAAGCGAAGATGGATTGAGAGCAGTGCATCTCCTTTAGGCTCCTTATTGCATCGGCAAACGTCCGCGGGAGATTCGAAAGTTGTGGGTTGACGACTTCTCAAACACTACAATCACCTCTACTACTCGTACTACTACGACAAGTAAAGCCAGTAAATGTATCTTTGCATTAGATCGATTGAGCTCATTTTTCTAGCCACAACGACCACGACCACAACAACAACACCCACAACACGTAAGTCATCTTGTAGTATCTGTGTTTTTGCCTGAATGCTCTGAATAAATTTAGCTGTAGTAACCATACCTCTTTCCTCCCCTTCCACTACCTCTACACGTTCTACCTCTACCTCTATCATCACTACCACAACGCAGTCACCAACTAAAGGTAGAGGATGCAAATGCTCACTTGTTTGTGTGTGGACTAATGTGATAAGTAAACACACACCTATGCACAAACATCAGGATGCTATATCCAGTGAGCAAGAACGGTTTCCATTACTGACGTCCTAACCCCGATGCTTCGATCACGTCTCAAGTTCGCTAACTGCCTCAGCTTTCTGGCCTGGTTTTAGTGCAATTTGTTTGATTGCTGTCACTCAATCTCTCCGTGTTTTATCGGAATCGAATTACAGTGGAAACACGTATTTTCTCTGATAGGTTCGTAATCTTTCCAGAAAGAAAGCTATTTCAGCAATGCCGACAGCTCGGCCCAATCAGAGAGCGATTGTGAGCAATCCGGAAACTATCAAAGCTATGGGGTTTTCGGTAAGTCACTGTTTCTTACTCGAAGGTAACAGCTCGGCAGATTGTACTATACGACTCGTGTGACAGCTGAAGTTGGTAGGATAGGACCTAAACGCACAAGCGCAGCACAGTGAATTGATCGCCGACTAGAATCAATGCCAAACTTGCTCCCGTACAGTACAAAGTAGCTCAAGTGTTGAGTCTTTGCGAATCAAAGAAGCGACAAGCAAGGCAAAGCAGGACAGTGTTTTGAGTCGCGGTTGCGGCTACCGCGATTCCGCTGGTACCGTAATCGGGAGCAAGTCTGACGACGTCCCTTCTACGACGAATGATAAACTTGCGCCCTTGTTGGTTTAGGACCGCAATCAGTTTTGTAAGGCAGCGTGATCTGAATTGTCAAGTCACTTCTTTAAGTACGTGAAGGTGAAGTCAAAGTGCCGTTTTCAACAACTTCGCAGTCCTTTAAGTAGACTAGAACTCTCCAATGTGTTGCTATTCCTCATGTTCTAGGGAATGACTGATGGTGTTGCGATGCTGACAAGAGCCAAAGAGAACTTGATGTTTACCATGTCTGCATTGTCTGTCGATCAGCGTATAGCCTTATCTCAGAGCAAGCGTGAATTCATAGAGATGTGTTCTTTTAATGGACATGAATGTAATATTGAAGAGTATGTTAACCATTTATTAGCCGCTTTTGCTAATATACTTAAATCGGATGTTACTTCAGGGACTTTCGTCTTCATGTCGATCCAGAGTTTGGTAATTGTTACACATTTAATTATGATGTAAACAACAACTACACAAGCAGCAGAGCAGGACCAATGTATGGTAAGTGCCTGGGGAGCGGTTTGATTTAATAAGCGCATTATCATCCCCCATATGTCATCATGGAAAAGATGAACCTGGTGAAACTATTTTAAGGAATAAGAGTGCTCCTTTTCGTGAACACTTCTGACTACATGTCAACTTCGGAGTCAGCTGGAGTGCGCCTTGCAATACATGCCCCTACCGAATATCCATTTCCCGATACTTTTGGCTACTCGGCTCCAGTGGGCTTTGCCAGCAGTTTTGGCATGAAAAAGGCAAGATTATTTGCCCCTATTAGGATGCCTGCTTCAATGTTCAATACAATGTTTCCAGAAACTAATTCAAAGGCTGTCCAAACCTTACGGAGACTGCATTCATCCAGAAAGTTTCAATAAAACTGATTATATATACCAAAATTACGACTATCATCCTGAAGTGAGTGCTAAGCTGAATGCACTCCATGCAGTAAACTGTTTTCAATCTAGGGATGTCATCGAAGTTGCTTCCAAACGAATTTACTGCGTGATTGTGCGTGTGGGGATCCACGCTTCCCAGTGCCGGAAAACAGCAAACATTGCTCAGCATTCAACGCAACAGCAAGTAAGATTCGCTTTTAACTACGCCATGGTGCGTCCTTTGATGGACAATCTGCAGGAGACTGTCTGGAAAGGAACATTGGTTCCGTCGGGGATTTTCATCACATAACAGAAAGAATGAATTGTGAATGCAAGCAAAGATGTACGGAGGTGGTGCATGAAGTCACATTCTCGACCAGTAGGTGGCCCTCAGGAGCGACGGATGTAAGTAAAGAACTTAGCATTTTCACACATCAAGAATCTATATGTGTCTCCGTTTTCATACATGAGCAAACGTAGCAAAATGTTTACTTGGTCAACACTTTTACGCATCTGTTTACCTTTTTTTCAGGAGAATACCGGGGTACATCTTACTAAGTTTATTCTGCAATCTCCTTTAGCATGCATGCAAAACTTCCTCGAAGCCCTCTGTGCTTGTTAAGCTACCTCAAAACCTGGGGGTGCCGTTCACGACCGAGACAAGAGCTGATGGCTAGATCAGTGATAGACTGATCTAGCCATCGCTCTTGCCACCGAGACTGATGGCTAGATCAGTGATAGCTGGCTAGTCATCGTGCTTGATCTGGCGTCGAGGCTATTCTTTGCCAAGAGCGCTGGAGGGCTTCTGTGGTGCATATCGGCTGGTGTACTCACACACGGCACTATACCCACTCACTCCTCACTTGTCAGCTCTACATCTCGCAGGGTAGTGAACTTTCGAATGAAACGTGCGCCAAAAACCAAATTTCAAGCACCGCTCAGAAAGAAGTGTTTTGGATGTAACGTACTAGCCTTGACTGGAAATATTTATGATTTTTTAATCTCGTTAATAATCTCTTTAAGGAGGTACTGCATCTGTTTGACTTCATGTCTATAATCTGTCTTAGTTTTAGTGAATCTTGGAGTGTGTCTTGATCATTGAACAAATTGGGTCAGCACCAAATCTTCTTTTTCATTCAAACGATTCATTTGAAGGCTCACACGTTGAGACTACAGTTTTCACCTAGATTGTGGAATTCATGCCGCCCTCCTCTATTGTATATAACGCGGTGAACGATAGCTTAAGTAGTACTGACCAGGCATTTTCGTGAAGTTACCCACTGAAGCAACTACACTACACGCAGATTCAAAACGGAATGTGAGAAGTGCAGGTTGTTATCCTCAACAAGCAACATATTCAACAACTTTATTCGCATAGAAACTGAATTACGCCGGAGAGTTTAGCATTCCGTCTAACTGCGCTAAGTATTCACTCAACCTTGGCGTGATTCACATTTTCAAAATTTGCAGCGATTATTGTAAAAAAGTGCCATAACTTTGCGTAATGTTAACGTTAGGCAGATATGGAGAATGGATTCAACATCATCGAGCTTTTTGGGAATGGCTTTTTCACTTGTGATTACTCTCTTTTTGATGTAGGTGGGCTGCAACACTGCTGGGTCGCAAGGTATCTCAAGGCTGAAGCAGCTAATGCAACAACTGAGGGCCTTTTATACTGCTCCGGCAGTCGCCGCTAGCTGCCAGTAACGGCAGTTAGCCGCTTGGCCGCCGGAAGCCGCCTGTGACCGCCACCGGTCACCTACTGCCGCCGCTAGCCGCCTGTAGCCGCGTAGCCTTCACTGAAGCGCGAGGTCATCAAATTTTCAGACGCTTTAATGTATCCGTCTATGCCTGCTCATCATCCATGCTTTTTTCTTATACCCATGTGCAATCTGCTTCTCATACAGTATCTTTCTGTCGTCTTTATGTGGTTACTCTAGACTGCATATTCTTTTGGTGGTCGATTTTTAACGCGGTTTTGTTTTTGTCTACAAGGAGGGATTCCCGAGTCAGAAGTACGTGGACAGTTGCGTTGGCGTTCATCGGTAGTGTGATTCTCCAGCAGATTTGGTTGCGTCCAGTAGACTTTAGAAAACATTGCCCACCGGTAGCATATTCAAGCTTTCAGAACAGCCACATAATAGAGAATGAGTAAAAAGATAATGGAGAGTCAGAATGCGCATGGATGAGCAGCTAGATGAATGCATTGGGAGCGTGGTGAATGCGATGATTTCGGTTCTCGCGAACATAAGCGGCTACTGGCTACAGGCGGCTACCGGCGCCTACACGAGGGCGGTATGAAGGCACCTTGAGTAGATTTTGAAAAATATTCGAGAGGTTTTTCTGTCAAACGAGAGAGCGACGATGAAACCTCGGATGATAAAAACAACATTTGATGCAGCGCAGAAGCCGAGTGCATTTGTAACACCCTTCCATAGTGAAGAGAAAGTGAAAAATAAACATGTTAAGCGCTGTTACGAGTCAGATTAACACGTTGACGACAGCGCCGCGCAGTGATGCGCGGTAGGCAGTCCCTGTGGACGACGCCGCGCAATGGAGCGCGGCACTCCAAATTCCAGTTCTAAGGTATCCAAACGTTCTAAGTTGTGTTGTCATAATCACTTTAGGCTAAGGGGTAATTCAGGTCGGCCCCGCCCCTATTTTGGAAAGCTCCGCCCGCTCCGCGGTTTGCAAGAATCTTTTTCGTCCTTAAATTGCATGGAAGAGGCCATGAATGACCGCGAAACCTCAAGCTACTTCAACCTTGGCGCGCCATCTTTTAGGTACGCCTCGCCCTCTCGGTGGCAAGTTCCGCCCACTTTTAAAAATGCCGAAAATCGTACAAAATTTTGAAGTTAGCAAAATCCAGCATTTTTGGCCGAGTGGGCGGGGCCTGCCAAAAGGGGCGGAGTTGCCCCGCCCGCTTGTGATTTTGTTCTTCGCACATAGAAGCGTGCTTACTTACATGCAGCCAGGAGTAAAAATGCAGGGAGACGGCTCCTCCACGGGGACAGACACCAAAAAATGGCTTGGCGTTAACGTGTTGAGCATGCTCCGCGTTACTGATTCTGCTGTAGATTTCAAAACAATCTTGAAGAACGAACTTTTGAGGGTAGCTTGTTCATAAGGGGCGGGTGGGAGTATTGTTCTGAGCTATCGTTCATCCTGACCTCCAACTTACACTGCACGTACAACACCGCTGACAATTTCTGCAAATAGACGCTACGGTCACCTGAGTTAGGACATCGCCCGTAGCGTGGCTATATCTCGCTTCAGAATATACAGTCTTGAATTCAACGGCATCATTCGATTCAGGTCGACGAGGGGCATCATTTGCTTAGAGGTGCTTGTTTGCTCACGGTAGGTGCATGGTAGGGCGCCAGATTTCGCAAATCTTTCCAAATTTTTGCCTATGGTGGTATTTATAGATCATTGTACACCGGCTAACCTACTGTAATTAATTATATTCGTTTGTGAAAACTGGCTGCCTACCATGCACACGACGTATCACAGCTGCTACTATCAGAAAATGCGCCTCGTCGAGCTTGATCAAATGGTGCTCGATTCAGATTCAGTCCATTCTGAAGTGAGATATTGCCACGGCAAGGTGTTGGCACTCAGCTCAGGTGATCTTCGCATTTTTGCGGAAATTATGAGCGATATTGTATCTTATCTCATAAGCACTTCGGTCGCAGTCATACCACCGGTGACAAGTGCTAGCATGTGGTTGTGGTTGCGAAGATAGATACGATGAAATTTCAGCTTGGAGACTGTGATGGAATGACGGAAACGGAATGTGAGAATTACTACCGTCTGAATGCAGCCATGGTCGAGGTATATAAAACCAAAATTGCATTACTTGAATGCGAATATTCATGACATTCTAAGGTGTTCTACGAGCAACTAAATTATGAGTTACTTCAAGAATCTGAAGCCTATGGACTTGTGAACCTCATCGCCGACTTCGGTGGACATCTAGGTTTATGGCTAGGTTTGTTGGGGTTTCGAATCACATTATAGTAGTAATAGATTTGTTTCACTTCAGGATTCTCAGTGATTACGGTCATGGAAGTGATAGTTTTGGTAGTGGATGTGTTGTCTATTTGTTTCCGGAGAAGAAATGACAGAATGATGAAGAGTAATGAGCATAGCAAGGATGAAAAAGCATTCGCGCAACCACCAAGTAATGAAAAATCAAAATCGCTTGTACAGATATGACTGGGACTCACTTTACAAAGTTGTGATATACATTGTTGCTGATATGCATAATGTTTGTACAATAAAGTTGTTTTTTTTGTACTAAGGTTGCTTACTTTCTATGACATAACCGAGCGTTTACCGGTATTCTTTAAATTCGTATTTTTTTGATGTTGAAGATTTTTGATTTATGATTTTTGGTGTTTTTGATGTGTGCTACAACCTCTGAACTCCATTCAGCGTGTACACACACGATATATGATATAAAAGCCAATGACTTGGCTGCAAGATTTCTGAGGTATGCTCTACTTTCCTAATCAAATGTTGTAATTGATGGTCATTTTGCTTGTACCTCACTGGCAACAGCGCCGACCACAGTATCTGTGGTTGTTTCACGCGACTAATGCCATTTTCTTTGAGAAACAATCGCTTGTATTGTGAAAACAGCGTTGAAATTCAGAATTGGGCAGTGTCTTTGAAAAAATCGAACTTCAGGTTTCCTCTCATGACTCAGGTGCTGACAAGGGAATGGTCAGAAGTCGAAGTGGCCAATTCATACAAGCTGCATGCCAATAGATGCAGCATAAAACGCTGACTCTAAATCTGTCTTCCTTATCTGCAGAGCGCTTTTATGGACGAAATTATAAGCCTTTGAAGGCCATTATTTTGCTAAGAAATTGGGCATGTAAAGTGCAAACTTGGCCGTACAAAGCCATTCTTAGCTCACTGTCGGACCAAAACTTGCAACTAGGTCACATCATATGACCCGTACCTAGAGTTGAGCTGAAAGGGCAATAATGCGCCTAATTTTGCAATTTTTGTATACGGTTTTTTCGCAGCAAAGCTGCTCATAACTTCGCCTACAAAGGCGTTCTGCAGATATGGAAGACAGATTTGAAATCAGCATTTTATGCGGCATCAAATGGTATGCAGCTTGTTTGGTTTGGCCACTTCGACTTCTGACCATTCCCTTGTGAGCAGAAACGTGCTAATAAATTTGTAAGATATGAAAGCCTCGTTGAAACAGGCATCCGTAGGACTTCTCGCTTCAATAACGTCCTCCACTCCGCTGGCAGTTTTGCCAATTTCCATACTAGAAGAGGTCTTTATGTGCACACAAGCGTGCGCTGAGACAGTTTGAACCCGCTACTAAGGCCGCAGCGTAGATACAAATGTTACCCCTAAGGAACTTTTGACACAAAATTACTTACAAGTTTGATCTCCCAACGATTGCGTTGTAGATAAAATAGAACGTCCTCCCCTGACTTCAGGCAGCATGAAGCTTGATCAAGGCAGATAATCTATCGCATGACTTCTGACATGAATGTATCCAGCGAGATGCATAAGTTATTTTGCAATCAGGTGCAATCATCTATCAGATGCACACAGCACTAAAAATGACCTTCTACCGTTTGCTTCTAGCTACCTCTCGGGTTGCATACTTTCAATAAATACTACATGCAAAATCTTTATGGCCTTGAAATAGTATTTACAGCATTATTGACTAATATTTACATGAACTGGTTGTTGTTCAAACATCCAGCGTCCTAACAGCTTGGGAGAGCACGTTATTTGGATTTAGCGGTATGGGAAGTTCGCCAACGCAGTCGGGTGCTTCTCTGAATTGGAAGTATGGTAGTACAAAAAATCCGTGAAGTCCATTTTCAAGTCCATGCCATCCCCTGTCTTGCAGTAAAATTCTGGGACCCAACTAATTGCCATCAGATTTGCAGAGATATGCTCCTTTTTAGGTGCCTCAGTACTCCAGCAGTTCAAGGTAAAACAACCGAACGGCGGTAGGGGGAATGCAGCCACAAAACCAATGGAAGTAGAGAGCTTGCCCATGTACTAACATAAGTTATATAGAAAGTATCGTCAAAGCAGACAAAAGAACAGAGTGAGCAGCCATCTCAGAGGCGACCGAAGGTATTTACGAGATGCAAGGTGATGCCTGTGCGCAGCATTCGCGCCTCACAATATACTACAATCCCTTCAACAGACTTGGACTTTACCTTCTGTTATTCGGACGTTGCGGTCGTCTCACTAATCTTAGCAGATCAGGGTCTACTCGAGGTGACAGAAGACGATAACCAGGTACCTTAAAAATCATTTTATCAGAGCGAATTACGAAAGAAGTACTTCTTACCGGCGCGTCTAGGTTGTCAACAAACATTCTACCAGCTCTGTCTGTCAGCCATCTATCGACAAAGGAATAAGTGATGCACGAGTAAAAGAAGTATAGCTTACTTTTGGTAATCTTCAGCCAAACCGCGTATTGGGCCAGATATCCCAGCGAAAAAGTGCTGCACGCAGCGATGAATGAAGATGTACTGCATGGGGGTCTCCACAGAAAATGGTCGTTGCCGGCGTAGAAAATGAACAGCTTTTTGAATGGGGTGCTTTATAAACAGATTTGTAACAAAGCTGAAAGCCAACAATTCCAACTTCAACCTTGTAAGTAGGGCCTTTGATGATGTTGCAAATCGCTATTTCGGTAGCCACAACGCATGCAGCGCGCGAGATCCCTAAAAAAAAACTCGAGTGAACCATTTCATGTAGACTCATTTCTATTACTGACCGAGGCAATCGTGCACAACAACCGGACGGACACAATTTCTGGCCAACCGAAGTATCGTGAGTGGAGAGTTGAGATTGCTTGAGTTATTCATGTCTGCCTGCCAGTGTTCAACGCGATGCTATAAATATAAATATCTGACGGCTATGTTTCCATTCAACGTATCGAAGACGTATTAGACTACTCTCTAATTGCCATGCTTCGTCAAACAACAAATTAGTTTACTTATAGGCAGGAGATTTGCAATTGATCTCTTTTTCAATTCAACAAATTTATGGCTTACCTCCTCACCGAAGTCGTTCACAATGCGGATGTGCGTGACGCGGAAAATCGGGTCGCGGGTCGAAGATATTCCAACATTATAAACATGCAAACCAGAAAAGTGTAGTGCATCAGACTCCTGTCGACTACATAGGCGGTCAGAAAATTTTGATAATTTGTATACCATGTTATAGAACATACCGTGGCCAGTATTCCGCACAGCGGCTCTTATCCTTCCTACCAATTAGCATGAAGATGTATGGAGCTTTCTCTTGCCAAACCATTCGCCAAAAATCACCTTGAATGAAGAACGTGATCAAAGTGGTGAAAGTCATTATAAATCGATACTATGGAATGACATAGTCATTTTCACTGCTGTTTCGGGTAGAGGGTCGAATAACGCCCTCAGGCGCCGAAGTCGGAGACGGTACCTATTGGCGGTAGTCGTTCCTCCACCCGAAACACCAGCCAACTTCAAGTGCTCATGGACGTGAACAAGGTGTTGCTAAAGTCAGGGAAAGAGAGCTATGCTGGGGAGAAAACTGTACACTTACTAGTACTCACCTACAGTATTATCCATTGGAGCTTGTGTTACGATGAATTTGTTGAACAAGGGTCCATTGCTGATGTAATTAGCATGAATGAAAGTTTCGTTCGTGTTAGGAGGATAGTGAAGAACCACTCTTGAAGAGTCACAGCACTTCACTCCTAAAAGTCTCACCGTCACGGATACGACTGAAAACTGTCAGAGAGCCCTGTGGCTCTTATGATCCAATAATAGCACTGATTCTGAGCAAGCGCAAAATCCAGCAGAACAATATTTATTCGAAGATCGCAGCTAGACGTGAACTTACTGGGGTTCCGACATTTCTCTAGGTTTTCGTCGAACGCAGCATGAGTAAAAGGAAGATGGTTCACTTGATTATCTAGTATCTCAAACCTAAGCAACCTTTTTTATCGTTTCTCGTAAATGATTAGTGTAATCTCAAACACCTCCTCTCCATTCCTCCAGTTATACTGCACACAAACTTCTGTTTCTTGCTTGGACCAAACATACGCTTCCCTAGTTGTATGTTGTTATAATCTGTAAAAATAGATTGCAAGTAAATTCACAAAAAGATAAAACACGACCTACATTTCCCAGCCACTCGTATCCTATCGCGATCAGCATGCGTTTGTTGGTTGTAGAGTGCAAGACGCGTTTGTAGTGCACGCGGATCCAACTCGGTTGCAAGATACGTCGTCAATTCGGTATTCCTGTTTCGAATTATAAGGCTGATCTTGTGCCAATGTGGAAAATTATCACCTTGACACCAGCGGATCGTGATCTGTTAACCAAGAGCTAGCCTCGCTCGTCATCTCTAATCGGGAACGCAGCACTTGAAGCCGAGCCTCTTGTAATGTGATGCGGTTGTCAGTGAAGAAGTTCGAAGAGATGCCCACCTAAAAAGTACGAACTAACGCAAGTAATACGAGTACACATCAATACCTTTTCGCAGATGTTTTTCAGGGGAACCACCCAACCTTGGCGATTATATGGCTTGGCAAGTTTCTTCCCATCATCGACAAGAAACATGTCAGTGTAGCAATTTTTCCATTTATCATCATACCTAAAGGAGAATGTTCACATGAAAGAGTACAATGTGTTGAAAAAAATATTTTTTCTGTTGTAGTTGCAGAATAAATCTTATCTGTACGAACCTTGAATGTTGGAACGTTGCGAAAAATCATCTACAGCAGTGCTCTAAAGCATTTGACAAATTATTCGCTTACTGAGGTTGATACAGCAGGTTCTGTACTAGCTCGGGATTTCCCCTACATTCCGCAACAAGCTGTCGCATTCTTGCATCCGAGACTGGTACTAAAGAGTAAAGTTATATGATCATATTGTAAGCACTTGCAATAAATTATGAACCACCTGTCGGCGAATCAGAAGCATTGCCGATATCCTGAAATTCACTATTTTGAAAAAAAAATTCCAAGTATTTAACATTTATTGAAAACGAGCAAAACTTGTCTGATGGACAAGACTAATCTAGCATACATTCTGAATCAAAACTAAATAAGTTATTCTTCCCTCCAAAACAAATAGTTGAAGAAAGCTAAGTCATGCACCTCGTTGGTATCCAGTATCTGAGCCGCATGCAGCGAAAAGACACCCGGAGATTGATCTGCGCTTCTCTATCAAGAATAGATTACTCTCTGAGAATAAAATACTAAACATCCCCACTTTAGCTTGCATTTCTTTGGCCAGTCTTTCTTTTGTACACAGGATTAGCTTTGGCTGAACGTCAATCGCCGTACGAGCAGCGAAAAGCCTCATTCTTGTTTCCTGTATGAAAACTGTCTTTCCGCATAAAACAAATCTATAATTGTACAAATCTATATTTATACTGAACATACCTTGAACTGCCGCTGAGTTTCGTTCAAGAACATAGTGTTTTTCGAGTCGTTGTATAGTGAAGATATTAGTTGTGAAAAGTTCTGAATTATTCGAATTAAATTAATGAATATTGCACCGATTTTTACCTTTTTGTTTTTATCGCGTGTCGCAATAGGTGCTCCTCTAGGAACTTCTACTTCGCTGTCTTGCGAATGAGGTCTTCTCTTTCTAAAATACTGAGAATACTATCACCGCAGATCCACTGCTGAAGATCTGAAACCCGACTCTTCGGTAGATGCAAAAACAGAATCTTAGAATGATCTTGATCGTCGCCAGCGAGGTTATGAGCAGACGGAAGACACATGAACCCTTTGCAGCATGAATCTTCGAAGAAAGGCTCTTGTATTCACTAATAAGGCAATACTTTAACAACTTCATCGCCTCCGCCTTCATTTCAACAAGTAGGTCTCTGCCTTCATTCAACAAGTAGCTTATTATGATTGAAGCGAATATTCCGTCCATATCTCCCTATCAATCCATTCAACTTCTACGTTTTGGTCACAATGGGCTTATGCAATTAGTGCCCTATCAAGCTTTGTTTTGATCTCAAGAGTTGAGATCAGTGGCGGTCCCAGGATTTCGGACCGGGGGGGGGGGGGGGAGACAAAAAAATTTTCCGAGTGAAGGTACGTGGCGTTAGCCACGCACTTCGAAAAAATTTTTGGGATGCTGTCCGAAATTTTTGTGGGCCCATGACCCAAAAATGTCAGAAGGGGAAAGATTTGGAGGCCCATGATTCAAAAAAGAGAGGCCGAAAATCTTTCTCTACAAGGCTAATTTGAATTTTTAAAAAATTTAAAAAATTATTTTATTTACTTACAAGTATAAATAAATCACTTGCACATTTTTATAACCCATATAAGTAACTTCCAAAAATTTGCGACCCATTCTGGGAAGGGGGGGGCGTTCCTCGCTCGCACCGCCACTGGTGGAGATGACTTGCTTGAAGGCTCCGTCCACCCTGTTCTCGACTTCTATGTATGTTTTTGTCGTTCCGGGTCTTCTCATGTACCTCGTCCCGATTTGAATATACAGTCGAGAATCCGCGAAACCCCCATTCGATCCCCATTCGGGAGAATCCGATAATCCCATTCGGGAGAACCCGCGGGGGAAGTTCTCGCAACCATGATTGGATGGGCGAGCATTATTGGAGGGGCGTTGTCCACTAGGGTCCCTGCTCTCTTCGTTGTACGGGAGCGATTTTCTCGCTCCCGAAGCGACATTTTGCGCCGCGAGTTGGACATTGGCTTGGTGAGGCCCTAATGTACACTGCCCAAAGCGCTCAAGACCTCTAACTTAGGGTAAACAGTGCTTTCAAGACCCAGAACTTTCTATTATAGAATTCATTGAGAGGAGTGAAAAACATGTATCCTATCCTCTTTTACAGTAAGTATGATGTCTCATGTCAGATCCTAGGTCTGCTCATCTCACGCAGTGTCTTATGAAACGCTTCGTGAAATAATTTAGGCCAGTTGCGAAAATCAAATTCTCAAAACCATTGATTCTTCATACAACAAGTTTCATGGAGTTCTGAGCAGCAAGATAAACTAGTGGTACTTTTAGCGGTATTTTCGAAAAAAAAAACTCGGGTGATTATTTACGGTAGCCTCATTCTCTACGTACGCAACTGAATTTTATTTAGACAGCGCTTTCGAAATGCATCACTTATTCTTTGCACTAAGCCCGACCGAGCGAGGTACCCCCAAAAACAAGCGTCGTTCGATCTTAGTTCATACACCTGGAGAAGCGATTCTTTCTCGAAGTTGAAACGTGATATCATCTGCTGCGAAGTCAGTACACAACAAAAAAAAATAACAACAAAGTATGCAGTACAGCTTTTGTATGATTACCTCTCCTGAAATTTCCCCTTGTAGATGTCATTTTTGCAAAGATTCTAAAAGCATTCCATATGCTGCCAATCACCGAAAAGCTGCTTTTAGTGATATGATTTTGGAGTATTCATAAAACTTGACTAATTCAGTGTACCAGCAGCTCATTTATGGGGGGGGGGGGGGGTTCATTCAACTATTTAGCCCTTTTGCGAAGTCACAGACTGCTAGAAATTATGCAAAACTTGGGCGATCTGGATTGAACACGACGCACTAGCTTTACATGACAAAGGAGGAGCGCTGAGAGCACACAGTAACATTCTTTCCCTCAGATCTGTTATATATCTAGCACTAAATCACAACATCCCTTTTTCTTTATAGTTGCCAAAACTTAAAGAAATCAAGCGACTACTCTCTCATTTCGAAACAAACTCCGCACAATTCGCAGTTTCATCAGCGCATGTATACCGAATAAGGATCAGTATGCTTGAGCAAACAGATTCTTTGTTGTATGAACGATAGGCACATCTCTAAATAACATGGTTTTTCAGATGTCTCCATCATGCATGCTGAACGGCCTCATAGAAACGTTGACGGCATGGCTTTGTGATCAATCCGGAAATTCGTTTGAATGCCGAAACGGGTACCGTTGCTTAACATGGTGCGTAGGGCTAATTGCAAGATCCTTACAAACGTCTTTCGCAAACGTTGAAGTTTCGCAAAGCAATCTCAACTTCAAAAATCGATTAGCGGTAATCTCGTATACTAATCAGGCACCCGGCGCGCTAGAGAATGATCTTCCATCGATCGATTCGCCCTTTTCCCGGCCCCGCCGGCCGGCCTTCATTCGCGGCACTGGCATTGGAACAACACTATTCACCTCACAACCATTCTTTTCTACATATATCCTCGACTCTATTCAGATTACATAGTACACAGATACCACCATGTCATCTAAACCCACGAATTTTGAATCATTTGATGCGCTAAACGGAAAAACTGAAAGTACAAAAAGCACTTGCACCATATTATGTTCGAGTTAGAACAATAGCAGTGCATCTTGAACAAAATACTGAGATACGGAGATACTTCTCGCTCTCCTCCACTGTCTTTCCTAATTACATTATAAAATTGATCACAGTTATTTTTACCCGCATAATCGAGCTTGCATACACTTTTGGGTAGATATCCCATGGGCCAGAATCAAAGACTTAATAGCACTCCACAAAACCAACCTCGCAACAAGCAATCATTTTCTGGTGAGATACATAGGTCAAAAAGAAACTTAGTGACCTTATTCATGATTTCTCCGGAGGCAAATCCAATAACGCCTGCAGCATACTCATTAGCACTAGTTTCATCTCATCTTCATCTGGTATCATATACATGGTATCGCTTTTCGATTGTCGAAGAACGATTATTTTGCCACACATCAAATTTTGGTATTTCTCGAACTTATACAAGTCATGGTGCTTTTTTCTTTTCACAAATTAACATTCCATTAAAAAATACTCGCTATTGAATTGATTTGCACTCTCACCCTATTATCAGTGTACTTCGTTTCATATATCATCCCAGTAAAATACGAAACATCAACTTTTCAAAAGAAAAGATCACAACCATTTTCACCTCGGTACCATCTGCATCAAGTTTGTTATACGAAAGCAAAACGCAATTTCTAGCTTCGCTGTTCTACTTTGCAAAAATTTGGGATGATTTCTAATATAGTTTCTCCTCAAGAACTAACTTATGCTCAGCCACAAACCCATTCTTCTCATTATGCCCTTCGTTCTACGATTAGTACCCTACTGCGATTGGAGCGCGGTATATAAGATGGAAGCATCGCACCTTTTTTGTCTCTCAGTATAGAATTTTTCTGTTTTTGAGAATATCCGATAATTAAATCTGATGACAATCGAGGAATTCCTGATCAATTTGTCGATCATGTCAAAAGTGTGATAGCTGACACGACATCGCACTCAAAAATCGAATTTTTTTCACATCTCATTCTTTCCGAAAATTTGGGCTATGTTACGAAGCTCTCTGACCTATTCTTGCGACTTTCAAATGGTGAACGCTAGCCCAACGTGTTTGCTTATTGAGTTGCTTTCAGATTTACCGCCTTCACTGGTAGCATGGCCAGAATGGACATGTGCGCCTCAGTAACAAAAGTGCGCCGCAGCATACCTCGAATTCTTTCAATCAGCAAGAAAAATGCACAGGCCTCTACAGCTACCTCCCACCCGGTCATCAAAGAAGAAGAAGATAGCCCCGCTTGTGTTGCCGAGCATGCATCCATGGCGTGTCACAATTCACAGAGCATGTGTCCGGCTAAGAAAGAAGCGGATCAAGAACAGCTAATAATTTCTGTAGACAAGGAGGTCACTATTGAAGCCCCAAATGAAACAGAAGAAACGCTGGAGAACGAAATGAGCAAAGTGATCTCTGTTCGTCAGGTTCCACAAATGCACATGGCTCCACTTACGCTGCGAAATCCCCGTCCCTCTAATAACATAGCTGAAGACTGGGACGTGACGAAGTCTTTAACTCCTAATGAATTATTGCTAGCAGTAAGTTTTATCTAGTATCATATCAAGTACTAGTCGATCGCTTGACAGATTCAAAAATGGAACAAAAATGTAAAATGAAGTAAAAGCAAATCATGAAGTGGGAAACTGTATCAATCAAGTAGAACGTCGCACCTGTGCTCCTGTTTCACTGCCTTCTTGATCCTCTTACGGAAGCTTTTCCCAAAATTTCCCTCGCTAAGCGTTCTAGGCATCATGTACCTCCCCTTATTGTTGATCGGATAATCCGCCAAGGAAACATCAGAGAGTGCCTTTACTCTAAATGGGTTTTTTTTGCTTTCAATGAACTTTTGTTTCTGCAATTACTGAAGTGTAGATGCAGTGGATCAGGAAACGCATGAGCAATTCCAACTCTTCATGCGTGCGGATCCGTTAAAACTTACATATTGTTCTTCTCTAGCGAATCATCATCTCCTTTATAAAATATGCTGAGGGATAATCTGTTTCTTTGCTCTGCATCACGACCACGTCGCTGAAAAAAGATGCTTCAAACTTGGGAATTACCCAGTTCGCATGTGAACAGCGTAGCCTACCAAAGCAGTAAGTTGAAGTTGAGGTTCCGAGAGCATTCCTCCAGTAAATGTGTTAGTAAAGTGCAATAAGCAAACGACAAGTGTCGACGACGACCGCGAAACCTTGCCTTGGTTCCATCGTGGTTACGCGCCAAAATTGATCGCGCGGACTGTAGCAGATCACACAGCATCGATGTATCAGATTCTGATCCCTTCTTCTGACGCTTTTTAACTGGATCGAAGTATAATGTAGCGCACCATAGCTGAGTGCAACAAAATGAAGGGTTGTCTTTACATTTTAGATGAAGATCTCACTTTGATTACGGTAGCCGATCAACGGATCAAGATGTTAACGATTGCGTTGTGATCAGCCGCGTTCTCGATGTTGTGCATCAATTTTGTGTTAAGCAGCCATGAACATGTCTTATCTACTCAATTTTGACCAACTTTTTCTAAATTACCATTATAATGAGACAATCATAGTCTCTATCTAAAAAGAAGATATGCACTTCTACTTTTTTTATCTCACATTTCTTACTCAATTATTTCAGTTAGTGAACCACTTTGCGCCTCCAATGGAGGTAGAGGAAACACCACCACTTTTGGAAAGAGAGCTGTCAATGGACAACACCTTCGTGATATCGAATGAGGCCGTGGTGAGGTGTTAATCTGTTCGATTAAAACATAGCGATAGCAGCAGAGGGCATCACCAACGTTTGGTTGTTTGAATGCGCCTTATGCACATATTTCGACGACAAGAAAACGAAAACGGGTTTGAGGATGAAATCCGCCAATTTTAGCCGCCTACGCGGACTGTTGGTCCTGCAATGGCATGTAGCGATATTGCAAAAGGACCAGTTGCCAGTGAAGGCGGGCTCAGACTGGCGGAGTTCGTTCCCCTACCCAATGAAAATTGGATGACGTCTAGGTTGCTGTGATATAACTGATATAACTTGCCTGGGCAAAGCGCAAAGTCTCTTCTCAATGAGGGGATCAGTTGTTCTTGTATGATATTCTGCTAAAAGGTAGAGTAGGTAAAATGATCTCAACCAGCTGTTTTTGATTTCAGCAAAAGAGTACATGTGATTCGGGTGTGTGTCAGGAATCAGACATACTTGATTTCTTGTAAAATTTGAGGTTCCAAAACAGATCTGTTCATATGTTCAATTAGTCTTCGAATAAAATGTGAAGTATTTATTCAAATATACCTTTGCAGGGGTTCGAAAATGGCGTTGCGTATACCTCCGCACTGCAAGAAGAATCGATTCCTCAAGTACCGCTTCCAACTTCTTCAGCAAGGGATGATCATATATCCGCATTGCCTGTTGAGCTTCCTTCACCTCCTCTTAACCGATCACCACAGTTGAACAGCGTCATGCCAGGCATGTATGAATCTTAGCATCGATGATATAGCAAGAATTGTACAGATGGTAATTTTTTAGATGGCACATCTTCCAAATATTCCCCTGTAACACTTGGAGGAGCCATAGGTATTCGCAGACCGCGCTCTTCAAATTCACAGGCAGCGAATAACAATCTCACGTTAGACCAGCTCAATCCCACTCTTGCTGAAGCTCTCGCCGCGATGAAGGCAAGGAGCAATGCTTCGGTAAAATTTTTTCTGATTTAGTGATTGGCTGCTCAATGTTGATGTCTAGACAAAATCTACTGGGAGCACAGTATTCGCAAACGGTTCTGAAAGCTACTCAAGCCGACGCGAGCTTCTGCCTACCCGCATGTCCGGTCCTGTGACCTTGGAAAGTCTTGCCCCAGTCAGCTCTGCATCGCCAGATGGTATCGCTTGACATTACCTATTGAGTAGGCTCAACAATGTCTCCTAGGAAGTGCCGTCACATCGTCACATATTGTATCATTCAACGGCCAGACTACAGAGGTTCCCGAGGAGATTTACTGTCATCTTTGCGATTATCCGATGAAGCTATGTCTGCGAAAAACGAAATACAAAGGAGAAATCCGTGAATACGCCGCCTACAGGTTTTTTTTATCGCGAGTGATTTGTGTTGAAGCGTACATCTTCGATGCACTATTTCTAGATGTCTTCGAAAAGGTTGTCAGACCTTCCGTTCTGTACGCAAAGTCATTGAACCTGATTATCCTTACCCGCGTAAAAGAAAAATTGAGGATTCTTATGATGTAAGTCAACTTCAAGTCATTCTGCTTCTGTTTGCTACTTAGCATCTCTAACACTATACAATTGAACCATTGCTTTTAAACGCTTTACAGACCTTCGATGCTTGTGGCACACTGAGTGGTTCGGGTTCAGGTATGAACAGTCATGGGAGTGGTTCGCGGGACGCCGAAGTCCCTACCGGGTATTTTTTCGGCTTTCTTCAAATCCTCTTTTTTTTTTTGAAAATCGTGGGTGTTACGGTTTTTTCATGAATCAATGTTTTTGGAATCTTGATTGACAAAGCTTCTCACCAGTGTTTTTAGAACGTTGATTTACGTAAAGCAAGAAGTAACATCGAAGCAAATGGAGAAAATGTTGGAATTTGACTTCAAGTTTTTTGACGAGAAACCCGCGCCTATGCACATGTAAGTCTCAATTATACTTTTAGTACGTCGTTATGAATGGTCTACCGTAGTTTTCTGCATGCTGGTTAGTTCTGACTTGACCGGATTGTCCGTTATTTACTAATCGCTTGAGAAGAATGCAACATGACGCACGAGTTATCTCTTTTGGTCAAGACGCACAAACTGAAGTAGATGTCGATATCATTTTCAGCATACCTAGACTGCTATTTGGTCGTTTAAATATGTCAGTCTCCGAAATGGATGAGCACCTTAAAACTGCACAGGGCCAAAAGGTTTGACTCACTTTGCTTTCATGGTCACTTCATATCAAGCTGCTTTGTGCACTCACATCGTTTTTCTCTATCTTCTAATTAGCCGGTGTCTCTCACTACAGTGTATGAGAGGGTGACCGTTGTATAAAGCGTATTTGACTTCACTGTATGCATGGTTTGCAATGAAATTCAAAGCTGTTCCCTTAGAATCTCAGCCACGATTTCAGTCAAGTCTGTCCCTGTATGAAAAAGATTTCCTTCTTGCAAAAGCGGAACCATTCTTCCTTTCACGCCTAGAGCAGGGAAAAACGAACGTTAAAGATAATCTTGAAGCAGAACAAAGGAGAGCTATAGAAACCCGCCTCAGCAGCCTAAATCTTTGCGCATATGGAGCAGCTGGGGACCCTCATTCACTGGTGTGGTTTAATTAGATCAATTTTCATTGGCTTCTCATCTACCCACGGCCTTCTTCCACCAAGACTTAAGGACTAAACTACTGTTTTATTATAGTTTCTTGCTCTTTCTTGTCTTCCAACACCTCTCTTCCACCGCTTTGTGAGTGGCAGAGCCTAGTAGTACAGCTTATATAGCTCCTATGTTGAATAAGCACCCACAGGAAATGACTGTATGCAAAACACGTGAACTGAGCAGGAAATTAGACAGCCGAACCGAATCATAGAAGCAGCAGACATTGGTTGAGCATCTTCTGCTTCAATGATAATTTTTATGCTAATACGATTGTACGATGGATCTACTGATCGTACAATTTGGAAAAGCGGCGATTACTTGACACTTACTAGGAAATATGGATCATACAATACATGATCGAATCTTTTGCAGGAAATCCAGCACCTCATAATGCATTTTCGCCAACCATCACCTCCGCCCTGCGTTATAGAGTGAGTAGCCAATCCCACAACATGTGTTATTAGTGATCTCATTCAAACTAAAATTCAGGGCAGCAGAACGATGGGAAGCTATGGCGCGAGAAGAACAATCGCAAGTTCATTCGGGTTGCTTTGTACAGTCAACGCCAGCTCTCACCATACCTGCTTCCGTGTCGCCCTCGCTGCCTGCTGAGCCTCCTCCGAAGTCGCTGTTAAGCCAGGCGCTGCCGTCGTATCCGTTGCTTCCTCCTCCTCCTGTCTCAACAGTATCATCGTGTTGCTCGTCATCAGTGCATCCTATCATCTCCTACACGCAGAGCACTCAGAGCATTTACGACCCCACAACTATGTACGAATACCCCGTTTCTAATCAGCCGTCGCGTCTTGATAGCATGTCAAGCTCCTCTTGTGCGATGGCAAGCCAAATCCATACTCAAGATTTCAGAAATCAGCAATGTATCAGCGAAATAATCTGGTAAGATCTCAGCCGTTATCTCGCTTGCTCATACTTTCATGATGCGAGAACGCTGTGTAGATTACGTGTTTCAAACTTCAACCTGAAATAATATTTGTTTTACTTTTTTTACAGTTATTTTTGTTCATTGTTTGATTTACATGATTTTGTCACATTGATTTCCATTCTATGACTTCGCCGCTGAAGAGTATTTGTAAAAGTTTTAAGTTGTTCCATATCGTCGTTTAATAATTTTTCCCATGCCCTGTCGTCTTTTAATCTTATAGGCTATTTTATGAGCATCTTCACCCTTGTGAGTTGTTTTACCGGTCCTATTACAAGTTGTCATGTTGTGTTGTCGAGAGGCTTACTGTTTGCGTTGACTTATGCAACGAGTCTGTTGGAGATAATCAAGTAGCCAGCAATTACTTGCCCCTGCTTAGGGTGTACTGAACTAACGGGGTTTATTTCTGTTATTTCTGCTTCTCTGTGTATCATGATTTGAGCTATGCATTTTATCTAAGCTTTGGGATAGTGCCTATAATTGCCTTGCACGTAATTTATAATAGTGCCTTGTAGTTTTTCCTTGTTTGTTTGTTCATTTTTTACATAGCCTTGTTATGAAAGTTTTTTTTCGATGCTAATATCCAACAGTGTTGCAACAAACTGCGATACACGAAAGTGCCTTCCTTCAGTGTACAATCGCGCGCATGTTGCGAAGTTGCCCTCCCCTACTATCACTCTGTTATCTAACGCACCCTACGGCAAGGCGTCCACGCGGATTCCTTTGGCGTGGCCTCGAGTATAGTTCTATGTCGCCGAAAGGGCTGATCCCACCACATCTGCAACAGATCACGCAGCTTACATATTAGAGACATTGCAAATCTGTACTAGCTGTCCGTGCGGTGTGAGCCTATCGGCGACATTGGGTAGAGGACCATAGTATCCGCCGAATGGGGAGAGAGGACAGCTGCAACAAGTACGCATATCTACACATGCGCGAAGTGCGTATGTGCTGCAGCTGTCCGCGCGGAACCACCTCTATCGGGGACACAATCCTCTGCCCGACACATGTGGCCGTTGGCGCTCTAGCCGTTAACCTTTAGTTCAAACCGGGAACAGCTTGTACACCAGAATAGAGTAGTGAGTGTCGGGACATCCTAGGAATGAGGGGAAATGCTAGCACAAAGTTGCGAGTGGAAGTGAAGGGACAAGGGTTCGAAGGTTAGGCGTTCGTACTGATCTGGAAGTTCGGGAACAGTTCCAACACACCCTCGAACTGAGCATTGTGCAGAACTATTCCCGGACTTCGGAATCATTATGAACGCAGCCTTAGCTTATCAATGAGAACGGCAGCTACAATCGATGTCAACCAAGTGCTCCCTTTTCCGTAGCAGCTACGCGTTCGCACCGCAAAGGCCTAGCGCGGCGACCCCGATCGATGAGGCGAGTTTCGAATGCGCATCTATACGCGCGCGAACGCGACGCGAGGTTCTGGGGTTGCGATGTGGCTGGTGGAAAAGGGAACACAATATTGATACGGACTGTAGCTCGAAGTGATCATGTGGCAACTTTGGTAGAAGTATGTACAGCCTGCGCCAATCATATGCTCCCTTTTCCGTAAGCTCAGTCGTCAGAGCTTCGGTCGTCAGACCGAGATTCGCGCCATGCTCGCGCGTGTGGCTTGGACACTCAAGTTGGCCTCATCGACTGGAGGTCCGCACGCAATGTCCTCGCGTGCATGCGTAGTTCCTACGCGAGGGAGGACGTAATTGACACAGACTGCGTTGAAGGGTGGCATCACAGACCTTTGGAATTGTGCCAAGGTAGTGGCTCGAGGTCAGGAGAGATTTCTTGTCCCAACCACAACTTCCGCTGCTAGAATTTCTGGCGGAAAAAACCTGGGGAAGGGGTGGAGCGGATACACAACCCTATGCCACAAGTGGCACGTCCGTTGTAGTACTGCTTCGTGAAATTTGCGCCGATCTTGCCTCCTGACCATTCCCCGAGGGAGTAGAAGGCCAAGTAACTGATGCCCGTATGCATAAAGCTCTTGCGGGTAGAGGGGGGGGGGCTCCCTCATTCTGAAGGGGCAGCGGCGAACGCTGTTGCGGCATGTCATTGAGGACGCTGCTATCCTCACCACAGGGATGTTTATGCATGCGGGCCCAAACTACAAGCTAGGTCCGCCCTTCCACGACAGCCGCACCCCCCCCCCCCCCTTAAAAAAACTAGCATGGGAGGTTAAGGTAGGCTTCAGACCGAGTTTGAACCTGCCTGTACGATGTAATATAATGCGATTTAGTCAGAAAGTGCATGACAAGGCAAGCAAATCAGAAAAAAACATTAGAAAGCAACAAACTAGAAAAAAAGCCTACGACTGCATATACCATATATCTTTCTTTAATAAGCCGAACTTCGCAGCTGCTATAGTCCTGGGGATGCACATAGCCAAAGAGAATGAATTCCAGCATTTCAGTTTTTTTTTCTGGAAAGTAGTGTAAAGAAACTTACCAGATATTTGGACATGAACTTCTGGGTGGATTGACAATAGGCAATAAAAAATAGGGAAACACTTTACTATGCACTAATCACGTCACAACAAACAATAATCATTTTTGAAGCAGAAAAAGAATAATTGAGAAACATAATTCACCAGAATTGATGCAATACAGGCAACAAAATTCACAGAGTGAAAGAAATCGACCTCAGGCAACTGATAACTGAACACAACAGACTTCATGACCCTACAGACAGATCTTAGGAGAAACTCATAATGGCCGTTAAAAGTCTCATATACTTTGCCGAAAGATTCATTCCTGTGCCACATCGCTGGCTGATCCCCCGGTACAGCCGCTACAGTCTTTGCTCGCATTGGGGCCGCTGCTAGACAGAGTTTCCTCTGCAGTTCCTCCATCAGTAGGAATCCCATCACCAGATGGCGCTCCCTCTGCACCGCTTCCTTCAGAAGCACCAACAGCTAAATCATAAGCAGCTTCCGACCTGAAATTAGAAAGTCAAAATTGTACGAAGCTATCTAGAGAGTGGGTGATCAACTTTTCATAAGATATCTTTATATGACATGCTTGTCTTCAAGGTAAGCGGTTTTGCATCTACAGCTGGACGAAACATATCATGCAAATCCATCTTTTGAGGTATTGACACCTAGCTAGTCCAAACTTTGTAAAACAGGAATTTTGTGGAAAAAAAAAGATAATCGACGCTAGCGGCAGCGTGCAGGAAGTGGGTCAAATGGATTTTCTATGTGAATATCTATTGGAAAGCCATATATAAGACGTCAATGCCTAAAAGGCAGCTCAAGAGTCCTTTAGTAGTTGAGAAGCTCAACTTTAGAGTCCCATCGAAGCGTACCTTTTTGACAACCTTACTTCGTCGGGATACAATACGGGGAGACGGCAGGCGGCGTTATTTCTTCGGGGTAGCAACTTGAAATTGTTCAGTGCTAATTGTGTCTCCAAAAAATATTAGGTTGGCTAATAAATAATTTCGGTTGGTTTGGTGGCTCCTACAGATGCTGCAGACAATTTTTAGACAATTAAGGCTATGTGCTTTAGCTTTGGTTAGCTTCAATGGTTTTTGAGCTTTCTATTTTTGTTAAAAAATTATCTTGAGGCTATAACAGAACAAGCATACTATCTGATATGTCTTTTCATAAATTGCTTCTAGAGCTTCAAACACAAAATAAGTGCTAATTTATGTCCATCTCGCAATGAAAATCGCTCTCCTGCAAATACCACAAGTCTTCGAGCGTCGGCTACGGTGTCGGCTGGTTGGAGTTGAATTACTCGGCCACAAAAAATCCGTATCATCGACCGCTTGAATAATGTCTTATATAGGGCCTCCTAATCATTCTCTACTAGGTTATCCCATAAGTTTTCAGATTTTATTCTTTACCGCAATAAGCCATTTCTGAGCAAATTCCTCATATGAAGTGGGCTACAGGATGTTTAAAAGTTTCTGGCCTTATGTACTTTGATCGCAAATTCTAATTCGACTTTTGCTGTATGTGTTCGTCAGACCCAACCACTAATCAAGTGAAATTTTTTTTGCTGTAAGATACTAATTAATTTGACACTAACCAGTTTTTTTCAGCTTCTCTAAAGAAGCGGAAATTTCTTTATTTTACTTGCTCTACCTTTCTCAACACTAAAACTGGAACGGGTTTCCGTTTCTTCATTACAAAAAGTCCTAATTCTATCCTATTTCTACACTTTCTTTTTATATTATAACAAAAATTCTCCAGCAGCCCGCGAACAAAGATTTTTCATGTTGCTTAATCAAAGCAGACAATCGTGCAAGTTTGCGTTGAAATTTTTATAGTTCGAAAACTTCTAAAGTCTTCTTTTAAAGTGTACTTGTAGCCAAAACAAGCTCATTTTGTAAAAGTGCAAGCAACTAGAAAGAAAGGACTTTTAGAAGGTTTACAAAGTGTGTGAAATATGTTTCTTCTTCGTAATAAGCATTTCAAGAAAAGGTGCGTGGAAACTGTATTGATTGTGTTTCAACCTAGTAAAAAATAAAATAAACTGCAAACAAACCTGACTTTCACTGAAATGATGATTTCTAGGTTTGATGAGCACAACGAAAAAAAAGCGCATCAAAATTTGGATACTGAATTGGAAAGATTTGAATTGGATACTCTAGGCCAGTACTTGTCAAACACCCTATGCCTTTCGACAGAGCAAAGCAATCTCTACAAGATGACGCTCAATATTCACATTTGGACGAAGTGTGATCCAAACAAAATCTGGCTCCGGAATAAGACTATTCAAATGCTCAAAAGCTGAAAAAGTCAGACCTTTGTTTAGAAAAGATTTTCGGACCTCTGACTTGCTAAAGTTATACTTCCCTCATCAGGCATTCATATGCAATTGTTGTCTTTTTTTCCGTTGCAGAAATCCAAATAATAGAAATTTGCATGCTTTCCTAAAAGCTATCCTGCGCTCTTCCTGCTAAGCACAGAAGGATAGTATAATAATAATACTAATATACTTATGATACAGAATAATAATACATTGTAATACTTCTGTAGATCTTCAGCCTTCCATGAGCTTTACAATATCAGAAGCACAAAAAACCCAGAAACTCGACTTTTTGGTTTTTTCGTAATTTTGGCTTATTTTTTTCGATATGTAGCCATGAAATTCAGCAAATGTAAACGTAGATGTCTGTGATATAGAAAGTGGATGCTGAGCAAGGGTAGTAGGATTTCACGTGGATCAAATTATCTGAGATTTTTTGAAGTTATCTCGTAGAGCTTGCGTTGCTCCATCGAACAGTCACTCAAGTCCTACGCCTTTTGCCGCCTCTATCTGGACATAATCAGATTGATGACAGCCTATCACTGCACCGAAAAGTGACAAAGGCACTACGCAACTATCCTATGAAAAGCCGTTTACTACAGAAAAGAAAATACTTATCTATCGCCAAAGAGAGCAGGAACAGCTTGCATGCCTTGAGCAGTCACTTCCACAACGGGGTTAGCCACGTCCATGTTACCAGCATCAGGTAACACATCAGGAAGTTCAATAGAACTGAACAAGAAACTTTGAACGGAATCGGTCGAATCCTAATTTGCCTACTCTTCTGCACATTGCCCTTCCGCACCCTTTGGTCGTTCTTCCAACTTTTTCTTGGCGCGTAGTTTACATGCCCTGGACAGCTTTCTTGACTTAAATTGAAAGATCAATTGACTGCTGGATTTTAGCTAATAACCGAGGTTTCACCTTATAGTAACTTTCTTGTCCTTTTCTTTTCTTCGCAGATTTAGCCTTGACTTTTCTGTCCTTAATCGCGAGACTGTTTTCTGCTGGAGTCGAATCCCTGAGTACAACCGTGAATGAGAAGGGATGAACAGATATATAAGAAATCACTTAACGCGTCTTTGAACGCTGATTCCAAATCTGTTTTCCTTCTCTGCGGAACAACTCTCCAGAAGAAGTTATGAGATTTGAAAAGTTCAGATTTGTCAAGCCTCATGTGTCATAAAGTAATCGAAAGCTGCACAAAAACACCTAAGCGGATTTTTACTGGCTATGCTCTCAGTCAATATAATATACATGTCTGTATGAAATGATTATTCAGGTGTTTTGGTACAGCTTTCGCTATATTATGCCATTTAGGCCTGACAAATTCGAGCTGTTTTCGGAGGCCTGACAAAAAAGAAAAACAGCTTTGGAACGATCGTGGCGATAAACTTTTCTTTCTGATTTGCCAAGGTAGAACCTGACATCCTTTCCTTTTTAAGATGGGTTATACTCGACTTCAAGTTCTGGCGAGTTCTGCCACGGCACGGCGCTTGAAACGTGTTAGAACACTTTTAGTCAGCTATCAAAGAGCTGGCATACTCTAGATAATTTTTCGGGGAGTGATTTTCGCCGCGCCTCCTTCTTTTGAAATTTCGGGGTCAAGGGCCTACATAAGACTTGAAAGGCAACCCAAAAAATTTTAGGAGTGCATGCTTCACGCCGCGCACCTTCCGAAAAAATCCTTCCCCCCCCCCCCCCCCTTCCCCCCGAACGGAAATCCTGGGACCGCCAATGCGAAGCACTCCTGTCTCTCGCTCCGATTCCAACACAGGTTCCAACACATGTTCCGCCTCGTGCAAGTATGAACTCAAGCTTAACCAAGATAGTAAGAAACGTACATTGTAGTTTGATGTTGTCGCCAGACAGACCGCACAGTCTTACTTCGTATGTTGGTAAACCCTGAAAATGCACAGAGCCGAGATTGATTTCCAGCTTGCTGCCTTCTCTGAAATAGTGAAAGGAAACATTTCAGATATTTGGATATGACCTTCTGGGTAGACATTCTAGAAACATACAACGAAAAATAGTGTTAACTTGTCAAAATAGTGTTGAGAGTAATGAGTAAACATAATGCAAAACTGAGTGTTATACATTACAAAATTGACAACGAAATAACTAAGTTAGTAATGCATTAGTTTTGCTGGACAAAAGTGTTATTTCTGTTCCATGCTGGCTGATCTCGTGGTTCAGCGGGTACACTAGCACGCCCCGGGGTGCAAGACACAATTCCCTCTCTGGTTATTTTGATTATGTCGTCAGGTCCCTCGGCGATTGCTGCTACTGCATGACCTATGTTTGACCTAAAATAGAAAGTGGTATTGGTTGAAGCAGAATACTAGGTGATCAACTTCTTAAACGATATCGATATATGACATGCTGCCTTTAAGGTATGCGATTCTGCATTCTACAACTGGGCGTAACATATCAAGCAGATCCATTTTTTGAGGTATTGGGACCTAGTTGGTTCAAGTGTGTGAAACAGGGATTTTGTGAAGAGATGTAAATCTATGCTAGAGGCAGTGTCTAGGCAAGTCCTCTTGAGCAGATTTGTTATATGAATATCTCGAGCCATATTCAATACTAGCTGGCAAAACCGGGCTCCCCCGGCCCAGCGAATAATGCAATCAACACCCCTTGTTGCCAACTCCCAGCCCCATTGCTCAAGTTTTGCAAAAAGTCGATAAAATCGCTTTCGGATCCGGATCAGTTCAAAACTATAATTTCCTACTCGGAATATACGTACAAACGAGTAGATTTAGCGCTAAATATAGTGTGCTTGCACAGAAGGTGAAATGCGGTGAAATTTGCGCGTGAACAAGTAGCCACATCAGTACCGCGGGTATCTTGCGCGCGCAATTGGCCGGCGTCACAGTCGAAACTATTTCTTCACGCGCCAATTTCACCGCATTTCACCTTCTGTGCAAGCACACTATATTTACCGCTAAATCTACTCGACTATAAACACAGACAAACGGTTGGCGGGAACGTACTCTGCCAGTTTGGGCTGCCTCCGCCGACTACTGGTCCTGCCTCGACATGAAAGAACACTGCAAAAGGACCAGTTGTCTGCGGAGGCGGCTTAAAACTGGCGGAGTTCGTGCACTAAGCCATTTCTGCGTAGATTCCTCATAGGATGTGGGCCAGTAAGGGCTCGGCACGAGCTGGACCAGAAAGAGTTCGAAACGAAGTCTTTCTAATCTTCAAGATTCCGTACGAAGTCGCCTTTGACTGTTTTGAAGATCATTATTTTTTAGATTCTTTACAGGTATGTGAGAAGGTCATCACATCACGCATGCTGATTCTCTGGAACTTTTCTCAAGTTTTCTGAGGTTTTGAATGATTATGTCACATTTGAGAGGCAGTGAAAAAGCTGTTTTTTTTTTTACCGCGGAGCAGACCAAGAAAGCTTCAAATGGCTATGAAACGCCGAAAAGAAAACATTCTGAAAGTGTTTTTTATCTGTATGTAAACTTTTACAGTGTAGATACACCTTATGTAAAGAAGTATGAAAACTTATGTGAGCAAAGTGTTGGTGCTAGCTCAGCCGACACCTAGCTGGCACGGTGCCAGTTAATTCAAAAAAAGTCCAACGCAGCTTTCATTCACATAAGTTTTCATAAATTTTCTAGGCCATAGTTCGGATCCCCCCAAGCGCATGAACGCACCATTTGGTGTCATACTATTGCGTTTTGGCTGAAAACAACGCCTTTGTTTGTTTGATGTACGGCATGCCGGTTGCGTGCCGGCGGCATTCTTGCGGTTCTTCTCCGCTCCGGACAGCGGAAAAAGGAGATCTTCTTTGCTTTCTGCCGCAAAGACGATAGCCAGCTTGGCCTGGTACCAACTGCGCCGAGCTCCGGGGCTGGCTTTCGATAGGCTGAGGCAGTCTCTACAAGATGACAATTGAACATTCACACCAACTCCGACTCAAGGATAGTTTGGATTCGAAATCTAGAAAGCAGGCCGATCTTCGTCTAGCAGATCTTCCGGACCTCTGACTTGCTCAAGTATGTAATTTCTTCGGACACTCATATGTAAATTTGGTGTTTTTTCATTGCTAGATAAAGAAACAATAACGTTTCGCAAGTTTTCGTAAAAGCTATGCTGGCTTTTAAACGTAGGCATAGATCTGTAGCACAAGCCTTTGTAGTACCACCGTAATTTTCAGCCTTCCGTGAGCTTTACTTCCCGAGGAAAATCCAATCTATCACAAAAAAATCTGGAAAAAGCGACAGTTCTCTGTTCCTTTTCTCAGTTTTAGCCTTTCTTGTTTTTCGATCTTTAGAAAAAGCAGTAGTAAACTTAAATTTATGATGTAGAAACATAGATGCCCAAGAAATTAGAGGTACGTATATCTTGAGCTAACATAAGATCCGCTTTTTCGGGAATGAACAATTTTGAACTTTTAACTTAAAATCTCACTTGGATCGAACCGTTTGCAACCTGAAACTCATCTTGCAGAGCTTGCAATGCTCTGTATGCTCTTCAAATAGCCATTCGAGCTCTAATCTAATCCAAACGTAAGCAGACTTCGTACATATGAGAAGACTCATGCGAGAATCTACAGTACATGAAAAAACACAAGTATCTAGATGTGATGGAGTACTGCCTTCAAGCCCTACCCCCTCTGTCGCCTTGATTTGGGTATGATTAGATTGATAACCCCATGATTGCACCGAAAAGTGAGAAAGGCACTATGCAACTGTCGTATGAAAAGCCCCTTCCTATAGAAAAGAAAAAAAAAACTAACAAGGATGCCAACTCATCAGCAATCTCTCGAAGAAATCGCGCAGTCACTTCCACAGGGGGCTTAGCCACGCCCATGTTACCAGCATCAGGTAACACATCAGGAAGTTCAAGAGAACTGAACAAGAAACTTTGAACGGAATCGGTCGAATCCTAATCTGCCTACTCTTCTGCACATTGCCCTTCCGCACCCTTTGGTCGTTCTTCCAACTTTTTCTTGGCGCGTAGTTTACATGCCCTGGACAGCTTTCTTGACTTAAATTGAAAGATTAATTGACTGCTGGATTTTAGCTAATAACCGAGGTTTCACCTTATAGTAACTTTCTTGTCCTTTTCTTTTCTTCGCAGATTTAGCCTTGACTTTTCTGTCCTTAATCGCGAGACTGTTTTCTGCTGGAGTCGAATCCCTGAGTACAACCGTGAATGAGAAGGGATGAACAGATATATAAGAAATCACTTAACGCGTCTTTGAACGCTGATTCCAAATCTGTTTTCCTTCTCTGTGGAACAACTCTCCAGAAGAAGTTATGAGATTTGAAAAGTTCAATGTCAAGCCTCATGTGTCATAAAGTAAGCGAAAAGCTGCACAAAAACACCTAAGCGGATTTTCACTGGCTATGCTCTTTCCTTGCAGTCAATATAATATACATATCTGCATGAAATGATTATTCAGGTGTTTTGGTACAGCTTTCGCTATTATGCCATTGAAACTTGATTCGAGCTGATTTTCGGAAAGTTGTTCCTCAAAAAAGAGAATCAGTTTTGGAATCATCGTTTGGCGATAAACATTTCTTTCTGTTTTGCCAAGGTAGAACCTGACATCCTTTCCTTTTTAAGACGGATTATACTCGACTTTAAGTTCTGGCCAGTTCTGCCACGGCGCTTGAAACGTGTTGAACACTTTTAGTCAGCTATCAAAGAGCTGGCATACTCTAGATAATTCGGGGAGTGATTTTCACCGCGCCTCCTTCTTCTGAAATTTCGGGGTCAAGGGCCTGCACAGGACTTGAAAGGCAACCCAAAAAATTTTAGGAGTGCAGCCTCATGCCGCGCCTCCATCCGAAATCGCCACCCTCCCCTCCCCCCCCCTCCCCCCCCCCCCCGAACGGAAATCTTGGGATCGCCAATGCGGAGCACTCCTGTCTCGCAGCTCCGATTCCAACACAGGTTCCAACACAGGTTCCGCCTCGTGCAAGCAAGTATGAACTCAAGTTTAACTAAGCTATAAGTAACGTACATTGTAGTTTGATGTTGTCGTACAGACAGATCGCACAGTCTTACTTCGTATGTTGGTAGAACCTGAAAATGCACAGATCCGAGACTGATATCCAGCATGTTGCTGCCTTTTCTGAAAAATAGTTCAAAAAAACCATCTCAGATATTTGGACATGACCTCTTCTGGGTAGACAATCTAAAACAAGCAATGAAAAAACAGACACTTTGCTATACACTAATTATGTCATCAAAAACAGTCATCAGTTCTAAGGCAAACGGAATGCTCGATAAACATCATCAAAAGTAATAGCACCACAGGCAACAGAATTTACAGAGTGAGACAAATTAATCTCAGGCAACTAATAAACAGACTTCACGACCCTATGAACAGATCTTAGGAGAAACTCATAATGGCCGTTAAAAGTCTCATATACTTTGCCGAAAGATTCATTCCTGTGCCACATCGCTGGCTGATCCCCCGGTACAGTCGGTACAGTCTTCGCTCGCATTGGGGACAATGCCAGACAGAGTTTCCTCTACAGTTCCTCCACCAGTGGGAATCCCAGCGCCAGATGGCGCTGTCTCGGCACCGTTTCCTTCAGGAGCACCGACAGCTAATTTAAAAGCAACTCTTGATCTGAAATTAAGAAGTGGGAATCATATAAAGCTATAGAAAAAGGTGATCTACTTCTCAAACGATTCGATATATGCCTGCCTTCAAGATATGCGATTTTGCATTCTACAACCGGGATAATATATTATCCTAGCTGGTGCAAAATGTGAAAAGGGGTTTCGTGTTTCAGCTTCAATTGGAACTATGCTTTTGTAAGCGGAACAGTCCAGTCCTAGCTTAGAAGGTATGGTATCGGCTGATTTAGAGTGATTATTCCTGTCAAACGGATCACATCAACAGCTTGAACAGTGGCTTATGACCTCCAACATCTACATGTACCCAACATCTACATGTACTTTTTCCAAACACTGCTATATAGCCCACCCATTATGTCGCCTAGATTATGATTGAATTGTGGCAGCCTATAATTGTGAAATGAGAAAGGCACTCCAATTCTTGTATGCAAAATGCTTTTCTCCAAAAAAATACTTATCTATTGCCATGGAGAGCAAGAACCGCTTGCATGTCCTGAGCAATCACTTTCACAACGGGAATGCGCTTTTTATGGGAGGCCTTCTTTGCGTTGCCAACATCAGGTGATTCGATAGAACTGAACATGAAACTTTGAACGGAACTGGTCAACTCCTAGCACGCTTACTCCTCTTTCGAACATCTGGATTCTTCTTCTAACTTTTTCTTGGCGAGCTGTTTACGTTTTACGACCAATTTCCTTGACTTAAATTGGATAGGTCATTGACTACTATATCGTGAGAATAGTCTAATTATCGCGACCAATGTCTCACTTTATAACAGCTTTCAATTCCTCTATTTCTTTTCTTCGCTGACTTGTTCTTGGCACGTGCAAGACTACTTTCGTCTTCAACCGCCGATTCTCTGGAAACAACATTGAATGACAAGGGCTTGGCAGATGTTCAAGAGTGAGAGGGTTTCATCGATCTTAGGCTGGGTTCATACTCGATCTTGAGTCTCGGGACATTCCTAGCACGGGCTAAAACGGTGCACAAACGGTGAAACCGTGCCATGATGCTTTCAGGAAACTTCCGACTGGTTAAAGCATCATTGGTCAGGGTTACCGGTGACACAGAGTTAGTATAGGGGCCTGCAGGATCGCGAGAGTCGGACGTGCGTACGGCCATTGCGCCGCGCACGTCGTATGTCACTGGGTCGTACTCGATTTAGGCTGGATAGGTGAGATTTTTTTGTTTTTCTTCTCATTTCTCGCCTTCTTTTCTTTTCAGGCGGCGAACATATGTTGGTGCAGAGGAGTTTAAGATCTAGATTAAGGTGAGGTGCAGGATTGTGCTCAATACGGACCAATATTGTGGACTTTTCACCCCTGCTTTGAAGAATGTTGAGTTTTCTGTTCTGGCTGTCCGATTATGTTCGATTTTTCGTCCTGCCTGCTCGGTTACGAAACTCCGTTTTATCTGCAACGTCTGTTCTACCTCATCCTGCATCATGCGCGTCATCACAATCATAATCATTGTCATCATCATCATCATCATCACAAGCAATATGCAAGATAAGGTAGAATAGACGGTAGAAATAGAACAGTTTGCTGTAACAGGGCAGCCAGGACAGAAAATCCAACTTCTCAACCAGCAGGCATGGAAGGTCTGCAATATTGAGTCCGTATTGAGCATGATCCTGCACCTCACCTTAATTCAGATCTTAAACTCCTCCGCACCAACATGTGCTCACCGTCTGAAAAGAAAAGAAGGCGTGAAATGTAAAGAAAAACAAAAAAAACTTACCTATCTAGCCTTAATCGACTACGACCCAGCGATATCAGGCGTGCGCGGCGCAAAGGCCGTACGCGCGTCCGACTCTCGCGATCCTGCAGGCCCCTATAACAGTTTGAACGAACAGATCACTTGAGAAATTATGACAAAACGACGCAGATTTTAGTTTCACGCATCATCTATCAGCTGCACTGTTAGTTTCCGCTCACCATAGGTTGTCAGTCTATTTAGATGACGAGTGGAATTCCAAAATGAGAAATTCATGAAGAAGATTCAGAAAGACAAGAACATTGCGAGATCTCCTGTCCCACCGCAAAAGTCACACTTTCAGCACAGTTTCCACGCCGTGTAGATCAAGTATGAATCAAGCCCAGCTATACCAAAGATTGCTAAGTACATTTCAGAAGACACTCGATGCTTTGCAATCTCCGCACAGTCCACGATAAGGTCTCGCGCACGATTCTGAGCTGCTTCGGTCAAAACCAAAATAGCCTGAAACGAAGTGCACGGGTAGGAAATGTTATTCATAGCAGTACCTCCTCTTCAACAACACAGTGCTCCCTCAGCGTGTTCCTAAACAGATTTCGAACCTTGTTAGGATCAAGGAAAGAATGTTCATGCATGGATCCCTTGAAAATGCGCAGTGGCTGCAATGAATATGCACATCATTATCGGCGAGCATCCCCTTGAGTGAGAATTTTTTTCCAACAAGGTGTACCTGGGGTTCGCGCGTAAAAGCACTGGAATCCTCACTTCCCGTTGTCATTGGTTCGTCCTCATCATCGCTATCGACATTGTACTCTGGCAGGCGTTCCACAATCCACTGTGGAATAGGCGGAGCTTCTCCATTCTACGAGAGAAATCACTAAGCCAAAACTAGGTCTGTCCAGGCATTTTTTCAAAAGAAGCTTTCAGATTTTTTTTCTAAGGGAAGACCTTTCAAGGAGTACCTATCAAGAGGCTTTTTATGCATTTTTTAGACATAACTAAAAAGCTTTTTGCCGTCGAAAACGGTCAATTTAGAAGACAGTTCAGGATTAGGGTTCGGCACGAGCTGGCATTAGGAAAATTTCAAAATGACCTCCCCTTTGACCTTAAAAATTTCGTACGAAGTCCTTTGACCCTAAACCCTAAACGTAGAAAACCCTTAAAAAACGAAACATCGGCTAAGAAAACGTCGCAATTTTTTTTATTATTTCGGCCTCAAAAACATTATCTCCCTAGCTTTTTGTCCCAGAAACGGTATCCAGTTTGATCTGGTGCCAGCTGTGCCGAGCCCTGTTTTGGAAGTGATAGCATATTCGACCTTAGCGCTCCAAATCAAGATAAGGTACAACAGGGTGCAGGACAGTCGCCGAAAGTGATAAATTCCGCGCGGACAATGCAGCAGATACTAAGTCTGTGCATTTATTGGAGAAACAAGCCCATAAGATTGCCGTCTCCGCAATCCTAAAGGCGCCGTCCACCCAAAGTTGGGGATCTTGAGCTTGTGGCAGCTAACATAGTAGGGCCCCCTATCAAGCCAGTGCCCAAGTAGCGGCTCAAATTGTCGCTTTGGAAGCGACAAAATCGCTTCGAAATAAAGTATAGGCATGAGGACCCCAAGTCGGCACCGCCCCTTCCAGTCCCGCCCATCCGTGCGCGCCCCTCCAATCACCGTTCCGGAGAACCGGCCTTCGGGTTTTCCGGAACGGGGATTGTCGGGGTTTCCGCGGAATTTCGACTTCGTTTTCGGGATCAGGAACGTGAGAAGGCTCACGACCAAAAAATGGAAGTCGAGAATTTGGGTGCATGGTGCCTTTAAGCTTGTGGCAAAAGTGAGCGACTTCGTTAAGATTAAATCGGACTGGGACGAGTATCGAGAGCTTCTGGTTAGACTGTTCCGGCTACGCTTTCGAAAATCTGGAGAGGGAAGTAATGATGACTGATAGCGAAAAACTAAACAAGATGCATAAGTATTCTTTTGAACTGCCCTAAATGCAACATTCATAAGGCATTTTGAGCGACATAGTTAGTACAGAACTTTCATGAGTGAAAATTAGGAGGTATTAGGATTATGGGCAGCTTCCATCCAAAATTTCGCCTTCCATGTTGTTGTCATTCAGGGCTCCGTGACCCTTATAGTTATCAAGCCCAAAATGTGTAAAGCCCCCAAAAGTTTCTGGGAGCTTTTAACCTGAAAGTACAAACGGCTTTCATTGCATGAGCGGGCAGAGTTTGATAGAGGGGCGCGGCTTGATAGCAGTTTTGTGGGTTCTAGGTCTATTTTCTCCATTCAAAGGCACACTAGAGGATCGGACCAACGCAGAGCCCCTCTTCTCGAGCGTACATTCAGGCTAGATACTAATCGCAAGGGCAAGATCTTGCCTTGATGCTGCCTTTGAATTCTGCCCTTCTGCCAATTATAGTCAGAAATGTGGAAGATATATTCAGTTCATGTGAAAGTTGTTCGAGAGATATAACTGAACTGCATAAATCTAACCTGTACTAGTCTATCGTAGTACTCCTGGTACACACCGTATAGAAAATGTCCATCGTAAGTGATGTAGGTAAAGTGCGGATCGTACATAGGTTGTGCGGGTATGAAAGGCTCGAAGGCAACATCTCCTACAAAAATCCAGCTACACATTATATAGTCTATTCACACAACTTGTGTAATACAGGGTGTCCCCAAAAGATGTGCCTACTGTGTGATTGTCAATAACAGCAATAAAGTCTTTCGAGAAGCTCTAAGTACCGTTTTGTGGAGCTGGCTTCAATTTAGATTTACAGTATGGAGCGAATCAAGAATCTATCTTCGTTACTGGGGGAGCACGGTAGGAACTTGCAGCATAGGCGCCACTGTGAAAGAGCACATTTGGAAAGAAAATTCAAAAAAAACTGAAAATTGTGCAACAAGGTCATGCATGCTAATTTCAGCACACAAATGTTTCATTTTAGAGCTTTTTGAATGGCCTACTCAGATTTTTGACGAATAGAGAATCTGGTGTTGTGGTATATGTGGCATAACTTATAGGAAGTGCGTTACGGTGAGGTGCGAGTTTCTTGTTTGAAATCAGCGACTCTGACTAACCTAGTGCAGGTGCTTTCAGCTTCTTTGATTCTATTTTAGGAGTGAAATATGACCATCATCTACGTAAGACCCTCCTCAAAGTTCCTAGCGTAGTCCTACAGTAACGAAGAGGGATTTTTGATTCGCACCATATTGTAAATCTAAGTTGAAGCCAGTCCTACAAATTGGTGCGTACTTCTCGAAAGACTTCATTACATGAGGATTACTAACAAACGTACGGTAGGCACATCTTTTTGTGACAACTGTATAATTGGTGATTAAAGTGCAAGACTATAGTTTTCATCCAAGTCTAAGCAGCAGATATGCAATAGACTTCATTGATTCCAAGATACCATGTATGATTTAAGCTCAAGTGACCGCTTCTTGCGTCCTTTTTTGAGCAGGCGCTATTTTTCGAGGATATAGCACCCCTTCGATCAATGTGCATCTACAAATTGGCAATTTTTGTGACAGATATTGGTGATCGCCAATCGCTACGAGTTTCTGTCGCTCTTCGCCGATATTGGCGACGGCGATCGCCAGTCGCTATTATCGGCGACTGCACTTTACGAAGCTCTTGATCGCTAACAGTTACCTTCAAATTGATATGTATCAGACTTGTAATCGCTGAAGCTAGCGACGCCATCGCTACTACTGGCGGCCGCCAGTCGCCGCTCCACGATAGGTGGTTATGTGGTAACTTGTTAGCGATCAATATGAAAGACACAGTCCCCAACATTAGCCACTGGTCGCCAGTAGTAGCGACTGGCTGTCGTCAATCGCTACTACTGGCATGGAGTATAGCGCCTGCCTCAAAGGTATTGTCCAGGCCCACCGAGGAGTGATGGGATTTTGACGCAGTACGAGAGCGCAGCTCCTGACAAACCCAACAGTTCAAGACTCATCAAAAAGGTGGATTCCGAAGCGAGAAAACTGCTTCGGATGAGTCTTCAAAAAGGGTAAGGTACTCTAATCCCATCTCCAGTCGGTGGAATCCCGCCCATCCAGCGGTCTCCTACAGCTGCAGCAGAGCGCGTCTCGTCCAACGCTCTTTCGAAGGGGCTTTCGAAAAAGGGGACTGTGCGTTTTTTGGATAGTTTATGGGGCAGATTAGGAAGCAGGCCAATAACAGTCAAAAATGTCTGAAATCCCAAAGACAAAATTCTACCTGGATTGCCTTTAAATCTTTGGGAAGTTTTGAACCGATTGCAGACCCCGTAACCATGCATTATTTGCGATATTAAAGGCAAGGCTTACCAGAATGACAACTTTGGGATATTCATCGTTATCGGTTCCCCTGGATGTGCTAAGTCCAGAGAATGTGCTCTGTAGCTTCAAGAGATATCAATAAACCCCTTTTCCAGACGTGAAAAGTGCTGTTTGGGCGGACGGCGTAAGCCCGCCCTCTAGAGCGCGATTGGCTCGTGAGTGGAGATACCGTACCCATCTCGGCAGCAATTGGGTTACTGGCTCCAGCAGCCACTTTAGCGACTCGCCCAAACAGCACTTTTCAGGTCCGGGAAAGCGAGTTATTGATATCTTCAAAAGCTGCGAAGCACAGTTTTAGACTCAGCTCATCCAAGGGAGTCAAGAACTACGAATATTATATCAAAAAGTTGTCATTCTGCCGAGCCGCTGCCTCTAAAGGCAGCGTCCACGCAAATCTGGACCTATGGTAATTTTACGTGGAAGAAGATTTTGGGGCCCTAACAAAGCCACTGCCCAACCGGCAGCTCAAGTAGTGCTCTAACAGCTGAGACATTCCCCTCGAAACTAGACCCCAAAGTCGTATTTCGATGGATTCATGGCGCATCTCATCAGTTTCGCGCAAGGACTAATGGGTTGTGCCATGAATCCATGCGAATACGATCCCGTGGTCCAGTTTCGAGAAGAATTTCTCAGCCGTTAGAGCACTACCTGAGCTGCCACTTGGGCACTGGCTTGGTTATGGCACCAAAATTACTATCCACGTGAGATCCCCATATGTCCAGATTTGCTTGGATGCTGCTTTCAAAGGCAGTGGCTCGCGAAAATTATGACTGCGACTTCCATTTCTCTTTGACCTTCTGGCTGCGCTGAGTTCAGTACTGTGCTTGAAATCTCTCGAATTTGTCAAAGAAGTGCTTTTTATGGCGTTTTCTGGTTTTGGAGACCGCTGAAAGGCTGGGCGAGCGATTACCGCCAACTGAAGCGTACTGCTTACTTGCTTACATAGGTGCTTAGAGGCCCGTCTTCACATGACGTGCGATTCCAGCACAGAAGTTGCCAATGATCCCTGTTCCTCAATTCACATCCACGATCTTCTTGGGTGTCGCCGTCGGTGCTGCGTCCACGAGTTCCCGGGGCGAAAATCCTATCCAGCTGATTTGTCAGCTGGTCCATCTGTTCCACGAACACGGCTGCCCATCTCGTTGGAGGTCTTCTTTGGGACGTTTTGCTTCGCGAGGAATCCACTCTGATGTTCTTAGTGCCCATCTATCGTCTATTCTTCTCATGAGGTGATCGGCCCATTGATGCTTCGCTTTTGCTACGAATTACGTTGGATTGCGAAGACGGGACATTCTTCTCGTAACCGTACTGCAGAGTCCGACAAAATGTTGTATTCGGGTCACCTCCGGAAGACTGCGCTCTAGCGCCTCAGGGTGGTCCATAGAGCTTTCGACGTGGCTACGGCCTAATTCTCAGCTGCGTAACAGAGCGCCGGGAGGACGGTTGAGTCGAACCGGTGGGCACGAAACTCCCAGTCCATCATTTGTTCGGTGGCTTCCTCCGAAAGCCCGAAGGCGGCCCAGGCTGCTCTTCTTCTCCTGTTAAGTTGTTCTCCCAATTCGTTCTCCATGTTCATGGAACGTCCGAAATACCCACGAGAAGACGTCTCCATAACAGGGCTGCCTCCCAGTTTAATTTCTGCATCTTCGCATAGGATGTTCTTCCTGATCTGAGTCTTCCGATGTATCGCAATCCGACTTTCTTCCCTTCTTCATTTAGTTCCTTCAGCATCGTCTCTACTTCAATCATATTTCTCGAAATGAAAACGCTGTCGTCCGCAAAACGAATCGACGGAATCTCTCATCAACTTGTATGCCTCTCTCGTCCCAGTCCAGTGACTTCGTCACCCAATGTGAGGCGGCGGTGAACAGCATCGGTGAGCTTGTTTCGCCTTGTCGGACCTCCTTTCCAGTTGGAATGTTCAGGGGCGACGGAGTAGCTGCGTCCTCGTTGCACAGTCCTTGTAGCAGTCAGCTAACGTCCTCATGAAAGCTGGGTCCACTCCTTGGTCCACAAGCGTTGACAGGATGGCGTTAGTTGCGACGCTGTCAAAGGCCATCTCATAGTCGACGAAGGTTAGGACGAGAGGCAGTGGGCAGGACGAGAGCCCTATACAGGTCTCTTGCAGCCAGTCGCTGATTTTGACGTCGATCGCCCAGCCCTTTCAGGTCAATTTCCAGAGATAGCACAGTATTGGATTCAGCGCATCCAAAAGGCTAGAAAGAGATGGATAAATCGCAGGCGCAATTTTCCGAGCCACTCTTCAAGGAAGTCATGACGCCGGCAACAGAATCCCTTCTTATGACAGGATACCGTACATAAGCTCGACGGCCGAACCAAGTCCCGCCCCACTTGATCCACTTCATCCACCTTTCTATTGGTTAAATCACTGAACTGACCTGTAGTGAAGTAATTGTTCACTTGATCCACCTCATCCATCGGCCAAGTCACTGAACTGATCTGTAGCGAAGCGAATGTCTTGATCATCTTCATCCACTTCGCTATTGGTCAGTACAGTACATTGATTCGACCAATATCGAAGTGTGAAATGGTTCAAGCATAACGTGTGCCAGAACTAGCCTTCCGCATGGGACCCGCGACACCTACCACATAAAGGCTACTGCATGACGAAGGCGCAGAAGCAGTACTATTTGAGCGAGCGCGAACGTGGCGCGCGTATCTTCACCGTTGTAAGTCCTGCGCCTCATGCGCTCCACGGCTAATAAAGTTCGCTCCCAAAGCTTTTGCGCCTTCATCATGCAGCAGCCTATGATTGTTCGTGCTTCAAGTAAAGAAAACTGTTGATTCGCATCGCTGGGCCACTGTACCGTGCTCTGTGACTTTGGAGCAGTTCTGGCTTCCCGCATCACGTTTGTCTGTACCTCGAGCAGTGATCCAGTAAAGGGTGTGCTTCGGTTCAAAATCGGAGCTCCAAAAAGCTCGATATTGCTTTGGACAAAGGTATTACATATCATATGACGCATCTGAGCATCAGCAGACGCCGTATAAAATATCTGCAATTTTCCCCTTCTTGCTCTAGGCTCAGCGCCACACTTTTCAGCCTATAGCGTTCGTAGGATTTCGTCTGCTCCATCCACGTCTCCGACTTGCTATCTTCCAACTTAGATCTTTTATGCTTTCCATTATCATAGGCGGAAAGTGTCCTAGTAAGAAGCAGCATTGAAAACGTCGGATTCAGACAAGTAGAGTAAGTGGGAATACATTTGATTTTTCTAAACTTCAGATAACGCATGATGGAGCATCTTCCCTCCAAATCCGTACAAGTACAGATAATACAGGCTGTCCCTAGGTGGCGCGAAGCTGGATACAACTCAATTATGTAGCCCAGAAATGTCCCATTCACGCCTGCTAGCAAATGTGCTCAATTGGAACAAGTATAATAGTTTCATAATTCCCCTGAAACTATGATATGCTCTACGGAATGAGCCGTTGCTCTGGGACCAACTTTCACCTGCCTCATTTATTTGCCTTTCTTATAGATGTAATCAGAATTTATCTCACCTTTGAGAAAACGACGCGCGAGACGAGGAAACGCTGCTTTGAGGAAATTGATGAAGAATAGCTCATTGGACTGCTCTTGGATCTCCTTGAGATAATGAGCGAAACCCTCGGGGCTTAGATGTCCGGTAGCCGTATGCTGAAACTAGTCTGTGAACGCACGAAGCACGTCAGTGCAGCTCTTCATTGGTTGACGCTGATTAGCAGAAGCGCGTCAACAGAATACGGTATTGGAATAGGAACATTTTGATTCTGCTGTTATGTTTCGAGTTCACCTATTGAAGCTCAAAAATATAGGCATTTTGAAAAAACTGTGTTATTGCATGTAACACTATGTCGAACACTTCAACTATTCCAACCCCGACTTTCGAATGCACTCACCAAGATCAGTCTTTTCACGAAGTCGTTTAGACTCTGATCTCCAGTTAGATTGTGCTTCTTATCTAGTCTTTCCATTCTTTCCAGCAAGTTCAAGAGGAAGTTGACCAGCGTTTCTACCTTCCTGCAGCATTTCACACGGAAAACACTTCCTGTATCGTACATTTTCGGGAATCTGATGGTGATGTCGTAACGTTCCGGAGCAGTCGTTGATTGATTCTGACTTTGACTCGGTTTCGCCGGCTCAAGGGAGATAGCAGATGCTTTACGAGAAGGGGCCAAGCTCTCAGCCGAACGTGATCGTGTACGAGCTAAGTGCAGCTGGTCATCTGTATACGAATCCCCGGCCATGTTGCGTACAACCTCGTTCTCTCCCCGTACGACAGAACCTGGAGAACCACCAAGTATCACCTACCTAACAAGTGAGATGCAAAGAGTTTCACCTTCGACGCCACTTAAACCAATGGGCCCAATGATGTAGTCGAAGTAGTCGTAGGGAATATCGTACTCAGCCATGTTAACTCGTTAGGAAAGATTCCTAAGCCAAGCGTATGAAGAAATCAAAACAAAAAGATAACCTTTCAAGCACGGAATTGATGCCACTCCAAGAAGAACCTTCTGGCAACCGCCCGCCACGGCGTTAGAAGCTCAAATGAGCTTGCTACCTGTGATGCACGCTGACGTGGACCAGCGTCGCAACGCGTTTTGGCGCCACATTCAAAAGCTACCGTACGCCTTAGCACTAACACCAAGAAGCAAACCAACATTTTCGACGCTTCAGCCGTGTTAACATACATACATCGTACTCAGCCATGTTAACCGTTAGGAAAGATTCCTACGCCAAGCATTTGAAGAAAAAGAAAAAAGAAAGGTAACCTCTCAAGCACGGGATTGTATGCTACTCCAAGAAGAAGCCTTCTGGCAACCGCTCGCCACGACGTTAGAAGTTCAAATGAGCTTGCTCCTGTGATGCACGCTGACGTGGACCAGCGTCGCAACGCGTTTTGGCGCTACATTCAAAAACTACCGTACGCCCTAGCACTAGCGTCAGTCGTGTCAAGACCACTACTGATCAAAACTACCAGATTCCTTAAAGCTAAATAATTCTACGACATTCTCTCTGAGATTCTAAGGTAAGCTACATTAGCCTTACCTCATGGCAACAGATGATTTTTATAATAGAATGTACATATGTTAACCATTGGTATATCGACACTTTGCATCATCAGGAAATTACCTGTTGCGCAAGAACATGCTTGGCAAGAGATCACATACTACAAACTTGGAACTGTAGTCAATTCAACCTATTGTATGACTGTCACGCTGGCTGTTCATAATTATGATCATGATTATCATTATGAAGTAAGATATGATCTACTTGAGTACTTGATACACCTTTAGACCTTGAGTTCGATAAACTAATACTGCTATATTTTGTTCAAAAAATTGTCTCAGAAGAACATACCAATAAAGACAGATCTGCTATAGGCGGTTCTCGACCAACAGATAGTCACACCAGCTGCCGGAGAAATAATGGCCGTGGACACTTCGCAGGCAAAGAGGTACATGAGGGGAACTCGTTTGGTGGAAACTATAACAACAAATAGTAACAACTAAATTCCCAAAGATGTACTAGCATAGCACAACGTCAATGCATAGAGATATAGAAGAATAAGTTGAAATCTATGAGGGCAAACTTGGCGTGGGAACGCCAAACATGTTCTTGTGTTGCGAATCACTCAAATAAAACGTGATGATGTTAACTGACTTACTGTCTCAAAACATACCGGGCTTGAACGAGCCACTATCAATGAGCCCTGCAGATGATTATCTTACCCGGCAAGAATCTGGAAATGAAGGAAGATGGAACAAGCTACCTTTGCCACAACACCTAGATATTATGAGCAAACTAAGATGTTGAGATATGATCACACCCGCAAATAATCAAATATATGATCTGACAGTGAAAGGATGAATCCAGTACCAAGCTGACACCTCAGCTTGGAACTGGATTCAGAACTGGATTACGGATTTCGCCTGTACAAAGATGTGCCTCAAGCCTCAGTTACGAAAAAAACACCAGCAATACTGAAAGATATAATGGCGCCGTTTCAGTAGCCTCACCTTGTTTTCTACGTACGCCTTCAACACAAGTCGAACTTCAAAGACCTCAATATACATAGTTACCTGATCAGTCGGAGCAGTTCTTGAAGACTCCATCATCATCGTAGTTTACATTGTTCTTCTTCCGATAGTCCGAGATGAAACCGCACGGTACAGGACAACCACTCAGCCAGATGATGTGAAGTGTGATGGCGAAACGGCGAGCATCATTGATTGTAGTTTCATGGAGGTCTTCATATTCAAACACGCGCCATGCTGGTCTTGACGCGATCATGCCGTAAATCTCACTGGGACCCTCACTACGTATCAGTTGGTTAGGGGAGGTTTCTGCTGCGCTTTATCGATCCAAACGACCATCGGACATCGGAAGATGTTTTTCCTTATGTATTCTTCTGGGTCTTTTGCTAGCTTCTTAGGATGCTTCTGCTTCAAGTTGAAGTTTTGTTGAGGTCTTCACAAAGCATGATAGCTGTCATATTGAACTTTTGTCATTATTTGTGCCCATCATGCCATTAAAAGTATTGTTTGGTGTAACAACATTCTTCAGGAACCCAACATCGCTTCTCTGTGGAGATAGCAAGATGAATGAAGTAGAATATCCAGTTAAAACAGTAAGTGCATGATCGCATACTGAACGCTGTTTCTTTGCACTGACTTCCATACTTTCATGAACTTTATTTATTCTTTTCTTGAAGATGACTTTTTCTTCGGAATCAAAGAGGGTAAGTGAAGCGAAGGTTGAAACAAGAGAGCAGCAAGGCTATTGACCGATTTTACGACACATTATTCTATACCCAACTAGTTACGTTGTCTTTCCGAATCATTTGTTATGACCTTAGCTAAGATTACTAAAACATTCGTAGCAACGCGGTACAAAATTGTTCTTTTTGATGATTTCCGCCGACTGTGTGCGGTACCAGAAGTGCCAGCAGTGGCCATTCGGGTGCCACCGCCACCTGAGCGCTCTCACTTAACGACCTCCTTAGGCGAATTTCGTGCCTCATTTGCTTGGGCGAATGTCGCGTCATGAAAAAAAGGAACATTCTTTGCGATAGAAGGGAATGACCGCGCCAGACAAGTGTTATCACAAGAGGCGTGGCCTTTTCTTGACGCCGGTGGGCATCGAGGCTATCACGAACGAGTCACCTACAGCGCGGTACCATGGGAGACTTCCCGGGTCCTAGAGGGGGTCCCCTGTCAGGGCATAGTGTCGCCTCTTTAGCTACTTGCCCACTTTTATCGCTGTCTATGTTGCGTGTTTTACATTCTTACGATAACGAAAGTGATTCCTTCAAAATCGTTACCAATTGATCTGCTGTTGACCTTTTGTTTCTTGGAAGACTAAGAGGTTTATCGATATGAGACGACTCGCATGCCACTTTGATCACCTCTCGATTGCTACTCTTCGTTTTATTTACTTTTACTTCTCATCTGGATTGTACGCTTAGTTTATGACAATTTTTAGATCTCTATGAAAACCTTTTGGCCGCAGCACATTGTAGTGCTGCTTTTTTGCACCATATCTTCTTCAGAATTACAGGTACGTAAAGTCCATCTGCATGTGTTTCTCACTGCCATTGTCCTCCATCTTCTATGATTTCTTGGTTAAAACAAACAAAGAAACGGTCGAGAAACGGCTGTGTTGCTATTCTTATGCTGTCATTTTGTGTTCCCACATAAATCTCCATTAAAACAACACATTGGTTGGAGTCCAGACGCCTGTTGCGACTCCCTATCGGCTTCCACTCTTATCGCAAAATTTGGACAACTGCCAGACGGTGGAATGCCAAAGTTTGAGTCATCTTAGCCCACGCAATATATTGGGCATCATTCTTGACTAGTTTTTAGTAGAATTGGAAAGTGGGTGGTTGAGGTAAAGTAAACAGTCCAGCAAAATAAGTAACGAGCTCACCAAATTCCTTGCTCGGTGCTAATTTTTTCTACGAAACAAAGTTCTGTCTGGGCTGTAACGTCTTCCTCGAATTAACCGTCAGAAATCTTTACTTACTTCCCTAATGCTATTTTTATCTCCATTTTTTTGTAGTGTACAAACACTGATGCATCTGTAGTATGCTAGCAACAGGGTGACGTTTTGACATTTTTTTCCTTGCTTGGTTATTTCCGGTAACCACTCACCTCTATGATTGTACACCTTAGATGTGGTGTCATTAATCTTAGTTACATTGCGATTCACATTCACACCTACTAGAAGGTTTTGACCCTAGTCGTTGAATGTCTCAATTTATCATTCGCGACAGTGCAACGCATCGAACTCGCGCAACCTACCAAATAGTTTATTGAACCTGAATTTGGTAGTGCTTTCAAATCTGTATGTTCAAACAGTATACTTTTATTGAGATATGAGGTTGGAAGTGATGTTTTTGGCGTAGATTTCGCCCACCTTCATAATAATACGTGGGAGCCTTTATCTGCTAGTAAGAGAGCAGCAATATATCAAACAGTTCATCAACTTTTTTACATCAGTTCGAAATTTTATGAAACGCTCCAATCCCTTCATATAACAATTTTCCATTGCTTGTCCGCAACTGTGATCCAGACATTTTTTTTTCAAGTTGTCAAACCATGTCTTGTAGGATTTCGCAAGGTGCAAGCATATCGAATGTCTCATCTCATAACGTTCTTTTTGTAGCATAAAAGAAGTGATCTATTTCACGCGCATGTTAGAGATGCTGAAAGAAACGAAATTAAAATCTATCAAAAAATTCCGAAAATCATAGTCGTTCGTAGATACAACGGTCAGCACGGTCGTCTCTTCTTAGTTCAAAAAGAATGGTCGTAAAACTACCAATAAAAATGGAATCGAATTTTTTACTCCTCCCAGCTTCTAGCGACTATGAACGATTCAGTTTGACTGTTTGAGAGCTTGTAAATCCGTATATAAGGTTTGTTTGAGTCGTACAAGATTCCGTAAGCTAAACTGAGTTAGATGAGTTCGTTGTTTTGGAGCGAATCTTATGGACCAACATGATAGTAATGTCAGGAGTTACCATGTTTTCAATTATTAAGTATGAAAGACTGTGTGGAAAAAATATCTTGCCATTTACTTTATCTACCATTCAACAATCTATTAGGTAATTCCAAAAGTTTGTTCGCCAGTTTCTCAAAAAATCATAACTTTCTTCCTTCTTCGTGGATTTTCTTGATTTAATTTTTGTTTGAAAGAGGAAACCTTTCTCTTTACAGCAGTACCTTTTCCATGAAATGGTATGAGAAAGTTCGAGAGTTAGAAGCAAATGAGTAAATTTACTCAAGATTGGCATTTTTTGAGCTGGATCGCGAAAAATTTCGAAAGTGTTATTATTCGATAGAGAAAATTATGCTCTTTACTATAATGCTTTTCGCACAAATTAAAACAAAAAATATCGAAAGTTATAAGCAAATAAAGAGAATTACTTCAGTTTTGCAGTATTTGAACATACCCAAAAAACCCAAAACGTCAGAAAAAAGGCGGAAAAGCCATGGGCATGGGTTTTGTAACCTTCTCTTTCCAGCTGAGCAAAAATCGCGCCAATCGAGAGCAATTTTCATTTTCGTAATATTTACGAATTTTCGGGTCTGCGTTTTTCGCGAAAGTCAAAATTGCTCTCGATTGGTCCGATTTTCGCTCTGCTGGTAAGAAAAAGTCACGAAACCCGTGTTCTTATCTTTCCCGCCTTTTTGTGACGTTTTTGGGCTTCTTTATTCATGCTCAAAAACTGCAAAACTGATGTAATTCTCTTTATTTGCTTATAACTCTCGATCCTTCTCGTTTTAATTCGTGGGAAAGGCATTGTAGTAAAGAGCATAATTTTCTCCATCGAATAATAATACTTTCGGAATTTTTCGTAACCCAGCTCAAAAAATGCCGATCTTGAGTAACCTTATACAATTGCTTCTAACTCTCAAACTTTCTCATGCAATTTCATGGAAAATGTACTGTTGTAAAGAAAAAGGTTTTATCTTTCAAACAGAAATTAAATCAAGAAATTACACCGAGAAGGAAGGAAGTTATGATTTTCTGAAAATCCGGCGAACGAACTTTTGGACCCATCTAATATATGCAATATTTCTATAGAACCAGTCACTATGAGTGTGCGAAATCTACGGAAAACTATGTAAATACAGAAAGAAGTCTGGTCGCAGTAACTCCTCTCGTAGGCTATTTCACGTAATTTTTTTTGGATGCTGAGCCTTCTTTCTCTTTATCGCGTGTTTATAGACATAGCTTGAAACAAAGAGAAAGTTTCTGTATAGAAATTTTTGAGGTATGTGTCTTTTGATTTGTTTCCTAGGTAAATTCGGATGGAATATTCGATGTTAATATTGAACCAGTTTATGGGAATTCGGCGAATAATACTTTTATACTGAAACGAAAAATGAAAGCTCTTCAAATTGAATTTAGCGGGCTCGTACAAAACCGGTGATTCCCAGCAAGCGCTGAGTATGAGCTACACTGGGGTGCAACATTGTTTAGGCTAAATTAACTTTCGCTGCTTTTTTGTTTACCAAATTGTTTCTAACCTGTACATTTTCTCATTGAAATATGATGAATGAAATTTAAGACTCCAATCACTTATAGGCGAATGCAGTTAAGTGCGAATGTCAGGCAGAAGAACGAAACAAAACTAGAGATCATCTCCGGTTGATTACGCGGATCTCATCCCTGAAGTTGTTGCCTGGCATAAGAGAGATAATTTATCAGAATGGAGGTTTGTGTTCTAACCATCTACTTGATCTAACGTTTTGAGTTTTAGCCGAGAAAGCTTATTTGCTACATCGTGCCAGCCATGAAATCGTACGAGACCTCAGGGCCAATTACGGGAATATGGTGTCGCAAACCGACATTCCACCCAGCTTCAACGAACTTGTCGGCACTTTGAAAGAGCTTATTACTGACGAGAAAGTAAGTTCTTGATAGATGCTGATGTTTTTTAACCGAACAAAGGACAGAAAATCCATTCTTTATTTTTTGAAATTCGTTAAGACCGTAAGACCTTGTTACACAGTGCCCGTTAGTTATGAAAACCTTTTCAAAGCATGGTTTGCAATAGCTTAGCTGATCAATATCCGTTGTCAAACATTTCTGCTTTAGCACTTGCCTATCCTCAAATTCTAGCTGTAAGAAAAAGCTCTCTGGGAAAGCTCTTTCATAATAAATTTTTTGGAAGTGGAAGATGATTTTTACAGTTTTTTCGCATTCAATGAGATGACGAACTATATATACAGGGTGTCCCAAAAAATGTAAACACCGTTTGATCGCTAATAACTCTCTTACTTCCGCGTCTTTCGCCGAGTTTGAGGTGCCATTCTATAGAGCGAGGTTCAACTTAAATCTACGGTATGGAACGAATCATCAATCTCTTTTCATTACTGTAGGGTAACGGTAGGAACTTCGAGGAGGATTTTAAGCCACTGAAAGCGGTATTTTGCCTCAGAAATATAACCAAACAAGCCAGAAACTTTTGAACTAGGCTAATCGAAGTCGCTGATTTCAGAAATGAAAGTTGCTCTTCAGTATAGTGATTCTTTCATAAGTTATTTCAGCTTTAAGGTAGCAACGTTTTTTCCAATATTCATCAGAAATGTGAACGCTCCGTCAAGAAAGCTCGAAAAACTGGTAAAAAGTTATATAGTGAAATCTGCACGCCTGAAAACATTGCTACCAAATTTCTGGATTTTTTGGAATTTTTTTCTTCATCGAAAGGCCTATTTCACAGTGGCACTACATGCTGGAAGTTTATACCGTAATCCTACAGTAACGAAAAAAGATCGGAGATTCTTTCTATGCTGTGGTTTAAGTTAAGTTGAATCTTGCTCTACAGAATGGTACTTCATGCTCGGTGAAAGATTTGAGAGCAAGAAAGTTATTAACGATCAAACAGTGTTCACATTTTTTCAAACCCTGTATATATTAGGCTTTCCCAAAAATTTTGTTGTTCATTTTTGAAAATTTGTAACTCTTTGCTGTTTCGACAAATTCGCTTCTTTCAAATTTTATAGAAAGGAGAAATCCTTCTCTTTATAAGCTTATCTCGGTGAGCTTCTACTATGCATTCATTGCAGAGATAAAATTGGAAAAAGGAGACCACTTGAGCCTTGACTATTTCAAGCTAGATCGCCAAAAATCAAGAGTATTATGGAAAATTCTGAAATTGTCGGTACACAAGTTCTATGATCTACTCTTTGCACCTGAGAAAAATTTATGCTGTTTGGATGTCTCAGTGAAAAGTTGAATTCGAGAAAAGTGAAAAATTAATCAGTTCTGTTGTTTTCTATTGTAAACTCGAGGATAACTTTTCACAGGGACGCCCAAGAAACACAATTTTCCTCACACGCAGAGAGTAGGTCATAAACTTATGTACTGATAGTTTCAAATTTTTCTGCAGCGTTCCAGATTTTTGGCGACCTAACTAAAATGGCCAAAGCTCAAGTTCTTCTTTTCCATTTTTATCTCTGCAATGAATGTATAGTGAAAGCTTTTCGAGATACTCTTACAAAGAGGAGGACCAGGGCTCGGCACGAGCTGGCACCAGGGAATTTTGAAAACGAAGTCCCCTTTGAAATTTGCCAATTTTTACGAAGTCCCCCTTGACTTTTGAGAAATTTTACGAAGTCCCCTTTGATCCTCAACGATATCCCCTCTAAAATCCTAAAAAAATCCCCAAAATCCCCCAAAAAACGAAACGTCGACTAAAAAAAAAAAAAAAAAAAAAAAAGGTCGTCGCCGCCAATTTTGCGTATGTCTTCGCCCACAAAAACGAAACCCCCTTTGCTTTTTGCCCCAAAAACGATATCCAGCTTGCCCCGTGCCAGCTGGTGCCAGGCCCTGAGGAGGACTTCTTTTCTTTCTTTTGAAATTAGAAAGAAGAATTCGTTGAAACAGCAAAGAGTTAGAAGTTTTAAAATGAAACGACAGAACTCTCAGGGCGGCCTAATATTATGAGTTGCTTGACAACATCATGCATTACTACATAAAATATAATTTATTATGGTTTGTGGAACTTCCACTTTGAGTCTTCATTTTCTCGGCCCCGTCCATTTTACGAACAGGCTAGAGCACGGAAAGACTTATTGGATTTTTCTTGATCGCACGATTTCCATGTCTCGCTTCAAACTTCAGCAATCATTTCTTTGAGTAATATGTTCAAGATTCGATATTTATATATAATCAACAATTGTAGCGTATACCATATGCTCGCAACTTTTTTTGTAATCAAACTTTTCGATCACGTGGCCCCGGAATATTCACTGGAATGGGGTTTTCTGAAATCTATCGAAAATTCTTGAAAAGTAGAAGGATTTTTTTTGGAAATGGGTTGGCGCATCTTTAGAACCACTTTGAACATCTATCCACGAGTTCTAAGCAAAAACTCTTCTCATCAAATTTTTCTTTACTTCCAAATTCCTCGCACAATTCGGAAATTTTTTGTTGAGCTTATAATGATATTTAGTACGTTTCTGCTGCATACTTTCAAATCAGTATCTATGCTTGCTAAAATCTAAGTCCAATATTTGTTGAATAGTTTCCTGCTAGTCCAGCAATAGCTGCTAGACTTCCGCTAGTGCGCATAATTCAATAGAGCAAGGAAGATCCGCTCATTCGAACGAAGATACGTCGATTCAATTATTACATACTTGGAAGTTGTAACAACATTGATGAGTAGCAATAATGGTGAGAGAAGTCTTGAATGAGTAAATCATCCTTGTGCTGTGCTCAAGCCAATTTTGCGAAGCTTTTCCGCCAAATAAGGCGAATTTAGTGAGCGAATATACCTTGGAAAATGCTTGAAATTTACTCTGGGGTTAGTTTTATGTCAAGTTTGTTATGTGAATCATCTGCATAATTCAATAATCAAGTTGCTGTTAAAGAGCTTATAGTGCTGACGAATACTAATCTCCAAAGACTCATCTTGGGGAACGTTTCGGAGAATCCGCGGAACGCAGATCTCATTTCTGACATTTTGACGTCAAGACTTGGTAAAGTCACATATAAAAAATGGCGAACATGTGATGCGTCCGTTCAGATAAGACAATTGAGCGGATAATTTATAGCAACCCCCTCGTCCTCCATTCTTTCGTCATGCAATAATTCAAATTATCCTTGCACCCTCGTCATCACTGGAGCATGTTAAATCAGTCTCTGTATCAAAACAGAATGGTGACTTTCGAGTAAGTGCATTGTTTCGAGAAATAGCAGAATGAGGAATGTGTTGTACTAAAAGACTAGGGCCTGTTGTATCGCCATGGGGATCTTTTTTTTTCTTGAAAATTTTCACATTTGTGAATTCCGTTAGAGTTTACGACATATGTACATAAGAACCTGGGACAGTGACCCAGCGCAACGGATATCTCTGCTCTAAAATCACTTCCTGTTGCACGCGAGCCGCCTTCAGGCTCGCGCCCGGCCCACTCGCTAACCCATGTGTCGCGGATGTGTATCGCTTTTGTTGCTGTTGTTGCTTTTTTTAGTTGCTGCACAACATGTCCTTGCTTTTGTAAGACTTTCATGACATCAAATGACACCGTTGTGATCAAAATGCATAGCTGAGTCACTGACGCAGATGAAGTTCATGTCGCGTCAACTAATGCGTTGCGGTCTCTAGCGAACTATCTGCAAAAAGAGTAGGCAGAAGGCATATGAGAAGCGCACCTTGTGGTCTGTGCTTGTGACTGACAGAATAGTTAATAATGAATATATAAAAAAACCAATTCGCAATAAAGCATAGTTGAATTTACGGATCAGCTGCACGCAAAGAATTTTTTTTATTATTACAGCAATTGACGTCAGACGAGATCTATTCTGTTGTAAATGGAAGCATAGAGAAGTTCCACAGTGCGATTTTGCCGTCAGCGTTTTTATGCTTTGCTCTTGGCACATGTAGGTATGTGAGTTATTAGTTGGGGCATTATGTGCAATCAATTATAGATCTTGGCTTTTTTTTCTGCTTTCAGGACAGCTAATGCATTTTACATGGATTGCATGAGAAGCAACGTGCAGCACTGGACAATCTTTTTCGGCGACGAACCCCAAAAAATGTCCAAAAAGTGGGTAGACATTACTATGCTGAGTTTTCCATCGAAATCAAATGGCAAAGAATCAAAGCTTGTGCTTCTTTTATCTCCTTCCTATTCTGAAGTTTTCTGTTGAAAAAAGTCTCTTTTCTTTATCATCTAGCTTCAGATTTATTCAGTCGTATGAACAAGATCAACATCAATTTTACAGTATTCAGACTTTCGGATTCAATACTTGCCTATCGTAGAATTGATAGGATTCTCCAATCATTGCACAACACTTTGTTAACAAGTGAAGATCAGATCACATCTGATTGTGTGGAACAATTCACAAATGTGACCGCATGCTCAAAATGTTTGGCTGACGAAGGTGTCGGATACTGTAGGTAAGTAAACTTTTTTGGATGCCTAATTTCAAAAAAAAACATGAAGTTATTTTCTAGTAGTTCGTGCAAGAGGGTAGCACTAAGATGCTTTGAGAACTTGTCTCGAAATTGGGAAGAGAGTATCGACGAGTTGTACAAGCTCACCAGAAAGTATGATGGAGGATTCCAGCAGGTTGGGGAAATAATTACAGATTTTTTTGCTCAAAGAACTTATTGTATAGTAAGTCAGTGCGCGCCCCGTGGAGATTGCTCGCACCTGCGCCGCATTGCAAATTGCGAAGCGACACTACTCAGCAACAGATTAAGTGCAAATGGAGCACATAAACCATGTTTCAGCTCGTTCATGGCATCGCAACTGGTGTACGAAGATTGGTAGAGACCAAAGCACCAAATCTAGCAAAGCAAGTGGTGGAAAAATGTGGTCCTTTGCTCAAAGAGAACGTTCGCCCATCAGTTTCGACGCATGCAAGACCTCAAAAGCCGAAAGAGCTGAAAACGCGGATGAAAGATCTTGTTGAACAGGTGCGATCATCTAGTTTCACTACACTTTGAAAATTTTCAATTCTGCTATTTTTTTCAGTTACATACTTTGCGGGGCTGTTGGACGCAGATTGCTGAGCGAACCTGTTCAGGAGCTTCAGAGCAGTCTCCATGTTGGAATGGCTCCGACATTGTCAGGTTTGTGAGCATTGTTGTAAAAAAAAGGGGTGGGGGGACTGAACGGTCAAAGAAGCAGAAGAGCTTAGTGAGCGCCATTCCCGCACATATTTGTCGCATATACGTGCTCTGAATGTTTGTTGTCTGGTACTTGACGGGGGGACATCATCATTGTATTGTAGGCTGAGTGTGTGAGAGTGCTTTGTATGGGAAATCTCTTGACTTCGATTATGGGAACGGTTGCGAATATATCTGGTTTTAGTGAATAGATGAATATTCAGAGATTTGGATGGATCAGTGATGTATATTATTTTGCGTCTGGAACTTGTTGTTCCAAGTTGTGGAGGAAAACAAAGAAAATTGCGTAACCTCCGTCCCTAATGTGCACTATGTGGCTAGAAAATTGTTTGCACAAGCATAATCCTGTTTGCTAAGGAATGCTTCCAGAAAAAAAAACATAGGTCTACTATTAGGTTAATTTGTACTTTGGAGTAAGCAACAACCTGTTTGTACTCAATCTAAAAACGTTCAAAAATTGTTTCGGTGATCGCTTCTCTCAAAACAATTTTCGTCATTCATTACTCACAACCAAATAGTCAGTGTATTGAGAGTAGCGTTATGATAGAGTTTGAATGACTGGGAATTATGTGATGAATCACTATCGCGGCATTTTTCACGTGAGGTCTGATAACGAGTAATCAAATGTTGTGCAAATCATCCCGAATTGCTTTTTTTAAATAGAGGAAAAGTTGTGATAGTCTCCATGTCGTTGGTTGAATGTTGACTTTTCAGCTTCAACCTGCAGCAATAGTGAGTGCCTGTTGAAAACCTGTTCGCTTTCAAAATACCGCGTCCCTATCTGTTGGACCTTCAAAGACTAGAAACTTAAAAATAAAAAAAAGTGATCTGCTACTAGCTGAAAGGCCCTATTCTAGGCAATGAGTGGGAGAGAGAGCGAGAGGCCGGGGAGCGGGGGGAGAGACAGAGCACACCGGGGCGGAGCGTGTTGTTGGCGTAGAGATCCGAACTGATAGCCGTCAGCCCCTCCGTTGACGGACTCATCAGAAGACGCTCGGCCGCTTCTGCGACCGCTTTATTCAGCGGAAAGATTCACTGTTCGTGTGTGTGTGTGGGGTTGAGACCGGATATTCGCATATATTCACTAGCATTCGAAGCGGGTCTAGGGGCGATGCCGCACATCACCACAGTCGCCCTATTGCTAGTGCTATTCTCGTGTTGCAGAGTACAGTTCGCTGATGAGTTCAGTGTTGGCACCAAGGATGTTCGACCTCGGCCTGAGGTTTGTGTAATTCTACCTATAATTTTCTTTATTGACTCTTTTGCATTGCTTTGACTATACTCTCTCACATTCCATTCTGTCATTTTCTTGCTCATTACACGTGCATACATCTAGTAAAATTCATTCCATCATATCTGATCCGCTCTTTCCTAGCGATTTTCCTTGTTTTCTTTTGTTAAGCTCTTTGATTGAATCTGCACTCGTCGTTCTTTCTGCAATCAGCAATTGCTAGTTGATAATCTGCAATGCGCTATTCGATCTTGCTCGTCTGAGGCTAAACGTTGAGAAGCTTGATGTGAACAATCAAATTCGCGCAACGTTAGTTTTTTTATAGGTGCGCAAAAGGCAGCCAGGTTCAGCGCGTCTAGCACTGATTGCTCTCAGCCCCTCAGTCAAGCCACAAAGAGATGAAGAGATTCATTGCGTCTCTCGTGCTTGTTTCTACCAGTCGCGGCAAGCACTTCTCCACGCATTTCTTCTCTCTCTCCCCCTATATCCTCCGAAGGGTCTCGACGCGACGTCGCCGGATGTGCGCTGATGTATAGATGAAACACGCCGTAGCCTTTTTTTATTTCGAACGCACATCATGATATCACGTCCAACGGCGTCGTGGCCGATGAGTAACTAGCCGGACAGCAGTCGTCGTGCCACTGTTTGCTTCAACAAACATCTGCTGCTGCTTTTGCGAACAACGAGTAATGTCAATACAGGTGTCAGCAGAAGGTCGAGTATACTTCTAATGCATCAAGCTGTCCCAGCTAACAGTTGATCTCGATTCAAATCCGCGGCTCGTCAAAGCTTTTTCCATGCGCTCGTCAATCACATGAAATGTATTGGCGCCTTTACCAGAGTTTTCTAATCGTCTTTTCGTTTCCTGCAAAATTGCTGCAGTCAGCAGTTTTCTGGCATCGATTCGTGACAACTGGAATTGCTTTGTGCCATTTTTAAATCACTGGAGGGATGTACACCGGAAAAGCATCCAGTATTGCAAGTCTTTGTTGTTTTTTTTCACTCAAAAAATTGCTACAGACGGAGTTAGAGAAAAGCATGCTGATTTTGGAAGTGTCTTTCATTGCTAGATTTAATATCAGTTGTTTCTTTAGAAATAATCATATTTCAGTAGTGCTTACGTACTTCAGTCAGTATCTCATTATTTCCACGAAAGCGCTGTTATCAAGCGTTGCAATTCTATGGAGCAAAAACTAGTGTCCACAAAGTGAGATAACGGCGGGATGCTCTAACAAATGTCAATATAAAGTCACTAATTTATTAGAAACGTTAAAGTAGCAATAAGCACTGGAAGTTTTCACTACTAAGGCGAAAATTATGCCATTCATCAATTGGACGAGGAAAGTGTGGTTTTTGCCGAAGTCAATCACATTGTCAAGCTAAGATCTCACAGTTCTGACTGAATCTTTTTATTTATCTATTGATTTATTTATTTATTCTTTACGCTCTTAGGCGTGCTACAAAACTCAAGATTTGAGGTATAGTGGAAATATCACAATTCCAAAAAGAAAAAGTAAATTTACAACAAAATCATTGTCAGTTTGTGTCCAGTTTGATGCCAACAAAAGTTACAAGCACTAAGATTTTACTCAAGCAGACATGGCCAGGAAAATACAAGTTTTTGATGTGAATTTTTTTGAGTAGAAATGGTGCCTGGAGTAAATCTTTTATTTTCCCACTAAAGCTTTTCGAACAATTTCACTTTAATCTTGCCGGCGTTTTCGACCTCCCCCGAGGTTTGCGGCCCTAGAGCGCCCTGGGCCATTTGTATCGGCGCACTTTTGAAGACGGATGCATTTGAAGCAGCACGTATGACGTACGGCTTGATGAATTCTTCACTCAGAACGTATGTATTGGTATGTGTGTGTGCATGACTTGAGTGTGCACGTCTCTTTCGAAGCCGATAAGCCTTTTGCGTGTGTGTCTCTGTGTGACCATTGTGCTAGGCAATGAGTGCCGACAATTTGGTGCTGACAATTATGGCATCAGCGGCACGAGAAGAGTGCATAGCTATGTCTAACAATTCCCAGAGCTCGTTGTTGTAATGGGAGGACCGTAATCTGCATTTTCTTTGCAAAAGTAGTCGCATTCCGTCTCGGGAGAAGATGTATCTATGAAAAACAAAAATCTGGAGAGCTATAGAAAATTGGCTCAAAATGCGCTCTTCAATGACTAGCTCCTACGAAAAACATCCCATTATCGCCGTTCCTCCACGATTATGTTGCTGATCGGCGCAAATGATGACATGCTCTCGTTCAAACTCATCATTTAGTATCATTTTCTTCAGTATGGAAATGAAGATAGTTGTTGCGGTTTAACCTATTTTATTTATTTTTTCGCAAAAAGAATCCAAGAAATACTTTTTATCTGTGTTTTTTTTCTGCACGAATCCGTAATTGTCACAGAGAGAGGATTATACCTCAACACCCCGTTTTATGTCACTCTCCTGCATTGCCGTTAAGGGGAAAATGGTAATCGCCGCGAATCAAGAGGGCAGAGTCTAATACCCGTTTTGGAAAGAAGTGAAACGGCCGAGTATTAGGGAAGTGCGGATGAAATGATGCATCAATATCGTTTGTCTTAAATTCTTTTCTTTCTTAGTCTTTAACATCTCACAAAGCCAATTTTTCTTGCTCATTCTGCAACTAGACGAAGTTGCTAATGAATCCATGAGTGGTATTCATAAAATCTGAAAAGTGCAATTCACTGATGCGAGCAAGTTTGTCAAAGAACTTTTCTTCTATCTTTTAACTGCAGTGCGTAACTGCAATGCGGGAGTGTTTTTGCTTGTACCTTTTTGTTTTCGAAATGGCTCCGCAAATTTTGATGTATTTATAAAAAATGCCTTACTTTTAGCAATTGTAAAATTCTTCTTCTTTTATTTGAATTGTCTTTTAAATCGAAGAACACCAATGGATGGACGTGTGAATAGTGCAATTGAAAAACGGAAAACGCAAACAATCCATTTGTATTCGCTACGATCTATGTTGCAAATACATCACGACAAAAGTTTTAGTCGCTGCTTTTCAATTCTTACTCTGATGCTGAATGATTCACCAAAATTCGCAAAAGTACAACATCTATATAGATAATTTCTGTATGACACGGTGCTCTATCCATTCAAGAGTGAATTATGCTAACACATTTACAAGGATCTCTTTTCATAGTTAGATTTCCATTTTTTCTCTTTAGCTTTCTGCTCTGTCTCGTCGTGCTGCTATCACCCTAAAGAGTTGCTTACAGCAGTTCAATTACTTTCCTCCTTAGCTGATTCAATTGTATTGACAGTGAGGTTTACTATAGAGAAAAACGCGTTCTATGTGCGAGTCGAGACACTGCTGTAATTTGATTGCCAAGATGGCGCGGAATTTCTTGTGGATATCTTGCTTTCTTAAATTTCTTGAATCAAAAGCTGCTTTCTCGAAAACTGCTTTCGATGCCTTCGAGCGTTACTCTATGGTGTTTGATAGAGATTTAAGCAATTCACACTCGCTCCTTTTTCCTCTCTTCCTCTACTGTCATTCATTGCATCGCTCGATGCAGCCCCTAGGTTTTATCGTTTTTCTCACACATTCCTGCTTCACTGCAATCGTTATCAGCGCTCACTCCGCAATCAGTACAACTTTGCTCAGAATATCGTATTAAGGAGACGTGGTTGGAATCTTCCGGTCATCCATATGATACGGACGATGAAGATTTTATCGGCGGTGGCTCTGGGTCGGGCATGCCGGCCGAAGAATTGCATGACGATGCGGCCGTCTATACGATAGCACCTGGTGAGTGAAAGGCCCCAATATAGTTTCCTCATTTGCGTGAGGGGCGATACGATCTCGCGACGCGCGTGCCGCTGAGGGAATTGCGAATTGCTATGCGATTTATTGCCTGAAATCATCAGCGATGGAAGTTGATGCAATTTTGCACCCGCAGCACCTGGTTGGCATAACATGCGCGTAGTTGTCGGCAGCTCTAATGAGCAATCTGCTGGCGAGCTGCTGTTGTGCTGCCGCGCATCGTCTTCGACAGACGACCTTGCGCGTCTTTTGTTCCTAGTGGATCGCACGCGATCCGTGGCTGTCGCGACAGCACGCGATGTAGTATTGTAGATGACGGCGGAGCGATGCACTTCGTCTTGCGTTAAATTCTTCTAAATCGGGGGAGATTCGCAAGTAAAAATGAGTGCTTGCAGTGATCACGTCTCCGGCCACGTCGCCGCCAACGCCGGCCGTGCAAATCGAGGATACGACTCGAGTTTTTCCGCAAACACTGCCGTGGACAGTTCTCATCACGCTGGTGACAGCATTCATTCTAGCGCACTGACTAATAGACCTGCATGCCTTCGATTCCCTCTTCACAAATGCAATTTATCCACTTTACTTCAACGTACTCAACGAGAGACTTTCAAACGCGCCTACTCAGTGTCGATTATGTAATGCGCTTGAGATTCACCATAGGCCTTATTTGAGTGTTATTTGTCGTGCAAGCCTCTTTAAATTATGAAGCCGGTTAATTCGCTGATTTCTAAGGTATTCATTACAAGTATTATTTGCAATGTTTTCATATGTCATCTTCTCTTTCATCGCTTTCTCTTTCTCAGTACATAGCGAAAGGATTGATGCTGTTATAATAACTTACCGGGTGTAATGATTCACTTTCATGCTACGTTTTCCTCGCCATTGATTGCCATTTGTCATTGAGTAATATTGACTCTACTTTACACACTGCATATAATTATTGTTAATGATCAGTTATTAGATACTCAAAGTGATGAAATTCTAGGTTATAATATTATGAGTTTATATGTATGAATGAAGAGCTTGCTCTCGCTGGGTGTGTAGAACAATGATGTCACGACACATATTTATTGAGAAAAAATAAGGGCCCGAACGGTTGAGATATTGAGTTGCTCCTTATAACCACTGAACATGAAGCTGGAAAGTGCGAATCTCCATTGGCTTCAGAACAATTCGGAAATCTCCTGAAATGAAAAGGGATATTAAGTGGTTATTCACTAAGGAGAAAACAAGGAATCAGAGAAGAGGAGTTTTTGGGAAATCCCAAGAACATTAAAATTTTAGGGAAGTTTTCCCTGACTATCAAGAACAGGTGCCTGTAGGGTTTCTTTTCGAAATGGTAGAAATCGGGTTGAAGATTTATCCTTCTAGCAGTGGCGGTCCCAGGATTTCGGACCGGGGGGGGGCGATAAAAATTTCTCGAAACGAAACGCACTAAAATTCTTGAGGGGCTTCTCATTTCGCGGGTCCCCAACCCCTAAAATCTGGAAAAAGGGGGCGTGGCGTCAGCCACGTTCCGAATTTTTTTTAATAAGGCTAATTTGGATTTTTAAAACTTTTTAAAAATTATTTTAATTATTTACAAAAATAAACAAGTCGTTTGCACATTTTTATAACCCATATAGGTAAGTTTTGAAAATTTTGCGACTCATTCTCGAGGGGAGGGGGAGGGGGGGGGGGCCACTGCCTTCTAGGGATCCGGGAGTATCTAAAAGAGATTGCGGAGGTTGTGAAAATTTTCCACTGTAAGTGGCCATTTGTGTTCCTAAGGTATGCTTTCAAAAATTCTATTCTTTATGTCAAATGCAATTTTTCTATTATTTTCTTCTAAAACAACAAAAATGCCTCAGTCGTGTTGAAATTACAACTTCTCTGGAAAAGTTATAGTATGTATATGGCGTGGCTTACCGCTATATCTTGTGGGTCTATCCCTAGTATAGTTAGTGATATTTCGATTTCCTGCCAGCATAAGTTCTGTCATTTTGGTGATCTTGAATTGGCTGAATAGGTCCTAAAAAACCAAGTTAGAGCCCAGCTCCTGGATACAAAACTTTTTCTTATCCATAATGCTAACCTGTAAATCAATGGTCATTGGTCTGCTATTCTCAGCATCTTCCTGACTTTGGAAGATATGTTCAATACGTAATAGTAGGCTCATTCTGTGCCATCTCTCCAATGTCATCACGTGTGCGAATTCCGGCAACGATCGAGTCATCGCTGAGAACTAAACAAAAATGTCTGCACTTTTCATGATTCAGCTGATCGCATTTGTTGAGAGCAAAATTGCGTTGCAAGAGTGTTCGAATGTCAACCGTATTTCAACGGCATTTACAGCGGCAAAAATCGTCGTTTTTCGATCGTTCATTCGTACAAACATCGATGTCACATCGTTCTATACGATTTTGCAGAAAGAGCAGAATATAAGCTGCATACCTCCATTTTATAGCTTTGGGCAAAGGTGCTAGCATTTTGTACGGTGGCAAAAGTGAGCACAGGACGATGGAAGATGTCCACGGCAAGGGGACGGTGGATCGCTGCAGCTGTCTGGAAGAAAATTGGAAATTAGATGTACTGTGGATTTCCTGACAGATGAAACTCGTCCCGTGATTACGGTAATTTTGAGACCCACTGAAGACGTCTGGGCCAGGGCTTAGCACGAGCTGGTACTAGGGAAATCTCAAAACGAAGTCACGTTTGATCTTGAAAATTTTGCACGAAGTCTCCTTTGATCCTAAACCCTAGACGTAAAAAACCCTAAAAAACGGAACGTCGACTAAAAAAACATCTCAATTTTTGTGTCTTTTCGGCTACAAAAACAATATCCCCTTGTTTCCCCAAAAAAAAACGATAAGCTTGACCCTGTGCCAGTGCCGAGCCCTGGTCTGAGTACACGAACTGTTCATTTCAGGCTTAAATATCTGGTATTCAGTACATCTGTCCCTTGTGAGATGTCTATATTTATCTTCTAGCAAACCTCTTCAGATGCTTTTTCTAACCCTTATGCAAAATTTTTTGATACTCCATCTACAGGAGTCGGAAAGCATATGTTTTGCTCTCCTCGACAAAGTCCCTCCACCACTCTCTCCTAAATCACATTAGCTCAATTATCGAAACACAGTATAACAGTTAGTCCAAATGTAATCTGCAGTGGACAAGGTTACTGAACGATTCATTGCGCCGATAGTAATAAAATGACGAAATTACTCCTTATGTCACGCACATGAAGTACTGCGCCAAGAGACACTTTGGCGCATTTTGGAGTCTAGGATTTCGTTGTTGCAAGAAGGCACATTCGTATAATTTGGGTTCTTTTTCTGTCTTTGAGATGAAATCAATGCGAAACATCAAGCAACTCAAGTGCCGACGCTCTCTGGTTTTGTTTCGAGAGCGGGCTATATATTGGATGGGTCTGAGGGCGAATGAGAATATGACAAAAAATGAACGTTGACCCGTTTGAAAGGATTATGCTGTCGTGTAAATAAATCATTTTGCAGCGTTATGGGTATTCTAGGTATTCTCAGAAATTTCTGATCTTGTTTCTTAGAGTGACTTTCTTTATGAAGAAGAAAAATATGGATTCCTTTTTCATCACGTTTTGGACCGCAAATTCGTGCTTAGCGAATGAGCTGTATTTTCTTCACTTATTCAACAAAAACTTGATCTTGTGTTATGGCTACATTATTCATACTCATATGTCTAATAACTTCCATTCTCAGAGTTTCAGAAGCATTCAAGTTTTGTGGCTCATCAGAAACAGTGGTAAGTGGTTTTGGGAAAATATTAATAATGGAATGAATCCAACTTGCAAAGGTTTACAGGATTATCTAGAAAGTACAAACCTAAGCCTTCCACCTAACATTCTTGTAATGTAACAAAATTTTCAGTGAGATAAAAAATACGTTCTAAACTCGAATGGTTCACCATGTGCACCACGATCCGAAACGATTTTTCGGCCTATCGTCTACTCCAAAATACATGTAAGTTAAAAGCGCTCTTCTCCTACTTGAACTCATTCTAGTAATGCTTTCAGGCTTGATTGGAGTAAAGAATTCACTTTTGTTTCACCATAAAGTACGTAGTGAGTTCCACGAACGACCAATCCATTGCCGTCGCCGGGCTCATCAAGTGCCTCTTCCACTCCCCAGTGGTCATCAGCAAAGCATCGTCGATGGAGCTGAAGGTCAAAGTTTGGCTTCTTTTTTTTTCAATTGAGGGGGCCCCTTAGCGCAAGTGCAAGCGATATTTCTACCATGACTTCCAATGTGCCGTCAAGTGAAGTGGCGCCTTGGGAGCGATCTGTGAGTATAGTCAGTTGCTCGTTCTCGTCCTTAAGAGAATACGAAAACTTGCGGACTTTTATTCTGTGCGATGTATCACCTTTATATACAAACGGTTCGTTACTGGATAGTAGTTCCCAGACACTGGCTCGGTATCGGCATATTTGTATGACGGATTGAACTTTCTCCTAATTTCATTACAAAAATAAGGGCTGCCTTAAAAATAACTTACTTACTGTCTACGCATCATTTGCCGTCCATTGGAATCCGTATAGAAAATGGCACCATTTTTGATATCAGTGCTGTACCTTGTCACCAACTCCTTTGTAATGGGATTTCTTAACAAATTACCTTATACTGCTCCCAATCAAAGTGATACAAAACTTAACGAACTTCTGCTCCTTAGGAATGGGACCTACAATCCAGTCGAATTCGATGTGCTTAGCGCCTTTCTTGAGGCGAATCGTTTGAGCTAACCATGAGTTAAAAGTCTGACGAACTTCTTTGACGAAGGGGCCCTAGCAGATGGATTAAGTCTTCCTCTCAAGCTATATGTGAGGTCGTATTTGCTTACCGTAACAACTTCAAGTTCTGCCTTCTCAAAGCCTATAGGTTGCCCATCAGGTCGGAATACGTAAGCTCCCGAAGGCTGCGTTCCATTCATGACTCCTATAAACTAGTACAAATCTGTTAAAACATATACAAGTGTAAAAAAATTCTGCCAATTCTTTCTTACCAGGATAGTAGAAGAAAGCCTGTTGAAGTTTATGAGATTCATTTGTAGCTTTTACAGTGAGTGTGGATACCAAACCATTTTCGTCAAATGCTAGGATAACTTCCTGGAAGATTCTATGGCTTTCGGTGTAATTTTGATGTACAAACAAACATCATTCTGTATGGAAACTGGTTGCTTAGGCGGCATCAGTGTAGACGGCTGGGGAGTGGTACTGCGCCTATAAAAAAAATTTTTTTTGGAATTGGAGACTGTGATGTTATTCCTATGAGGTGTACTACAACAACGCTAATAGTTTTTGAAAAATAACAATGTGCGTCATCACATACATAGTTATTTACTGACACAAAATTCGGACATGTCGAAAACACGATATATAATCGCGGCCGAAAAAATCAAGTTTAAACTCCTATATACAACATTTTTCTCAGCGGACCAGTTAAAGTCGTCGAGTATAGCAACTGACTGGTCCATTGCAAATACGGTCTGGGCGAAAGTTTACAGTTGTATCATGGCCCCCGGATAAATTATATGAGCTGCCGCAAGATTGACTACTGCTACTATGTTAATCTTTTGCATTTTCATAGTAATCGTTTCTAGTGATGTTCAGGCTGTCGCAGTTGGGAATTATTGGGTGGATGCAAGGGTTCGTTCGCCAATTTCAAAAATCAAAACTTCCTTTCTTCTTGATGGATTTTTTAACAATTATTTTTGATTGAAAGTGTAAAACATGCACTCTACGGCATACCTCTGCCATAGATTATAATAAGAATATTCGAGAGCTAGAAGCAATTAAATACTTAAGATTGGCATTTCTCAGGCAGGGTCACGAAAAATTCTGAAAGTATTTCTGTTTGAAGAAGAAGTTCCTGCACATTACAGCGGCACCTTTTCCATCGATTAGTATGAGATAGTTTGAAAATTAGAAGCAAGTGAAGAGAATAACGTCAATTTTACAGTTTTTGAGAGCATGTTAAAAACATGAAAACGTCACAGCGGAAGCCGAAACAGTAAACATAGCTTCTATGACCTCTCTTTTTAGCTAAGTGGAATTCAGCCGATTGAAAGTATGTTGATTTTCGTGAAAAACGCCAAGCATTTCCGTATAAAATCATAACTTTCCATAGAAACATTCGTTCAGCAAAAATTTCGCCTAGATAGAAAGACGAGATCATAGAACACATGCTATATGTTTGTTTCGACATTTTTGTAACATTTAGGATTTTTGGTGAGTTTTCTTTAAATTACAAAAGTTTGAGTGACCTCCATTTTGCATTTTTAACTCTGTGACTTGTGCTTAATAGAACGCATTTGAGCTAAATTCAGAAACTACATAATCTCTTCAATTTGAAAAATCTATTACAAACTAATTCAGGCAGATAGCAGAGAGTTACGATTTTTGAAAAATAGTGCAAACGAATTTTTGCACCCGCTTAATGAAATGCTTGTTCTGGCGCATGTATCTGCTTTAGTGGGAATGGAAGAAGTATAAGAAGGAAAATCCGAAAATCTTGTAAGAGCATCGTTTTCCCATCTACAAGTCAGAATTTCTTTTGCACCACTGAACATCTGAAGAAATTAAAGTATTCTGTTCTCATAACAAGTTCTATTTTTCTACACCATATCGAGTAAGTGTTGAGATGAAATACTGACAGCGATAGTAACTTATGATTGATATCGTAGAATATTTGCAGTTGCCCTCTATCCGGTTATTAGAAATGCTTACAATTCACAGTCGAGATTAAGGTTCGAGCAAAATTTATGCTAGTGTTTTTACCAACAAAAAATCGTTAGAATGTACATTTTGAAGTGGTCGCCTTAGAATTTTTTTCCCACAAAGTCACTGTGACTAATAAAAATGACTTTGAAAAAATCGTCGCTCGATCGTGGCAGTAAAATTGGCTCTTGCAAATACTCTTTTGGTTAACAATACTCACGTTGAAGTTGAGTTATCCACTATGTAGGTAGCATATCCTAAAGGACCGACTTCTACTGGTATGACTAGCTCATACGGTGCGCGAACATTGGTGTCCAACGAGTCCACTTGGAATGTTTTCATCAGCTAAAATCGCACATCCACATTTTAGATGAAAGTTAATTTTAAAAGACGAACCTGTACGGGTACTCGTTCACCTTTTGGTCCCATTACCATCGCTTGCTTGCTATTGTACGGGATAGTGACCAAGCCAGAGAAGCTGCGCGAGTTGCTGTTGAATACGGTCACAGCAAATGTGGATTCATCCCTGGAAGAATTTATTTTTAGACTATGTACAATTGAGCTCCTAACTCATGGGAAAAAAACGGATTGCGACAAATTTTTCCGTCGCGACATTTTTTTTGAAATTTCAACAGTTATTCTGAATCGCTAGGTTCTCTGCAATCCAGAAATGGTCTCAGTTTCTTTTGAAAACTAGTTTTTAAAAAGTTATAGCATTGCGACGGTTTTGCGAAGAAAAATATGTCGCGACGGAAAAATTTGTCGCAATCCGTTTTTTTCCCATGAGTTAGGAGCTCAATTGTAGAAGTTCGTGGAATTCAGTGTAGTCAGGTACTTTATTGCATTGCAGATTGTTTCATTGATGAGTGGGCACAGATGATGTCTGGGAGCTTTGTCCGATCCCCTTGGATAGATTTTCTTCAAATAATCGTTGATCACCACCTAAATGGGACAGCTTAACTTTTTGAATGATTTGAAAGTAATGCACAAAAATGAAGCATAGACTCTGCCAGTTTGGGCGTGCTAAAATGAAGTATAGGCTAATGCCGGACGACGGCGTAAACCAGGGGCGAACGGTTTTAGCCGCAGAGCGCGCCTTGCGCAGACTTACAACGGTGGGGATACGCGCGCGCCGCATTCGCGCCCGCTCAACTAATATTGCTTTTGCGCCTTCTTTCTGCAATAGCCTTTACAGCTCAATTCGTCTCGGCTCTACTTTTTCAGGAATAAATATTCTTACCTCTCCTTCTTTCATTGCTTGAGCTAGACGTCTTTCATAGTCTCTGGTTACATTTTCCTTTGCAGTTCCACTGGAACAATATTAGTAAAATCAAGAAAATGACAAGAAATGTACAATTTACGTGACGGCATCATGATGTTGAACAAGAGCTGAAGCCTTGGCCATAATTTCAACATCAGCGTCGTCTTCGGGACCAAGATCAGCAACTGCATCAAGCTGCTTGCAAAGCTAAAATTTTGAACTTTCTTAGTCTTGCAAAAACTAGGGTGAGTTGGCTTATAATCACCTGAAGAAGAGAACTGGCTTCTCTGATCATTCCTTTGAAAGTTGGTCGACTAGTGAAATAGCCAGTCCAATAAGAAACGTTCGAAGACGCATATCTGAGGTTTAGTACTGTGAGTGAGAAAATGGATGGGGGAAGGGGGGGGGGCTTTTGTAAAATTACTTTAGCTTCCTGATAAAATTTTTTATATTCCTTACTGTTAAGCGATTATGATCAACTGAAGGCACGCTAGAAAAAGATAGTCTACTTTGACCTAGAAATGTTCTAGCAAAAAATAATTCCGTCTGGTAACACACAGAGTTGATCCTTGGCAATATGATAGACCACTCTTCCGCCATACCAAAAACTTCAACAAATTGTGATATTTTGAAGTGAACGATTCCTAACACATTCACGACACCGTCGGTTTTTTGATGACTACCATTTCGAACCAGGGCATATTTCGCAATTTTGAGTTTGCATATTAATTTCTAGCCATGAATGGGTCCTAGGGTATCTTTTGGAAAGTATTTCAAGTGATGTATACTGAAGTTTAACCAGTTTGCTCAAAAAGCTCTATAGTAGACTAGCAAAATCAAAAGCTTTAGAAAGCATGCGACCCACCGGTGGGTCGGATTGTCCGAAATGGCAGGACACGTACGACCCAGTGGTGGGTGGTATTGTCATGAATGTGTTAAAGGATTTTTTTTCAGTTTTCGGCCTCCTTAGTATCCGATAGTCGGCTTTTTTGAGATATAAATGCTGCATTCAGTTGCTAGGAACCTGTTAGTAATGTTTCTCATCAGGAAAGTCTTGATGAATTTTAATCCAATATTTCACTCACGGGAAAAAGTCATCTTCTTTTGTGGGCAAGTGTGTTGACGCATCCGTGATTGCTTTTACATAACAGGATGGCGTTGAGTAGAAAACTTTTATTTGGTGTGTTGCCTAAATTTAACCAATGTTTTTAGGAAAATTAAATCCAAATATCCAATTCTATTTGATTCAAACACTTACGTTTCCGTTGACGTATCGTATAAGTTTGTCAAGGTTTGTGAACCATGTGTTTGCATTTGTCCATTGAAAATCACTTCCCATCAAAAGCATTACATGTGAGGAGCGTAGGAACGATGCCTTAAAGAGAAATACATATAAAATCAAGTCTCATCCAGAAAATTCTTTGCAGACCTGCTTTCTCACACTTTCAACAAATAGACTGATTTTCTTTTCGAGATTATACCCCTCCATATCCGGGTTGTCCATAATAGGATCGTCACCGCACAAGGCATCGAAGCAGAAACCTTCCGGTGGTCCATAATTGTCTTGGTAAAATGCTCCAGTAAGAATCTGAGTCTCTGAAAAAAAATTGACAGAACTCTAAATCATAGATCTCATTTAAACCTACTCAAATCATCAGAAGCGTTCCAGACAAACTCCAAACTCTTGTTCTTCAATCGAGCTTCTTTTTCAAGATAGTGGATACGAGCAAAGAACAATGAAGTAAAACCCATCTAAAATGTTTCTGTTTTTTTCTCTTCCAAAATATGCTATAAAATCCTTACCATTGCAAATAAGTTTGCTTGCTCTCTACTATGTCCAAATGGATCTATTTGCCATGCAACTTTTGGCCGCCCACATTCGCCAAAAAGCAGGTCGAGCTTCTGAAACAAATCACAACAATTTTACTAGGTACTAGCAATGACACCCTTCTCCAAATTATTTGCCTTCAGTCCAAGTGTCATTTGATCCACGATATCAACATAATGGCTTGCAGCTTCATCGTTTTGAACCCATCCACCGCCAATCATCTCTACTTGTCCTGTGAGAAATTCATTTCAGAAATATATATACGGGGTGTCCCAAAAAAATGTGAACACTGTTTGATAATTAATAACTCCCTTGCTTTCATGTCTTTCGCCGAGCTTGAGGCACCATTCTATAGAGCGAGGTTTAGCTTAGATTTACAGTATGGAGCGGATCGTCGATTGCTCTTCATTACTGTAGGATTACGGTAGGAACTTCGACAAGGATTTTAGGCCATTGGAGGCCATATGCCTCGGAACAAAACCAAACAAGCCCAAAACCTTCTACAATACGGTAATGGAAGCCGCTGATTTCAAATATGAAATTTTCACTATGCTGTGATGCTTCTTTCCAAGGTTATCCCAGGTAAACAGTAATAACTGAGTTTCCAGCATTTGTCAGAAATGTGACTATACCGTCAAAAAGCAAAAAACACTCGTAAAAGGTTGTGCAATGGAATCAGCGTGCACGAAAACCCTAGCACACGATTTTTCAGATTTTTTGAAGAAACTTTTGTCAAATGGCATATTTCACATTCGCTCCACATGCTAGAAGTTCATACCGTAATCCTACAGCAGCGAATAGCGATCGGTAATCCGCTCCATGCCACAAATCTAAGTTCAGCCTCGCTCTGCAAAATGGTGCCTCAAGCTCGGCGAAAGACTTGAAAGCAACGGAGCTATTAACAATCAAACAGTGTTCACATTTTTTTGGGACACCCTGTATATGCTATTGCGAAAATCTTTGATTTGAACTTGAGAAAATGTGTTAATGGTGAATGGTATGAAAATTTTCTTTGATCAAAAGGAGGGGGTGGGGGAGTGGGTAGGGCATGTCAGATCATTTAATTTTTCAGAATAGGAATATGGCATTCTGTATGCCCTCAGGATATTCATTTGTGAAGAAACCAATTTATTTTTTAAGCAGCTTTGCTTTCAAACGATTTGTGTCTTCCAAACATGAGAATTATTCAGAATTTATTGACTTAAGCACTTGTACAGTACCACAATTAACAATATGAAATAAAAGGCATTAACAGCAAAATGCCATTTACCCGTCAACCAAAAATTTATTGGGATTTTCCCCTTCAATCAGGATACGTTTGATTTTTCCAAAATCGTAACAATCCCCGTTCTTTGGCAAAATGTTTATCCCAGCATATTGTTTGCACACTTTGCTTGTTTTTAATCAAGTAAATAGCTTTAGCTTAAATGTTATCGCATCCTGCCTACTGTTTATTTATCAAGAAAACGGACTCGAATGCACATCTCCATGGAAAAAATGATTATATGCTATATTGAGTGTAAATACACACAGCCCAATGGATAAACTGCACTGAAAGAGTTGTTCCTGAGGATAGGAGAATCGACAAAAAGCCTTATAAAGAGTTACCCGTTTTGACAAGCTTTTGAAGCTTGTGCTTCTCAAAGTCTCCATGATCATTGTACCATCGCCACAGAAAGCCAGTCTCAGCAAAGGAAAACCTGGAGTACTCAATAAAAATTACCAAAAATTTCAAGTTGACATCTAACCTCCTATCTGGGCTTTTTTGCAGTTCATCGATGACAGTATTGAAAATATATTGTACTCCTACTGGTACGAGCTGCGGCTTAGCTAAATTATCGTTCTATCTTTGAGTGTCTAGAATTTATAGCTCATCACCTCCGTAATAATACTGATCAACAGTTTTGATCCATCCAAGATCGTCATGCGTATGAGGCACAATGTGCACATTTATGACGCCATCCTCTTCAGTCCATTTATTGCAAGTCTGAAGAGCGAAGAAATCTTGATACCTACTACATTGCGATAAGCCAGAAATTCTTTTATTATGGATTGGTGTCTTTTTTACAGCTAAGGGTGGGCCCCCTTGGTACCATACAATGTCGATTACGGTAGGATCCCATTGCTCGCTGCTATACTGTAACGCAGGATAAATGGACGAGTTCGTTCGCACAGCCTTCGTTGCTTTGGAATCGCTCATGAGGATAGGAGATTCACTCTTATAATGCATTTTGGCATAGGCCCGAAGAGGAGCGACCACTTATTCTGTATCGCTCGCATGGAATGTCTCAAACAATAGCATTTTCGCTAGCAAAAGGCTCCTCCAAATTGTTTTTGCTCAAAGGCAGTGGCTTAGGGTTGCAATTGCAAGCTTTCCATTCTTAGTTGGCCTTCTGGATGCGCTGAACTCAAGGCTGTGCTTGAAAACTCAAAAAAAAAAAGCATTTTACAGCGTTTTCCGGCCCTAGATATTGCTATGGAGGGGCTGGACGAGCGAACCCCGCCTACTGAGTCGCGACTGGTTGCCTGAGCCTATCAGCCAATTACCACCAAAATGAGTGGAGTCACATTATCCTATAGCCACCAGCCGCTGTTTTAGGCCGGAATCTTTCCACCAGCTCCCTCAGCAATACTCAAGGCCGTAAAACGCCACAAAAGCACTTTTTTGACTTTTCAAGCAAATCCCGGACTCAGCGGATCCATAAAGCCATGTAGTTGTGGAAAACCTGCAGTTGCAATCTTCCCGAGCTACTAACAAACTATCAGATTCAGGAGTTTATTTAATTATTTTGTAATACAGGAAACATTAGTACTGTTACCTCCCAAGAGCATGTCTGTAAAGTATGCCTGAGGCTGCAGAATAGTAACAGTAAAAGAGTGAGCATCACCTGGAATACTGTTGAGTAAATATTCCTGAATACTTAAAAAGGATCTTTTTGCAGAGAGAAGGATTCTCTGATGATAACAAGAAGAGATTAGGTACATAATCAAGCAATGACAGCCATACAGACTTCAAACTGAACAGGATAAAGGCAAAAGGCTTGAAGAATTTCAGGTCAAAGCGCACGGTAACGTGCTATTTATCATGTTGTCGAACAGGCGGTCGAAGTCCTTTGCTTCAACAAATGAGAAGATTTGTGGCCAGAGTCAGCTGGAGAATTTTTGGAAAATTCTGGCTGGACTCAAGAATAGAATAAATGAAAAGCTGAGATATCAAGTTACTAATGCACTCTATAAAGCGTCAGTGAGGTTTTGCTTGGCCAAAGCGACGATATCGTTGTGGGTTGCTGTGCTGAACAGTTGCAGACAGGAGTGTAGAGAAGAAGAGCAGGCCTCAGAAGCATCCGCTTTGATTTTGCAACGTTTACTTATCTGATCTTCTAACGAAAACATCACAGATGCTGTTCTATAAATCATTCAATACAGCGTTCACAAGTGACTCTATCTATACGGTAGATCTATGGTATAGCTGTGTGTTACTTGTACTAGCTTATTCTTTATGAAGGACTTCAGTAATTCCTACAAGTCAATGGTATTTTCCCCTCAACTGAGCAACCAATATGTCTTCTTTGATGACTCAGTTATTGTTTCCTGACTGTAAGGCCAAACTAGGCAGGTCATTGAACAGTTATGTATAAACACTCACATACTGGTATGTACTATATAGCAATTCCAAACTGGAGATAACATTCTTGACAAAGCGATAAGAAAAAGGAACGTCGAAATAACCTGAGCTTACTTGTACTTTGCCAATCAGAAATGTTCGACATTCCTCAGGAAAAGCCTTATGATCACTTGCAGTCTCACAAGTATTTTCAGCTGCTTTATTCTAGGATTTTTTAGCAGGATGGTAGTCAACCTAATTACAGTTGAAACGAAGGAATGAGTCGACATAGTAGAATTAATTATAATTAAATCTGATTAGACTGTGAAATTTTATAAATCAGGTGATAGCAGCAGACTCTGGTCCAATCTTGTCGTGCTGCGTAAGGGCTTCAAATCATTACATCGATGATCTAATGTAAAAATTACAAACAACAATAATAAACCTCAAAAATACAAAGTAGGTATGCTTAACGAGTTTTATAAAATGTATAAGTAATTAACAAATGTGCACATCTTACTAAAAGATAGCGCTATAAGTTATAGAAGAAAAGTTACAACAACCTTTCTTTCCATACCAATAAAATCTCAGTCAATGCAGAGCAGAATATTTCTTGAGGATTATATAGCAGTAAATTGTACCCAAAGCATGTCTCCAATACATACGTTGTTTGACATACGATTTAGTACAGATTCCATCAGCAATTATTCTCTGAAACTACTGATAAAACCTGGAAGACCACGGTCTGCATCAAAAAAAATAGTGCTGCAGTTTACCTTTGACGTAAAAAAATTAAATCAATCTTAAAAACACATCTTCGTGAGCATTACTTTTCATTGGAGGTTCAGGTAAAATAATAGCATTGAACTTCATGAGCTCGGCATAGGTGGCTTATAAGCAATCTGTATATCGTTTTTGGGACAGAAGGCAAAGGGGATATCGGGTTAATATCTTGGTCGACTCTCAACAAGCTCAAAAGGGGATATCGTTTTGTGGGTCCAAAATTAGGTTTTTTCCGACGTTTCGTTTTTTTTTGTCGATTCGGGTATTTTGGGTAAGGGCCAAAGGTTACTTCCTAAAACTTTGCGAAAGTTAGGGGAACTTGGTTTTTTGCATTTTCGGAAAGCCACCTCGTGCCGAGTCCTGCCTAATGATGAACACAATCGTTATGAAAAGGTATTAATGAAGACCAGTTTGCCTTTTTCTACAAATGTTCCATGAGCATGTACTAGTACATAAACGGTTAATATCTGCCAGTAACGGAAGCAATATTGTGTCACCGTAGTTTTCTTTCATAATGGGCTAAAAGCCTAACTTTATGATAGTGTACCGTATCTTGTAGGATCAAAGATCGCAAAAATATATCAATGGTCCAAGGCTTCGCGCGCTTATTGTGTGTTCTGTTTAGCCAACGGTTCGTGTCCATGTGTTTGCGCGAATATGTCATAATGGAAAAATTTGAACCTTTGTCGTTATGTTCAATGTTTCTTTCTCACAGTGTGATTTTCATATATATAAGGTTTTCTTTTCGCGTTTGAAGTTGTTCTGACGCATTTTCTGAACGATACAAGCTAGTAGATCATGTACCAATTTTCCTGCGACTCATCTTCCTTTCTAGAAAATTAATGCATTTTCTTGGCCCTCATAATGTTGATGTGAGGTGTCTATAAGATCTCAAAGTTCTCTTCCCTAAATGTGGATCTTTTATTCGATCTAAGAGCGTCCGAGAATTTGAAACTCAACGCTATCGCCATTACTGACTCTTGCGCCACATTCACGACATGTGCCTCAATTGACATCGATTCCTCGCTAGAGCATTACAGCTGTGCTCGTAAAAGCGCCATGCACATCAAGATTAAAGTTTTGCTTTGCAGGCGATATATACAAAATTTCTCGTTAAGATTTTGTCACGAGAATTTAGCTATGAGAGGTGAAATTGTTGCATTTTCAGAAAACCGGGGAAAACTAATGGATATTGAGGCGAAAAATAATGTTTACCCTACCCTAGCTCAATAAATGCATGATTGATCAGCTAAAGCTACAGCTGTCACATATTGAAGAAATTAATTCATAATTCAACAATCAACATATGCCCGTCCACTCCAAGAATCCCCTTGTTTTGACCAATTCGACTCTCCGATCCAGTCCACTGCAGCTAAGACACCAAAGATCAAATGCGCTGGAGTAAACATTGGACGCATCTACCCCCCATGGGATGATGGCTATAAATAGCTTTCATTCCGGATATGGCATTCTCGAGCTGGTGGTCCTAAATCGAAGTAGTAGTGTAGATAGAAATCTGGTTACAGCTTTGGTACTCGACAAGATCCGCAGAGGATCAAAGAACAAGGATATCGGCTTTATTTTTTTGGAGGAAAGAGTATCCTGTAGATCAAGAGGAATCTATATACATTCCAGTTCGCAACCCTTCTCTCTCCCCCCCCCCCCTTCGCATATCCTGCAGATTAAGCTAGTTCGCAATAGTTCCAAAAATTTTCAGCGCTTGGCTGAGAACGCGTATCCTCGGCTGAAAAAATGAAAATCACTCCTCACACATAAAAATCTTGTAAAACAACTCATTAGCTGGCTATTTCAGCCGAATTTTCAGTGTTTTACTATGAGTATAAGCTGCTCAGGCCTTTTAAAAAGAAAAAGAAAAACTAGGAGTGTGCTGTTTCACATTCAATGGCTTCGTTTGTAAGAGTGCAGATGAGTCAGCGAGGATTCATTGCCTCTTCGATAAGAAACAATCCAACGCTTCAATCATTTTGTTGTTCTGCATGATCGATTCTATTCAAATCCATATTCTTCGAACATCGCAGTACTTCTAGTAGGTTCGACTGAGCAGGGATCGAGTTTCAAACTTGGCGGAGGTTTAGTTCGTAAACAAAGTTTCTTTTTTAATATCATTGCTAATGAGGTGCTTAAAGTTGTCTGTGAGAATGAGAACCAGATTAGCGTTTTTATAATAAGTGCAAGGTTTATAGAACAATTTGGCGATAAAATCTAACCGTATATGGTAACCTTGCTTTGTTTTCGACTACGTTGTCAAATATCGCAATAAAAAATCTACCAAACATGCAAACCATATCCGCAAATCGACACAAATTGTGCCAAAAACTGGCCCTGAACTCTTCTTAATCCCTTGTCTGTTGTTTGGCTGTGTATGTGTATCTATTTTTGTGACACCCTGGTTTTCACGGCAAAGCATTGCCGTACACCATTACAGCTGGTCTTTGAACATCGCACAGGTTTGGCCGAGCCTTTTGGCCTTGGAAACTACTAACATGCTAATAGCCGATGGTTACTTCAGCCGCATGATGGTTGTTCTCGATTGCGGTTCGGCTGAGACGAAAAAATGCACAGTGCATTTGAAAAACCGGGCTGTCGAGGGCTGTTTCTCACCTTTTGAATAAAAAAGCAGGGCTCAGCATGAGGTGGCTGTCCGAAAATGGGAAAAAACGGTCCCCATTGACTTTCACAAAATTTTACGCAGTCTCCTTTAACCTTTATCCGAAATATCCGAATGACTGAAAAAACGAGACATCGGCTCGAAAAAACCTAGTTTCGGACCCACGAAAACGATACCCCCTTTGCTTTTTGCCCCAAAAACGATATCCAACTTGCTTATAAGCCACCTGCGCTGGGCCCTGTCCAAAATACCCATTTCAGCCTTTGGAAAATAAAATCTATACAATAAAATTGAGAATCAGCTAATCCTGGCTGTTTGAATCACCAGAGCTCAGAACCAATTATATTATTGTTGTAAAGCAGATGTGAGTAGCAGTGTTAAGTCCGAGCACTAACTCTCGCCCACATCAGAAAATCTTTGTGGCTGCAGACATCTTTGTGGCTGTCCTAGTATATCGTCAAAGCACAAGCATTTCTAAAATGAGTTTCTATAGTTTGCTATGATCTTTCTGTCTATCAGTTGGTTCTCAGATGTGTTTGCCATATGTGGAAAATAAAGGAAAAAGGCGAATTGGGATTTTTCAGTGCGCTATGCAGACTGGCGCCTTCTGATTGATCTTTTTCTTTCTAGAAATGCTTCCAAAGATTTCTTCGTCTACATTGGACTATACATAAATATTGAGAAACATGCAATTTATTTCTGTCCCTGTACTGTTCCTTCTTACAGCACTCTATACATATTGTTTACGCGCGCAATGCAAGGTCAAAATATTTCTTCAACCATTCAAGTTTATACGATTGAAGGGAGCGGTTTTACGGGGTGGCAAAACGTGATGAGTATGATTCATCATACTGTTGATCATTCACTCTTTACTGTCACGTGTTTGCCTTTTATGAGATTGATACCTACAAATTTATTTTGATGAAGTGAAAGAACTTCCGATGTGATTTTTGAGCGTTTTTGGTACATGGTCATGCTAAGCAGTAATTTTTAATTGCTTCTGAACCACCACTTCGAGAAAACCAGGACACGCCAAAGATGTGAGGGGGAGACTGTTAGTCTTCACACTCATATGTTGAACAAATACACAAAATCAAAAACATGATCATGTGGGATATGAGTCATTTCCAGCGCTCTATTGGAATGCCTCGCGCGCAAAGCTGACATCTCTATCAGCTCCTAAGCTTTTGAGTTGGTGCATAATTCTTGCTCTAAAATTTGAAATTTCTTGATTTTTCTAGTCTCGACAAATTCGGATCCAACATAGTTTAAGAAGACAAAATCATGCAATTTCTTATAGTGTTGAAAGTACATTTTAGCATATCCCAAATGCAAGCTGATAAATAAAAACGGTCAAATCGTGTCGTGTTCGAAAAATGTGTGGTTGAATTGCCAAAAAGCCTAAAATACATCTACGATAATTTTTTACTGTGGTTTGATTACCTAGACTTTTGACTGAGGGGAATTCGTGCTGTTCAGATGTATCTATGATTGCTAATAATTTTTATGGATTTTCTAATTGACTCTTCAAATTTCTTATTTGTAAATCTCTGACAGGCATAGTAAAATAGCGCCTTTGTTATATAGCTTGAAAAATACTTGGTAACGAGCAGGGAATTTTTTGTGAATTGAATTTTTTGTATTTTCATGCAAGATGTATGGTCCAAACGAATATTTTTGCCCTCCACGGTAGGAATCTGTCCGTCCAAATGTACGGATAGTGGCACAAGATTGTACAAAACCCTGTTCGCAACCTTTTTGACGATCGTAGCCCTGACATTTGCCGGATGTGCGAGTCCGAATGAATCATCTCGAATACTGCCAGTTGCAACCGAGGCTGCCCTCGCTCGCAGTCCTCAATTTTTGCCCGATCCATTAATGACACCGGTCCTCTGTGAACTTGCCAACACAGCAATGGCGCCCCCGCTGGGCGATTTTTGCCGTTCAATCGAAAATTCGATCCGGTCGCGAACGCAATTCTGCAAACTGTTTGTTGCGTTTCGGTTATGCCAAATTTGACAGATTCTTCCATCTATTTTTGAAAATTTTTATCGAAGTATGCCTAGAATTTTTTCATGCTCATCTTCAACCTAAGACTTGCAAACTCTTTCGATCATTGTTTCAATTTGTCTCGCTAACTGCACTTGACATTAATTGATTCACGATCAAACCTTGTCTTCAGCAGCGATCGCTCTCAAAACACAAATATTCGCAAAGGGCATCTTGTAAATATATTGAAATGATATTTTTTGAAATAATCATCTGATAATAGTATTTTCACACCTATACCACTGCGATGAACTCGCTTGTTTCATAAGTATGTCTGTTTTCAAGTATTCAAAGGTTGTTATTAAATCAGAGGGTGTAGTTAGCTGAAGGAATTCATAAAATTTTGAAGAATACTGGAGTTCTTTATGCTTTGCGCAAATATTTGCAAAAAGTCATTGCTCAAACGCTTTTGTAGGAATTTACGTAACTCTTGAGATGAAATGTTGTACAGCACAAGTCATAGTATTCTTTTAACAGCATAAGTAGGGCAATAAATAAGAGTGTGATTTATAGAACTTGAAAAGGACCCGCTGAAGGTTAGGAAAATGTGTGCGCTATGAACACTTAAGAGATTTTATTTAATTTTACAAGGGGATTCCCACTGCAAAGATTGTTCCTCATACAATGCTGCATCTCGAGAATGGGAAATGACTGGAATTATACAAACAAAAGATTTTTTACATGCCGTCGACTACGCTCTACACTTTTTCAGACTCTCAAACCAGTGCCGCTACCGAGTAAAAATCGGAATGTATCTGTGTAACTGCATTAGTGTGTGTAGAAAGAAAAAAGCAGCAGTGTTCTCTCAGGACTTGCTGACCGTGACTCATTTTTCTACAATCTTTTCCACAACCGTTTCGTTTCCGTTTGTTGAACATTGCTCATTCGTTTGGCCAAAGTGAAGTTTTGCGGTTTGTCTGTTCACTGCTCAAGTGTCCATCATTTTCAGTGAAGGATGCCTACCTACACGACTACAACGACAAGAGTCACGCGTACCACTACCGGAAATTACTATGGACCGTGGGTGACACTTTACTTTTCGCAAAACTCACGGCTAATTCTAATCTTTGCCCGAGTTTGGTCACTCCGGGAAGAGGGGGATGTGCTTTTTTCTATTTGGATCAGAAAATCTCTCACCCGTAGATCCGGCACAGAAAAAATGCACTTGCGGGGTGATGATGCGTGAAAAATCTCGCATCACATTATTTGGCACCCCTGTGGCTCTCTCGGACATTGCAGGGTGAAGTGCTTTGTGCTTTGATCTGAATATATACTACTATTTCTAGCCGTGGCTTAAAATTTCGTCCGAAAGCATATCGAGCAACAATTCCAGCTCACTCAGCAACTGCTGGATAAATCACACATATTGCAGAATTCATAGAGTATCTTTTTATTAGCACCCACTCATCGTGGAGAATTACACTGCAGAGAAAGGGCAGCGTACTTTTTGTTGATTTTAGAGATCTTTGACATGTGCTAACTTCAATGAGTTAGTACTGAAAGGGCGATCATGAATATATGAAGGTTGGCAAAAGTTTCTTTTGTTTTTTTCCCAAATGGTGCCCAAATAAAGCGGCGCCCAGCGCTATTTGTTGCCATAGTGCAAAAGTAGACAAAAATTTTGCAGAACTAAAGTACATAGCTCCAATGTTTTTTCATAAAATGTAATTTGTTTTTGTAACATTTCGTATGGACGGCATGATTCATGTTGGGAGTCACAGTCACAGCCGAGAAGCTGTTATCGAGAGTTGAATTCATCCGTACAAGCGTACTGTCATGACGCACAGGTTAGTAATCATCATTGTGACAGAAAGTACACGGGGTAGGAGGGCTGGGAGGTATTGCAAGTCCTATAATTGCTGGATTTAGTGAATGGATCTGCCCCATAGGGCTATCGGCCCAGCTGTCACCTAGTACTTCCGATATGTAGAGTCAGGCGTGAATGCTAGTCAGACATATTTACCACATTCTCGGCCGCACACGGCCGGCCGTTTCGTCCAAGTTGCTTGCTTGTCCACGCATAAAATGTGTCGTGCAAAGCAATCACGGCACCATTTTTGCTATTTTTTCTACGATTCCCTGCTGCTCGACACGGCACTTTTTTCAGCGAATTCTTTGTTGTGAGATGGTTGAAATTGCTGCGATCTAAATTGTTTATGCTACGCGCACGTCTGCGATCCAGGGTAATAGCTGCTTTTTGTTCGCCTAGCTCATGGAGGGTGAGGTAGTGGGCCAAACGTCGGCTTTCTAGTTAGCTGGGTCAAGTGCCCGTTCATTCGAAGTGTGAAGTATCTTATCTATATGAGAATTGTATTTCTATTCATTGCACCTCAGTTCTGCGCCCGCCCGGAAGAGGCAAGGTAACCCAAGCCTTTACAGTCCCCCGTAACATGTCCGGTCCCCTCCTTCCCCTTGCAAAAACAATCTCTCCCACTCATTCTGATCCGTTAGACTCCCTCGATTGCTCTTTTTTTTCAAGCTTGTCTGCTGTCATTTTCTCAGAATAATCGCTTTCCCCGGAAACGCCCTTGATTTCTTCTGTTCCATGTCCTCGAGCTTTTTCCAACATCGAAGGTTTTGTTCGGTTCTCTCCACTATTTAAACTATGACTCATGCAGAACTACCAAAAACACTGTCATTTAATTGCGATCTTTTGCCGTGTGCTAATTGGCCTGTATTATTTAGATATGCAACTCTTCACTTTCTCGAAAAAGCCAACATAATGCAGAGCACCTAAAGCTCTTCCGCTAGCTCATTGTTTGAAATAAGACCTCTGTGTGTACCGCTCAACCTTGCTTGTTGTTGAGCTTGTGGTGAAAGCAAGGAGTATTGTTGTTTGAGGCTCACGTTAGTATAGTGTGTCACTGATGTGTACAACGTAAATACACCCCTTAATGCACTAATTGATAGGATGGGCTGCTTCCACATTATTGGAGATAACCTTCGAATTTTAGAGCCTTCGTTGTACCAGGAAGCAAAAAAAAACGTGCAAAGATCTCGCGCTTTTTTCTTTTTAACAGGAAATGCCACTTCCTGAACTATTCGCGTAAGGTTCCAAACGTCGTGCCACTTCCTCAACTAGGTGGGTGAAAGTTTTTTGAGTTATATCCTTGAGTTTAGCAGGAAAAGGTGAGATCATTCCCATTATCTGCATCCTTTAAAGAACCCAAACAGTCCTTTAGGGAAAACAGTTAGGTAAGTCTAAGACCCAATAGGTCAAATTAGGAGCAATCCAGACCGATATAAACAAAATTGATTATTTTCAAGTGACCCGCAGCGTTGCGTGTGTACCGCGAAATTCCATCGTAAGAGTTGATTGGCTGGTCGAGGACCACGTATTTTTCTGCTTGCGAGAGACAACAACATCGCTATTGTTGTTGACGATATTTCGCAATGGGTGCGGTGCTCATTGGGCGAGAAACTCGTTCGGAAACCTCGATTCCTTTCTCTCCTCTTACCTCATGATTATAATGGGCGGGCGCTCGGCGGCAACATTGCTGGTAGTCGCATTCGTGTGGCTGCTGTCCACACTAGCCCTTTGATGATCATGACGATGGGTCGCGTGGAGAATGCGAGTGTGACTTCAGCAGGCCCTATAGCTTTTGGATCCATATACTCTCCTTCTCGTGCGTATTCCCCTCGCTCTCATCCGGCTCGACAAACTTCGTCAGCATCAGCTGCTAGTAAGAGCTAGATCCACGCCCATGTTACTCCCCGAACACTGATTGCATGTGTGTGCGCATCATGGCTGCTGCCACTCGAACGCTCCATCTTTTATCCGTTCCTATAGGGCTCCAAAGTTCTATTGGGAACTAGTTTAACACTGTGACTCACTAACTATACGTCCCTACTCTCTCGGTTGTTTTGCGTTATGCCAGTTGACAGAGGGCGTGCTAGTTTTTCATTTGTCTGCGCGTCGACCAGCGAGTCGCTCGTTCCTTTTTCTCTGCTGCGGATTCCGATGATCTCTGGTGTCTAACTATGCTAGGAACACCTCTTCGTATAAAGAGCGTGACTGGAGGCCGTAGAGTTTATGATGCGTAGTCTGTATAGTCTTTTGGTTCTGTATCGTTCAGTTGTGTGAGGATTCTAGTATAGCTCCGAGCACTCCATTCTTGTTACACCGTAATAACTCTTGACATGTTTCGCGTCCATTTCTCAATCTGTACGAGTAACCCTTACCTTTTTAGAATGGCCGAGATCTCAATGAACTCCCGCTACCTTAGCACCAACCGTGGAATTATTAAGATCCTTCAGATCGTCGCTGGATTCATCATCTGCTCACTGCTATGCGCTCAATGGTAAGTGAAACACTTACTCATGAAAGAATTTCACATTTTACGTTTCACTCGGTGCTTGCCGTGTTTTGCACAAGATTTTGGACCTCACGTGATGTTTTGAAGCGAGCCACGGTTGTTTACTATTCCCCTCTCTTGTTACACTGCAGTGGTTCGCCATTGTAACCAATCCAATCCACTAACGTAGCATTTGCAAGAGATCGATCAGATCAGCTAGGATTGCACGGCTCAGAGTGGACACATAGCCTTGACCTTCGTTTTTGATACATAGCGCGAGGGGTGAACGAGATCGAAGTTGGTGATAGAAAATTCGAAATTTCACTTTTCAGGTATGGTGGTAGATCATGCTTTGGTGAAGGACGTCTTGGATTCTGCTCGGGACTTAACTTCATCTGCGTTGTTATCAACATCGTTCTTCTTGTTCTCAACTTCTTGAACATCGGAGCATGGGGCTTGGTTAGCGAAATACCCCCTGCAAAAGAAATACGCATTATATGATTTTACGATTCTAGGAGCGAATCTACTCGATCGTATGCACCGTGCTCTTCCTCATCGCTTCTGCTCTCATCATATGGTTCATTATTGAATACAACACTTCGCGCTCGACGCTCATTGCCGCTGCGGTAAGTAGAAAACTTTTTTCAAAAAGTCAACCATCAAATATCCCTAATTTATCTACATTACAGGTCCTCATCGTTTGTCAATTCTTCCTGTTCATGTGGGACACGAAGATCCTCCAGGGCGAATCACCAAACTAAAATCCATTCTCTTTTCCCTGAACGACATCATCTTCCATTTGTCATATAGATAGCGTGTGCGTCATTGTTGCTTAACCTCTATGAATGCATTGGAAAGAATCCCTTCCCTTTTTTTCTTTTCTTCGAAATTCGCATTGTTGCATTGTATGATTTGTAAAATTGTGTATAGTACCACTGTATACGACTTCCCTGTCTATAACGTTTCGTATTATTTCTGATGAAATAAATCTTCATAATATAAATAGCTTTTGTCCGCGTATTAGGGGTTTTCTCTTGCAATATGCAAAGCTATTTCTTCTTCGAGAGTAGAGCAATCCGCGTAGGGTCTCAAATCTTCTTAGTCGAATCAGATGGCTGTAAATATTGCGTAAATCTTGGAATATAATAATAGATATTCACCGAGCAGTATGTTGTTTGGTTAACTGAAATAAGCTGCATATACAGCTAAGCAGCAAGTCCATTTGGTCTAGACTTGCCAGTCATTGTTTACAGATACGAACACATTAGAGGACAAGTGGCCTTTACCGTGTGCAAGCAGTTCCTAAAACTTTCAGGATTTTCGCAGAAAACGTTCCGTCAACATTGGCATAGCTTTCATAACACCATTTATATCATAACATACTGTGCGCAATGTCAACTACAACCTCAAGTATCCCCCCAAATTGTTGACACCATGAGGGGATGTCTGCAAAAACACGTTAGTGCGAAGTTCTTTGGTTGCCTCTGCTCCAACCAACTGTCTCAAACACGAATGTTTATAGTAAACATGGTGATGTGTGTGTCATCGATTTACTTCTTACCTGACGATTGCCATATTTGTGGGATGGGAACGGTGTAATGGTAGAGAGTTAACGACGATTTGGACCTCTGCCAAACATGCGAGTTCGTTTTGTTACAGAAGGTAAGAGCAGGATCGAACATCGCAATTGTTCTGCTTTACCCATATCCTCTATTCACTACGTCCTCTTTAATTTAACTATCGTTGGGGTATGGTCGCGGAGAATCTTCAGTAGTAAGTAAGGATTTGCTACTCTGACCTCCTCTTAATCACTTGCTAACTTGTAAAATTTACAAATGGCGTTAAAATCTTTAATCAGTATCAGGTATACACCCAACGCTAAGGTTATTATGTTGTCTAATAAATAATTTTGTTCGGTTTTGCGGCTCCTACAGATGCTGCAGATAATTTTTTGTCCAGTGCTCGGTACCGCTGAAAAGAGTATTTCATTGAGAACTGAGACATAAAATCTTTTCTAGTAGAATATGTTTTGCAATGACAAAATCCGCAAAAAAGTGAGAAACCTCAGTTTCCTCACTCTGTGCAAATATCAAATTATGTTATTTTGGTCAAAGAATTTTAAAATGGCAGATCACAATTTTTATTGATAGTCGCTAAGTAGCGAAGAATTGTCTATATCCAAATACCAAATAACTGTTTTCTAAATCCATTAGGGCATGAAAGCGAAGCTTCGAAAGTCGCAAAAATTGAACTTTTGGACTTAATGATACTTTGTAATTCTGAATAGTTAATTTGTGATAAAAGAAGTTTTGAACTACTTATTCACAGAATATCATGAATAAAGGATCACTAGGAAGTTTCTATGAAGATTTTCGAAAACGAAATTATTTTTTAGCCAACCCAATGGACTTGCAAAATTCACGGATCTTTTTCAGGTGTGAAATCAAAATGAGATTAGACTAGGAATTTCGCACAAGGACGTCCAACGGATTATTTCCTAAAGTCCTCGTAATTTGGAATCTTAGGAGATTTTTGCTTGTTTCAACGGGCTTTGGATTCCCAATAATGGATAGTAAATTGGGAGGAAATATGCTACATCATCGGGTTTTCTGTTACTTTTTCTACGGAGCAAATTTTGCAAGTCAAGTCAAGATACAAGCATCAATGATTCTTAAAAGAAATGCTGGTCGCTCAATATTTTCGAAGCTCCTCAAATTTTAGATCAAAAGCTTCTGGCCTCAAAATTCCAATCGTTCAGCTACTTACTCGCAATCAAAAGTTTTAATCGCAAACTGGACCAGAAAAAAGCATCGAACACACTTTTTGCACACTTCGATTTTTCTCCAATTATTTTCCAATCGATTGAATCAAACTGATTGCTGAAATTGTGCATAGCGTGCAGAGCGTATATTTTCCTTCCCACTATAAAATATTGTCGAGTAATCTGACTTTTGGACACCCTCATTAGTCCAATGAGAGCACGAACACCACCCAATATACACTGCGGCCGGCTATATGACCATAGCAGTCGTCGGCCGTCGGTTGTACCCAGTTGGAAGTAATCATGTTATCCGGCCTTAGTTAAGGATTCTGGTGGACGAGTGCCGTGTGTATAGTAGGATCTATTATTGTAAACAACCACATCGTGCTCATCAGTGGTTAGACCTCGCTCACTTGCACCAGTTCTTCATGCAAATACTGGCATATTATGGAATTCTAGTTCGGCAGCTGTTTGATGCAAATTAGTATGCCGAAATAGATTCATGATTTTGGAAAATTATCGATAGAGTACAGCACGAAAACTTGCACGATCCAGCAGCGGCATTTGCATTTGGGAATGACGAATAAGAGCAGCGGAACGAGGTGCATCACAGCTGAACAGACGACTTGAATCACTATTGGAGATAATATTCCAAATTAAAAGTCGATATGAAATATTCAGTGTCTGAATTGCCTCGGATCAACTACTACGTAACCTTCATTTTCGAAACGGGAAACCGCACATTTTTCCAACGAGAGTGAGATGTTTTGGCCAGTTGTTTCCAATCAGGTTCCTATCGTTTTCTTTGTCTGTTGTGTCTCACTCCAAGTGCAATAAACTCGATCGTATTCGCTACCTAAGCAACTGCCATAGTTGGCATGTAGCCAGCCATCTCTTCTCATGAATGCCATATGTCCGAATGGCAATTCATTGCGAATAACAGCGATTGTGAACATCTACTATGTAGCATTCGCTGACAACTTCCGCCGCAGGGGTTATGAGCTGCTAGCAAGAGAGCAGAATTATAATTGTCGCTGTCATGTAGACATCTTGGTGACAACCTAAATGTTCTTGCTATATTGATGCTATCTCGGTCCATAATAGCTTGTTTTTAGGCTTAAAGAAAAGCTGGACCAGAAGTGCGAGGAAGAAGGTTGGGTAGAAAAAAAGGAAGTGTGAGCGCTCGGCATAGGTGGCTTGTAAAGCAAACTGGATATCGTTTTTGATACAAAAAGCAAAGGGGGTTTCGTTTTTGTGGCCGAAAAGACAGAAAATTTCCAAAGTTTTTTTTTTGCTCGATGTTTCGTTTTTGGAGATTTTAGGCTTATGGTTTAGGGTCAAAGAGGACTTTGTTTTTTGCAATTTCCAAAAGCCACCTCGCGCCGAGCCCTGAGTACGATTGATGGTGTCATTTTTGAACGATTCGCTGGCAATGTTCAGAATAATATTGGAAAATCATGGAAAAAATTTTACACAATTATAGGTGCCCAATATTTAGCAAAATTTGACTATCATTCGATTAATTTGATACCAGCCTCAACCGTCCCTCCTCTTTCCTCCTTCCCCCTATACATCAGCAGAACACATGAAAACGTTATCACTAATTAGTCGAAAAATTACGGATCAATGGATGTAATCTAGGGAAAAAACGCTGGAGAGAACATGACCGAACATCACAATTTGAATTTCTGTGCTATTGCCTCAAATTACTATGCGCACGAGGAGCATCGAGAGGATGGTCTTTGCGCCAAGATATATATATATACAACGAATTTGATGGAGTTAGTCAAGTCAAGAAACGTATGACAATAAAATATTACATGGATTCTATCTGTGCTTTGATCTAAGTACGATTAGTCGAAAGTCGGATTCATAGTTAAACAAAAATTTTGGCATTACGAAAGTGAAAATAGCTTTGGCAATGTGTTAAGTTGATAACAATAAATGAGAGTGTGATTGAACAGAATTTCACATGAACCGATTTTTGTATGAAATCATAAATTTGGGTTGTGTATAGTATGTGCTTGTGAGATGGGTGAACTTACTCTTCTTCCAATAATTTTTTTCTCCACTTTAGGCACCTTACCAACTGCCCGCTAAACACACAAGCTGAAACACACAAGTCCAAATTCTCATAGACGTTGAGCTTTGTGAAGATTTGTCAGATCATTTCGTATAAATCGGTTTTGACTGAGATCAATGGGTTCGATGTCCGGCATGTTCGAGCGGAGAGGATCGTATCCGTCATCCTTTTTTAATCTTTTTCTCTCCTCTATTCATACTCTGCTTTTTTTTCTCACTGCTCGAGCATAAATAGGCCTCAATGCAAAACATTTTTAGACAATATAGGCATTTTGGGGCTTAGTCGGAACTATCAGATTGTCCCTAACATTTTTCGTTGCTATTGACAGAACAAAGATTTTTTGAAATGTTGGCAGCATACGATGCATCTTTTTGTTTTCTTTTAGCTGATTATGTCTCTACAATGAAAGATGGGCTCCGTAAAGATTACCAAACTCGGGAACCCATGCTTTTTGTCATGGTTAAGTGTTTTGCAATTTTCATGAATACAAGTATTGATTCTCCAAGGAAGTCCAAGTAAAGAATAGATAGAGCACCTATAGGAAACATAGCATCTTTTTTCTCTTTCAAAGCTTGCATTCACATCTTCAAAAAATACTTTGATGCTATCAAATTCTATTTGCTCAATTTAAACCTCATAGAAATCAAACAGCGAGCAACTCAGGTGTGATTCGTCGCAGCATTTTTTCCTTTTTTAACATTTTCTGTTATCAATCAAAGTCTCAAGAAATAAAACTCAACATGATTTTTATTTTCAAACGCGCCCCAGGCTGTGCTACTCGACTTGAACGTTCATTTGTTTTGTAGAATTAGTGTTGGATCACGATTCACTTCTGTATTCCAAATTCCAGTGGTTTACTAGTGCTTGACTAGTTATGCTTAAGATAGACCTGGCAGAATTCGTTGGTTTTGCTTGACTGTTTTGGAACTGGATTTTTTCCTGTAAGCAGAGGAGCCTCATTCATAATGTTTTTTATACTAGGTTGAACCGAAAGTTTTGTCGCACCATTTTCAAAAAATCATAACTTATTCCTCTCACAACGATTTTGCACAATTTAAATTTTATCAGAAAGCGTGACGCATGTAGTTTCTAAAAGTCCTTTGGAGACCTACCAACATGCTTAGATTGCGGAGAC